ACAGTTTTAGCAAGTATGTTTGTTATTATTCTTAAGTTCTACTTATGTATTCTTATGTTTAAAGTTTACTGGAATTGAAACTTATTTTAAAATTTAAAATAAATAAGGTGAAAGTCTATAAAGCCAGTCTAAATTAATGCTGATTTGAAATGGGTATTTTTCAGAACATTTCCAAACAAAAAACGTTTGAAAAACTTGAGTTATTATTAGTTTAATGCTGAACTTTACCCAATTAAGTTTATTTGAAACTAAACAGTAAATACAGAACCCTATATATCCAAAACTATGTCCAATCTGTTTTTTTCGGTCGTGTTGGCATGAATGTAGAGCCCGTTTTTTTGGGTGTCCCTGTTGTCTTGTCTTTTGTCCACAGAGTATGCCAAATATTTGCAATGTCCACACTGAAACCGGCACCCTGTATATCAATTAGAGCGTTGTCGACACGTTTTGGTCGTTATTTTTCCGTCATCAAGCGGGTCGGGAGAGAAATATGTGTGCTCTGTCCGCATGTATGCGTAGTGTAAGTCATTTCCTCAAGTTGTAAATTTATTTTAATAAAGCTTAGTGCGTGTGAGAATTTTGCAGCTCCCTTCAGTTTTTTGTTTGGTCTTTGTTGGGATGTCAAGTGGTCAGGGCAGAGCTCACCTCTAGTTACCCAGTGTCAGGGCGTGTGGGCAAACAATTTTCACACTTTTTGGCTTTGGCCAACAGTGTAAACCGTATAAATGATATAAACAACAGCCGGAAGCGGACGACATGCATCATGGAGCCTGTTCGTCCAGCGCGCAAAAATATACTCGAATATTCAACAGTTATGGTCGGGGCAGAGACATGAGATGGACGTGAGATGTGGGTAGTGGGTTGTGGGTGGTGGGCTGGACTGGGGCATGCTGCAGGATTGCCTTGGCAATGCAAATGGCAAACAGCAGCCGTGGAGCAAGAATGCTCTCCTGCAGTAAAAATATTTGTATGCTGGAAGATAAAAACCAGCACATACGATGGGAGCCGCGTACTTTGCAGGCAGCGAAATTAATTAAAAACTGCATAAGCGCCACTTTTATGGAAAAGCTTCTGCATCGGTCCGGTCCCTTTCTTTACCTTCTCCAGTATCTGACCCCTTCCGACCACACACGTATGTAATTTAATTAGCATAAAATGTGGCGAACCTGGCCCGTGAATAAAATTAGCAAAAATTCATACAGCGCAGATTGGCAATTTAATCTGCATTCGCGAAATCAAATTATAGCTGATGCCTATTGAAATTCTTGAAATATTTTTATAACAAAACCCCAAATAATTAATATATTAATTAAAGCTGCATTCAACCTTCCCATAAATTGGATGTGAAGGACATTTGGTATTCAAACGTTTATTTGCAATTGTAATTTATACGAGTAATATTTCCTGTTAGCATAGTCGTGTTTATATTGTAAATATTGCCAAACTGCTGCTCCAATTATGCAGTTCATTATTCATTCCAGGTTCAGGATCAGGTTTGTGTCCTGGACGTGAACTCACAGACCACAGGAGCCGCAGTAGCAGGAGCGGCAGCGGCAGCAGGAGAAAATGTTGTCGTTGTCAACGCTGCTGGGCTGTCAAGCCTCAAAAATGCCAACCTGAAAAATGCCAACTAAAATGCTCATCTATTTTCAGCCAACTGGTGTGTGTGTTCGTGTGTTTGTTTTCGGCTTTTAGGGGCGTGTGTGTGTGTGTTAGCCAGACTAAATGCACAAAGAATTCAGCTCGAAAATGGGCAGCGCGTTGTAAGGGCCGCCAGCAATGCAAATAGAGCTTGTAATACTGCAATTTAAAATGTAAATGCGAACAAGGCCAAGTCCTCTGATGGCCGCTATATGAATATGTATCTGTATCTTTGTAACTGCGGGTTCAAGTATGGGTGGGTGTGTGTGTGGCATAATCAAGACTGAGAAAGTGGGATGGCCAGATGAATAATTGAACTTTCACTTCCGTTCCTTGTCAGCCTGATTGCCTCAGTAGCCACCATTCATATACATATATTTTCTGGGTGAGGTTCCTGTTCCCTTGAAAATTTCCTTTCATTTTTTGTTGCTTCCTTTCTATTATTTCTGGTCCTCTGTTGTTTGATTTAGCAAATGGTCGACATAAACGAAACAAAGTTAACTTTGTTTTCCCTTCGGTGGCCCTCAGAGCTTGTGTCTCGGTTTCTCGGTTGCGGCTGACCGCTGTCAATTTATCTTTGCATACTTCCAGGCGTCCAATTAGTTTCGATTCGCTGCCGTTTCGATTCGTTTTCCGTTTGGGTTCGATTTGTTCGATCGGTTGACAACCGTTTCGGCTTGATTTCATTTCCTTCCATGGCCCTTTGTCCGGCGCCTTTGTCTTGGGGCTTTTAGCACTCAATTAAATCGCTTTCGCAGGGCCATATTTATGAGTTTGGCTGTCCTGTCCTGTCTTGATTGTAATTCCCCCAGTGATAAATGACTTCATCCCGATTGGGCCACTCAATTAGAACGCACTGCGTGTGCTTAAGTGGCATTTTCGGATATTTGTAAAAATCGATTAGCGAAAAGGATGAAGGGGCACCAGCTAACCCTCCAAGATTTTTCTGTTCTTTGCATAAATTAAAAATTAATTAAGAGCTGAGCGTAAGCGGGTCAAAGTGCTCTTCGAAAAGCAATTAAAGTCCACCATCAATCTGTTGGGTAAGCCCCAAACCGAAACCCTAATCCGAAGCCAAACACAGGGCCCACAGCCCAGAACCCAGATCCCACACAAGATGGCAAATTAATTTCTCGGACTTGGCCTGGACCGAAGGCCAAACATCAACGCTTGTGGCCAGGTTGGGGCCAATGCGCTCTCAGCTGTAAATAAACACAGGCGAATTCAAATAAGCAAAAGAATAAGTAAGGATAAATAACTAACAAGCCAAGGACCCAACCGAATCCAATGCACCGTCACAATGGGCCACGGCCAAAAGAAATAAATCACAGCCATTCAGCATGTCCTGCCGACTGACAAAAGGATCCACGACCTAGCCCAGACGGCAAGGAATGGGCGAGAAATCAGTTCCCCACGCAGATTCCGCTTGATGTGTGTATTGATCACCCTGATTGATTTAAACTTCAATTGAATTGAAATCTCCGCCAGATTCGGAGTATCCATCCTATCGCAAAATCTGAGTTATTTTCATCGCCGGCTTAGCATTTGCATCCACTGTATGCTTGGCCAACTTTGAAAGGTCAAATGAAAGACCGAGTCCCAAAGGCAAATCTCAGACGCTTTAACAAATAAAAGTCGAACAAGAAAAGATTCTGTGTACCACAAAAAATATATAAATATATACGTATATATTAGAAAAATAAGCGTTGATATTGACTGCAGAGAAACCACACCTGCTGGGTGATGTATTGTGAAGACACCGCCGTCCCTACGGCTTTGGGAAAAGCAGACAAAAGCTGTAACCGGAACTGAGACCCGGATCCGAGTCCGGGCCTGTGCCAGGGCCTGGGCCTGGGACCGGGACACTTGGAGGGGTGACCTGCGTTCGCTGTTATTGTTATGGCGCATTGTCAATGCGTTTGACAAAAGCACTCGGCGTTTCGTATATATGTACCTCTATATGTCTCTATATATATACTCGTATTCGAAAAGTGGTGGTGCGCGACTTACGAGGCTTTTCAATTTGTTGTTCTTTATTGATTTAAAGTTCACTTCAGTCGCGGTCGCTTTGTTGGTGAGTGTCATGCACACACAGCCACTCCTCGTACCTCCAACCCACAACACAAACCACATAAAACTCATTTCCCTAAAGGTGCAGGAGAAAGGACCTGGGCGCACACACAATTCCTCTGGTGACATTCGTATTTGTTGGCTGAAGTTTACTTAGTTTGCCCAACATGGGAATTACACGTTTGCTCGAGTCCCAAATGTTTGCCTACTTTCGCCGAAGGAGTGTGAGAGTAAGTGCTTCCCATACTCGGATGGAATCAAATGGAAAAGCATAGCCCCTGGCATGGTTGAGTATTTGCCGAAACTTGTATGGTATTGATGGGCCTCGATTACGCGGCAAGCCAATCGCCAAATAAATGTACATAATTTGAAAATTGACATTTGCTAATGATAAGCCTCCTCCGCTGATGATAAAATATGGGATGGGCAGCGAGTGACAGCGAGCAGCTGGCAGCCCAAATTCTGGCCGAATGCCTAAAAAACAGAAATGCGACAGCTGCTCCTTCCAGGAAGGAAGCAAATTTTCGACAGGCCCCGTCGAAAACGGAAATTCCCCCCTATCGGCCCAGATACTGAAGCTGTTTATGGTAAATTAAACCAATTGAGAGGGATTACGTTTTTGGCACTACTCCCGGCAGCCCTCTCGACTCTGTGGGTTTCAATTTCATTGTCTGTTCAGAGCCCGCGGCTAACGGAATTTATATAATATAATATTATGGTATATACCCCATACAAAGCCACCAAAGACTCAAGGTGTTTATGGGCTTAACTCTGGCTCGGATTCTGCCTAGTCCTTCTGTTCGTTTCCCTGGGCTGCCTCCGAGATTTGCATGTTCTACACAAATTGGGGCATACCACGGACGGGGCGGGAGGCAGATAGAAGACAAATAGCCGGCACGTTGCGGTTCATTTAACTGCCACAACAAATGCCAAATTGATGCAAATGTAAATGGAAATCGAATCCAGAACGTGGCTGAGAAATCGTAGGCAAAAGTCAAAAGTTAACTGCCGGTTCTGAAGAATAAAAGATACTCTTAAAGCAACTTACTTCTTAAATTTCTGAACTAAATTTTAAACTTGTAGTGGGGAAGAGAGTACTCTTGAGTAAATAATTTAAAAGCTCAGATGTCCTTTTGATCTTAAACTAGCAACTACCATTTATCTTTATTTTTCAATAAATGCTCTGGAAACATAAACCACAAACAACTTAACAAATCGATGTTGCTCTTTCCGAGTGAGCCGACGACTATGAAAGGAAATAAATCGTTTATCTTTTTATTCAATTGCAGGTCCTGGCAAACGATTGGCCATAATATCGCTCATCAAAACGACTTGGGCAGAATGTCCTTTCCTTTGAGTGTCCTTTCCGTTGGCATTAGTGTAACATTTGCTCTGACTACCAGCTGCAACTAAGTTGGCACAACCCAGTCATGACACTTCTACAGAGACTCCAGGCCATGACGGCCACCACGGCCAGGACGTTGCTGGAAGGACAGGGGACACGGGAGCCCCGTTTGCATCTACAGCCCCTGGGAAGGCAACTGCCAGTCCTGGAGGCATCTGCATCCCATGCCCGATATCTGAATCTCATTGCCGACGGACTCATCGACGAGGGGGGACTAGTGAGCAGTGGAACGGGCATCGGCACCAGCACAGTGTCCGTCGAAGATGTTGTATCCGGAACGGCGCAGGATGCAGGATTCGAGGCGAGCGCAGCCGCCGCCTCCGTCGACGGCGAGGATGCCGAGGGCAGCACACATCTAGCATTAGTCTTCGTCAAGTGTTTCGTTATTGGTTTCATCATACTGGCCGCCATCCTGGGTAACATGCTGGTGATTGTGTCTGTTATGCGCCACCGGAAATTGCGGTGAGTCCTTCCACTCTTATATGTGTGGTAGTGTGTGGCGCGTGTGTGGTCATATGTCACCGCTGACATTTGTCGCCTTCCCATTAATTTGGTTCATTTTACCCGCCATGGTGTCCATGTCATGCAAACAATCGAGTGGTTTTTTATTACATTTTCTGCCCAGAGCCTTCGATTATGTCAACTAAACGATAATCTAATAACATTTGTGGCAACATCAATGGTTTATCTCGCTTTATTTATTTTTCTAGTTTTATTGGGTAAAATTTAACTGATGTTATCCATTTAAGCTTTTTTATTATTATTTCTTTTTTAAGGCTTAGAATCAGAAACATTCGAATGAACCCACCAGTTTCCTTTCTGACATTTTACATTCATTTCAAATATCTTTTCTCATTTCCTGAATAGCACGTAGTCAGGATTCGCGATTGTTTTAGCTGTCAAGGACCTGACAGTGTCCGAGTTTTGTTGCTCTAATATATTTTTTGCACCTTCGCTAGTCTTTTTCGCAGGACTTTGACATTACGAGTATCTACCTCGTTTTTGCGGCCATTAATTTGTCATCATTTATCATATTTTCCACCATTTTTGCGTGTCAAGCGCACAGAACTCATCTTGTCCGCCTTCCGCCAATCAAAGGGCGTGGCCAGTTAATTCCGCCAGGCAAACGGCAAAAGGCGAAAGCCAAGTTAAATGTTAGATACGTGCGTAATTACATTAGAAATGTTAATAAAGGGCGAGCATCAAAATATTGCTGCCTACTTAGGGGGTCGCCATTGCCATTTACTTTATGGGCGGCCATATAATTTGTCAAATTTATGAATTGAGCCCCGCGTCGCCTCCACATGAGATATGAGATATGGCTTTGTGTGGGTCTGCCGGGTGTTGTGTTGTGCTGTGGGATTTGCCAAGTATCCAGGTATGTACGTGTTTTAGCCGCAAAAAATTCATAAGCTCAACAACGCTGGCATTTAAAGAACCCAACATAAAACACTCCGAGCCAGCGAAGCGACAATGGTGTAACCTAACCCCAGGACGTTCAATGTCAAGGCATAGCAGACTATTTAAGCAGGCCCAAGAAAATGCCACTGCCATTGCCACGGTTTTGCCTCACGGCTCTTGTCGAGGAATCTTATACCTTGCCTCGTAAAAGGAAAAGAAGGAAAAAAAAGCACCTGACATTTGTGTCTGAAAACTGGGGATTCTGAGACGGAGATGAGACCGAGACTGAGACTGAGACCGAGACCGAGACTGAGGCCGAGGCTGAGGCTCATTTAGCCTGCCAGGGACAGGCAATTTGGGACCTGACCCTGACTACGTCTATTCCATGTTGCCATTTTTATCTCAACTGCTTGTGCCAGCATCTCATTGTCATGTGCGTTTTCCGCACCATTTTCACCTTTTACGCCCGGCTAGGCAGTTTAAATCATCATGGCAAATTAGACTTAATTACGAAACAACATGTATTCCCACTTAGGCCGTGCAGCCAGGCAACCCGCCCAGGGTCCCACATCCATATATTCTTTTTATGTTTTCCTCCGAGTTTTGCCCACTCACTTAATATAAATAATTCATGCCCTAGCACAGCATATGGTGTAATCAATAAATTGCGATGACAAATTAAAGGTCGCCGAAAGTTCAACTTTTGCTTACACCTTTGGCTTCTACTTTCTCTATTCAGCCCGAGCAGAAAGTGCCAACTCATAATTGTAATCAAACTTGACACCTATCAGCGGAACATTCCACCAAACTCCCCCTACCGTGTAATCGGCTTTAGGTTAACGCCTCAATAACAATTTTGTGTTGGCTTTGATGCGGGTTATTTGCTGTGGTGGCTTTAAGTCGGTCGACCTTTTTGCGGTCGGGTCTGGACTCCGACTCTGGTAATTAGGTTTGTGGGTAGGCAGTTCAATGTCCTGACCTAACAGCACAAAAAATCTGCCTAAATGCCAGGCGATTGTTAACGAGTTTAGGAGATCAAAAGCTCAACCAAAAGGAGTCCGCCTCATTCCATCTTTGTAAGTCATGATAGATGCACTTTTAGTCTTGCATTCGAAACTTATTGCATTCGAAAAGTTTTTGTTTTATATTAAATCATGTTTAGCCTCCTCAGACTCGGAAAGTTTTATCTGAGAAGTTTCCGACCAAATACAATTCCCCATAGACTTTAAACTTGAGCTCTCCGCCAACCCTCTCGGCTGTGGCTTCAGCCGAGGCACAAGGATTTAAGTTGCCCAGGAAAATCATTTCTGACGTTGAAGCCGATAAACGTATTTGCACATTGCGTATACGCCGCGTGCTCATAATTGACTTTGCGTTTTGCGGTTCCACGCAATGTTGATGATTGCTGGTGGAAGTTGTGGTGGCGTTAAGCTAATTATTAATTAACCCATTAAACAATGAAATCCACTTGGAGCTCGCAGCTCGGAACTCGGATCTCGGATCTCGGTGAAGCGCCGTGCCGCGTTTAACGGCGGTCACATGCGGCGTATGCGCGATGTTCGTTAACCAAAAGTTTCCAACTTTGAGTTTGAGTTTGGGTCTGAGTCTGAGTTTGTGTCTGAGAGGCGATTAGCCGTGAGTGACTTGAAAGCTTAATGCAAAAATTTAATTTGAGAACTTGCCAATCCTCCTTGCACTTCCTTTTCCAGGATATATGTGGTTGTGGAAGCGGGTGTGGATGTGGGTGCGGGTACGGGAGTGGCTGTGTGGGCTGTATCCTTCCAGATTAGTTTTATCTTTGCTTTTAATCTCTCGCCTTGCAGCATCATTACCAACTACTTTGTGGTCTCACTGGCCGTGGCCGACATGCTGGTGGCCCTCTGTGCGATGACATTTAATGCTTCCGTCATGATCTCCGGCAAGTGGATGTTCGGCTCGGTGATGTGCGACATGTGGAACAGCTTCGATGTGTACTTCTCCACGGCCAGCATCATGCACCTCTGTTGCATATCCGTCGACAGGTGCGTATCCAAACAACAGAGTAATTAGAGGTTGCTCTACTGTATATCCTGTATTTCTCCACCCACCAGATACTACGCCATTGTCCAGCCGCTGGACTATCCCTTGATCATGACCCAGAGGCGGGTGTTCATCATGCTCCTAATGGTCTGGCTTTCGCCGGCCCTGCTCTCCTTCCTGCCCATCTGCACGGGCTGGTACACAACTGCCGAGAACTACAAGTATCTCAAATCGAATCCGCACGTAAGTAATAATGCCCACAATAAGGCATTTAATTGGATAATTAAATCGCCTGTTTCTGGTCTCTATTTAAGTGCCCTTCAGATTTACTTAGGCAATCGTTTACAGCAAATATGCTATGCATAGCATGTATGCCAGCCAGGGCCCTGCATTATTTATTCAATTTTCTTGCACATCAAACTAATAGAAAATTCTAATTTAGTTGATAGAGTCCGGGGTATTGACTTGGTATGCATTTTGCATGGGTTCCTGGGTCGGAGTCAGGGCTTGGGGTCTGTGTGGATGTGGCCTTTGACTTTTCCCGTAAAAGTCCGTAGTCCGAAGTCCCGAGTCCGCAGTCTCCGGTCCCGGAGCCCCGTCTCAACGGAAATTGATTTATGTTTGTGTGGCTGAAGCAGTTTTACGCCTTTCAGGCGCTCAGCCGACAGGTAGCATATTTATTACTCCATTTTATTGGTTTCCCGTATTCTCTCAGTGGCGTCGAAATTCGACATGGAGGCCACCATGGTAGAACCATTTTCATTCCAGCACAGTCAGCAGCTGCTATGTAGAGCAGTAGCCCACACCCACTGCGGTTATCATTGCGCAATAAAAATGCTGATGTAGAAATAAATGTACGTAATTCCATTCCGGTTTTTGCACAGGCTGTGCATAATTTTCGAGGCTCCACCTTGCCATCCGGCAAAGCAACTCATTGAAAGCCCTTTGCATAGCATTAACATCCGGGCTGGGCTTTAATTAGTTTTACTTGTTTATGCTAATAAGTGGCTGGCAACGGGGTCTAGGCCATAAATCTGATTAGACGTCTTCTGTTGGCCTTTTGTCATGCCATCACAGTAATGCACAATGTAATTGAGTTTTTATTGCTGCCGCACTTGACATTGCGGCTATGCGGCACTACGGCAGTGCAACAAACGCATTCCACAGTTGCCAATTGCGAGGCATTACGCTCCATTAGTTTTCCCCCCGGGCATCGTTTTTGATTTATTGATTCAGTCGCAACTAGAGCGCTAATTGAGTTGCCTGGCCGATGAACACAAGCCGCTCAATACTCAACATTCCGATTTTAGATATGCGAGTTCAAAGTGAACAAGGCCTACGCCATAGTGAGTTCGTCAATGAGTTTCTGGATACCCGGCATCGTGATGCTTTCAATGTACTATCGCATTTACCAGGAGGCCGACCGTCAGGAGCGCCTCGTCTACAGGTAAGATTGGATCAAGTGGTGGTCCGGCGGTGGCCAATTAACGCTAATTACCCCAATCTCAGATCCAAGGTGGCCGCTCTGCTGCTGGAGAAGCATCTGCAGATTAGCCAAATTCCCAAGCCGCGCCCAAGCATCCAGGTGGAACAGTCGACCATTACGACGATGAGGCGGGAGAGGAAGGCCGCCCGCACCCTGGGCATCATAATGAGCGCCTTCCTCATCTGCTGGCTGCCGTTCTTCCTCTGGTGCGTATACTTGATTTTCTCAATTTGCAGTAAATATGGCTAAAACGAAAATTATAAGATGACGACTAATTCGTGATTAAAACGAGCTTTATTAAGATGAGCGTTTAACCTTTATACTTATAGGTGTATTTATTTTTTAAAGTTTATAATTTTATGTTTTTACCTGAAAAAATCTTAAGAATTTAAGAAAAAGCAAGAAAATTTGTTAGATATTTATTTTGAAAAACGAATTTAAAACAGGAGATATATGTATATACATACATAGGTATGATTTTATTGGCCTAACTCTTGGATATCCTTATTTTGCTTTTATCTTTTAAAATGTTTAGTAATCTCAGTCTTAAAGTAAGCCAAAGAGAGAAATTTATTTTATTAAGCAATAAAGTTATGCCAAGCCATGGTAAGCCTTGACTGCTAATAAAGAAGAGAAACTACTAAAGAAAGTAGTGGCAGGGAAATAAGCAACAAAATAAAATTGCACAAAAATGTATTATTATCCTTCTTCTTGCTTCACTTTATTGCTGAAAATTCAACTTAATTTGGTATCTCTTTAACCCTCCACCAGGTATATTGTATCCTCCTTGTGCGATAGTTGCATCACTCCTCGCCTCCTGGTCGGCATATTATTTTGGATCGGTTACTTCAACTCGGCCCTGAACCCCATTATTTATGCATACTTCAATCGCGATTTCAGGGCGGCCTTCAAAAAGACCCTCAAGGTAAGTGCTGGCTGGCATCGGCTATTGAGTAATTTGCATTTATTTTCAACTTCGACATCTTGATGGGAACTTTATTTTTATATTCAATATTCCTCTTTGATTGGGTATCCGACCAAAAATTTGTGCACCCACGATTTTAGACTTAGTTAAGGGCCACGGCATTTGCTGCAATCGCTAAGGACAAGACACCAGCAGCAGCGGCGATGGCAGCAGCAACCATATCGGCAGCAACTAGCAACATGGCCAATACACCAACAGCAACGTCCACCAGAAAAGGCTCACGTTTAGCAATTATTTTGGTAGCTATCTTCAAGCATTAATAGGCAGAGAAAAAATATATTTCAAAGTTATTTTATACTAAACTTGTAAAGTTATTTCTTTTAAAATTTAAAAAAATGTAAATAGTCATATTTTTTCTCTGTGTATTTACTGCTTGACGGAAAGTGTAGAAAGCGTAGCGTTCATTTTAGCTGATTGAAATGCTTCTCCTCTCTGGTTGCTAAGCAAGAAAAATAGCTTTTTTTCTCTGCCTGAAGAACGAATTCTGCTCTGCACGTCTTGCTCTGCTTGTGCCTGCCATCTCTATCTGTCTCTCTTGCTCTTGCTCTGACTCTCTCTTTCTACACCCACATCGGCTGTCTCTGTCTGCCGCCTGGAGGGTGGCTCGAAAATTGGTCTAACGCTTTGGCTTACTAATCGTTTGAACTTCCTGCTTACCACTTTCACTCTCCATAAACTGAAACTACTACCATTTCTTTCTTTTACGCACAGCTGGCGCTTACTTTGCTGCTACGTTGCCTAGTGCCGAACAAAAGCTAAGCCAAATGCGCCTAAAAGTATGCAACAGAAACCGAAATAGAAACAAAAACCCAAAAAAATGTAATATTTAAATTAAAACTGAACCATCTATGCACCTCTACGAGCACACACACGCACCTGCTGTACTCCAGTGTATATTCCCATGATAAAATGTTATTTTTCCCCACGCAGTCCCTCTTTTTTTGTCGTTGTTTTAAACATATTTTTTTTCTAAAAATTCTCCCTTTTGAGCTGCACACTTTGACACAACACCAACACCAGTACAAAAACACGCACTCGGTCCCTTTTCCAATTTTTTTCACCAACGAATGCGCGGCCTTTCATATCGTTTAGCATTTTTTGTCCCTTTTTTTGTTGTTTTCTTTGACTCCCATTTTTTTGCTTTTATTTTTTACTTTTGGGTTTTACTTTGTTTTTTTTTGTTATTTGTTGTGTGTGTGAAACCAAATTGTCACAGACATGTGCCGCCATCCAGCCCCACACCAAGCCACCCCTCCCGTCGACTGTGCCGTCCCACGTACCACGCGTCGTATGCTTAACCTTTTGAGAACTGTACTGTAGCAAGCAAACTCTATTAAATTATACATATAGCGTACTCTAACCGAACTACGAGGGTGCGGTTTTCGAGGATGTGGGTACTTCTAATGTCTGACTATGTTTTTTTATGTATTTCTCTTTAGAGCTTGTGCCCCTTCCTCTTCCGATACTGCCGCCGCGGAGGGGGGCGGGACGACCTAGACCGCGACCTGGAGTTCGGCGGTCCCAGCCGTCGGGGAACTAACGGCGCCAGGGCCGGATCCGGCTCCGCCGACATGGCCAACTGTGTCAACTCCACTGCCTCCTCGGAGATCCATATGAGCGTGATGAGAGCCCGCCAGTACGCCGTCAACGTCACGCCCGCCACCACCGACGCCCACATGCAGCAATTGCATCCGCTCTACACCAATTAATCGCACACCACGGCGGATACTTGATTTCAGGCATGTCGGCCTGCTCATGAAGTGTAGGCTGAGTTAAGAATTAAATTCCTTGAATAAATTGCCAGCTTAAAATGAAAACCGGTCAAAGGGCAAGAATTTAACCACAAAACAAATAGCTAATGCAGAAATAAAAATCAACAAAGAATACGACAATCCCACAGATTAAAACGAAAGCCTTCAAGAACAGAAAATTGACGTGCAAAATGAATTGAAATACAAATAGAAATAAACATATTTCACCATAAATATTTACAAAGTTCAGTGAGGAAAAACTCATGCATACAATATATAATCGATTGACATTTAGAGAGATGTTTATGAATGCGAAAGCAGAAATATAATATTGAATGTTTGATATACGTATGTATAAAGCTAGATGTTGTCCTATAGAATATACACCAATAATCGCAAGCGAATAGTTCACTTTTCTTGTTTGAGTTTCAATGGATTTTTCGAATGGGTTTCTTGAGAAAATGTTTGTCTATTGAAAGGTTTGAATTAATAGTCAGGTGTTATAGCTATATAGTCATGTATTGTAAGTCATGTGTGTGTAGAGCCTAAAAAGAGCACGTCTAACATATCCATTGGGTCTAATTAGCTACAAAGATTGGCAGCTAAATGTTCCTGACTTAGAGTCTCTCCCTTCCACTAAAATCTATACTATATTAAATACCTGCAACTGTCGATACAATTTCGCAACTAGATGCAACTGACATTCATAGAACTGTTTTTGTAAGCCCGTGCTACTAATCCCTTATACTAATTTTTTTGCCTGGACAATCTTTACGAAGCACAATAAACTAACTAAGCTCCCCAGTTTCCGAGCCCGTTCTGTTGACTTTCGCTTTCGACTTGATAGCAAAATAAAATGAAAATGAAAACAGCACTTGCGAATTTGTTGAATAAGATATATACATTTAATGGAGAAATTATCAGCAGTCGGAATCGCAACTGTAACTGCCACGCCCCGCGCCGAATTTGTCACCGCCCTCGCCCCCATAAATCAAAGGGAGTTCAGAGTGTGTTTGTTTAGCGAAAGCCCAAGCTGGCGGACAATGTTTGCCCAGAAATATATCAAATCGTTGCAAATATATATGTTTACGGTGTCTGTACGTAGCTGACTTTTTCTTACGATTCATAGTCATTATTTAAAGCGCCGGCTTAAGAGCTCACCGCCGCCGACAAATGAGCATCGCACCCCGTCTTGCGGGCCGGAATACATCCCTCCTTGTCCGTCCGCCGGTGGGCATGTCAATATTTGTTTTATTTAACTCTCGGCGCTTTGTTTAAACTGCGGAACGCCCACGAAAAAGTTTATGGGCCGAGCAGCAGCAGCACCGTTTGATAAAAGTTAGAATGTAGCCAAATATTGTTAACTAAATTATCGTAGCTTTCCATGGAATTCCAAACAGCGAATGCTCTTTCCCCCTTATTCTCTTACTTTATGAATCAGCCAACAGAGTTTAATTTTAAAAAAATGTATTTTCAGTTATATAAGTATCTAAATGTGTTCCTTTGTTGATCCAAGTGTTTCCAGGAGCATTGTACTTTAGTAGGAGCTGTAGCCTGTACATTCCAGTCAGTTAAACGAGGAAATAAGATACCATATATCTTATCATCATCACTAAGTTTGGAAATGAATTTCTCATTTGCTTCCCAGTTATATGTACCTCTCGGTTTTAGGGTATTTTTAAGCTTTTTAAACTGCTATTTAAGCCAGAGAAATGTGGCACGTGTCCATAAGCCTGCTTGTCAATAGATTGCCAAGAGCTGCAAGCCACATTCATAAATGTATAACAAATTGGCAAGTCAACTGACGGGAGGCATGTGACTTTTGGATAAAAATAACTACTCAAAATTTAGCGAAAAACGTTGAAAGGAAAATAATTAAATTATGGCAATTTGGCAGAGCTAACGCTGATTACAGTCGCTCGGAAATGTGCGATGACAAGTTATTCCATGATGCAATCTCAGATAAGTCTTTCGATTCTTGGATGACAATGACTTGTACAACTCGTGCTCCCAGCGGCTGGGCTAGTATTTAGATTTCAGATGAGTCTTTTCGTTTCATTTTCCTTAAAACAGTAATTAAAGCTACTTGGAGTACAATGTACCTAAGCCATAATCGTAGTCATGTGGTCGCAGATATACATATAGTAGATGTGAAACTCATAGTTGGGTCAATGTTAAGTGTAAAAGTAGTAAGTCGCTCAGAATTTAAACCATTATGGAAATCGAAACAAAAAGGTTTGCAATTAAATGTCCAAATGATATACTGAGCTGAAGCTTATTTTGCAACAAAGAAGAAAAAACAAAATGTGTGTCTAATTATAAAGGTAGTCAAATAATTGTTAAATATTGAATGTATGTATTATGAATATTTATAGTTGAACCCATTGCATTGAATCGCAACAAAAAAAAACATCAGCATGAAACCCAGAAAGAGAATTTTAAAGAACACATTTAAAAATTACAAATTAATGGAAAAACTCATATACTCATACGTAATGCGGCCAGGTGGCATTAAATATTAAATATTAAACGCAAACATTAAGTGCAAAAAAACACAAAAACAGTAACGGCAAAAGTAAAAGGAAATTGTTAATTAACTTGTGGAAAATATTTACAAAATAACAAGCAGTTAGCACGGATCTGATGGTCGATTGTCGGTCAATTTCGGAAATGTACTCAGATACCTTCCAAGTTTCGCGGGAAAGACGGATTGAAGCCCCTCGACATAAGTAAATGTTAACATGTGCGTTTTTCAGTGGAAACTATATATTAAATTATACATATATATTTATTATACAAAAGGTATATGTTTATGGTGTATGCATGTATTGTATATAGTATCTCGATACATATAAATTAATGAAATGAAGCAATTACAATCGTATGGAATAAACGTAAAGGTAATAATAAAAAGGTTCAAAACATCATATGTATTGTTGGCTTTTCATTTTTCGCTTTCCCTCGCCACAATTTCCACGATTTCGCGATGTGAACTTCATTCCCGTTTCAGGTAGAGATGCAATGGATGGCTCGACGGTCTGTCCCGACGTTATGAGTGGTTGTTACTGCTATACGTATCTCTAAACTTTTTCTGAATTAACTGATATGCATTGTAGACTCTGTAGAATTTACAGCCGCCAATCGACAATAGCCATTGATAAGTCCAAATTGATTTTGAAAAGAAAACAAAGAGCGTTGAGTTAGTACAGGAAGTGCCTTTATAGCCGTTAGAGCTGGCTCACCTTTCTTTCGCCGCCTTGAAGGACTTCTTTCGCTGCTTGAGTAACGCCTTATCCTGGGCGGCGTCTGGGTTGGGCAGATCGTTGGGGGATATGGATGTCATGTTATCCGGATGGCAGAAGAAGGCGATCGAATGCCGACCACGAGCTCTAATGCTCTCCTGTTCGGGAATAACGACGCGATGTTGCTGTTTCGAAAAGAAATTAAAGAATATTAGTCTTTTTTTAAGAAACCTATACTATTTTTAAAACTTAAGTGATTTATCAAACAAATATTTGCTAAACTCATCACTTATTCCGACGTCATTGAGATGCCAGCCCTATTTCGTCAATCAGACTTGGTTATGAATTTAACAAATATTGGCCAAGACAAGGTCTATTATTAGATATGTGAGAAAATAACTTTCAATGCTACAATTACTGAGAAATTCCCATTAACGGGGCCAACCAAACATAGGATTAGTGACTCACCAGTGCGGGATAACGTTCCTGTGTCCAGATATTCAAAATCTGGCCACAGTTGACAAGAATGGAGCCGGGCAAGTGACCGACGCGGTTCCACTTCTCGCTTCCTGGCAACTTGATCTCGAGTCCGCCCTCTGAGTCCTGGGCCAGCAGGGTGAAAGTGCCATAGTCGACATGGGCAGGGCATCGGATGACTGCTCCATTGCCCAGTTTGTGCTCAAAAAGCTGGCCATTGGGGCCGTCTACCCCGTCGTTGAGGTCGTCTTCGTCGCGGGGATTGTGCTCCGGACGGAAGTCCGGCTGGTTGGAGAGACAGCGCTGGTAGCTGTACTGGCACCGACCCTTGATCACATCGTTCTGGCCGGGCTCGTCGTCCACCACCGGGGGATAGTAGAGCATGCGCAGGGAGCTCATGTTGTCGTGGTCGCCCGACAACATGTGTGAGTGCTTTTCGAGGAAGAAGGTGTGCGGAATGTCCAGCGAGACGGCCAGCGCCTGGAGGATGAAACTGGCCAGGGCCTTGAAGTCTGTCGCCAAGGTGCTGATGTGGTCCGCGAATCCGGGAAGCGGTTCCTCGGGCAGGTTCTGGGCATTCAGCGTGCTGATATTGAAGGCATGTCGCAGATCCGGAGCCTTTCCATCAAAACGATGCTGCTGTCCGCGACTCACGTAACCGTGTTTGTCGCCATCTGTTCGGATGTAATGTTGCTTGACATCCGGCGGCAGGTCCACAAAGTCATCCAGGTGATCCCAGGCAGTCTTGAGCTGCAAACCAAACAGAGGAAATATATTAAAAAATCTTAAGTCCATAATTTATGATTGAAATTAAGCAGTAAATGATAGGTTATCTGTTGCGAATGGCTATCAAAAATTTTTCGCAATCTTACCCGTAACTGTGAGTATTGATATTTAAATTTAGAACACTTCCATGGGAGTGACCTCTTACCTTCTCATCGGATATGCCGTGGTTGACCAGCAGCGCCATGCCCTTCTCGGAAAGGGCCTTCTTCAGCTGGTGACCCACGCGGTTGACCACCGACTTGACGGGCACCTCCTCGATACCTGAGAATAATCCGAAAAAGATGCGATTAGTGGGCGTGGGAATTGCCAGCGGAACTGCCACTTAATCGCTAATTGTTTTGTGGTCGCCCGGTTTTATGGATTCTTGGGATTGTATACCGCACCCCCCACTACCCACCACCCCCCTAACACCTGGTAGCCATAAAGAATTGCCCAAGTTTATGGCAGATTGTTCAATAAATTTGTGTGTATACAAGCGGCAATAAATACCCGTAGCTGTTTATCGAACACTTGGCCGTTGATTTTGAATGTCAGGGCCCATTGAGGAGCGTGGTCAGGGCATTGGATCCACGTGCCACTTGCATAAGACTCGGGGGGGAGTCCGGCCATCGGTACTCGACACTTGCCACTTGGGAGATAATTCAGGCAATTGGAATCTCGAATAAGCCATGCAAAATGCAGAAGGCGTGCTCGATAATTCGCAATACAGCACCGAATGCAATAAAAGGTAAAATGCAATCAATTTAAATGCGAATGCAATGGCGCTGCCGATGGCGGTAATGGCGATGCGCGGCATTGACAACGCTCGACGGAAAATTAAATAGAAAATGGCGAGGAAAACCGCAGCGGAAGTCGTTCCACACCGTTTCCCCTGCAGTTGAAAGTCCAATGCTATCCGGCAGATAGTATCTATCTGGAAGAAGAGGACGACACCCTTGGAGATATCGAATTGCCGGGCCGCTAATGTGATCACTTACTCATTCAGTTCGGACCAGTCATGAATGAAAGCAGGGGAATGCAAAGCAATTGCAAACAAGTCGTCAGCCCTTGTCCCACCGGGCGTATGCGCAATCTATAAATAGGTTTCCCATAACCCGTTGCTGGAAATTACTTTTGCCTGCCCGGTCTGCCCTCAACGCCGTTTCGAGTCCGTGACGCACTCTCCGCCGTACAGATAAGATTCTATATAATTTATTTATTTCTATTTTTCTTTTAGTATTTCCCTGTTAATAACAATTACGCTTTGTTGGGGTCTGAGGCGTGGCTCTTATCAGCCTAGAAGTTGCCAGGCGGCAATTGAAATTTTGCCGGAAAGCATTCACCCGTATAGGAGACAAATTACGGATTCCGAACGATGATGATGAGGCGACTCTACACATGTACATTTTATACAGAGTAGTAGCTCGGCTTGGAGAGGTCAGCCGGGCGAATTGAATGATTTCAATTGACGCCAGGCGGATCGCCTTTCGTTTTCATTTGATGGTTTTATTTTTGTTTTGGTCGCTGTTTTATTTTGTATTTTTCTGTGCGGTTTCTGTTTGCATGCAATTCAATTAGGCGGCAATTGGGATGCGAGTCGCTTTTCAATTTGCCATTTCCAACGGCCCCGCATGCCATCGAGCTTTTAGTGCTAACTTGTTGCTAATCGAGCTAATTGAGTCAGTAGTTTCACAACAAGGAGGAGGCCGAATTCGCTCGAAGATCATCTCGTCTAGGCACTGCGCACAATTCAACATTGTTTTCCCTCCATTTGTCTGGAATTCCTTTCTTCGGGCTTATCGTTTTATGCATTTATGGACAGGCACACATAAATGGCGGGCACGCGTTTGAATTTAATTGCGTGGGCGCTTGAACTCATTTCTGGTTCGATTGATTTTCAACTGAAGTGGTAATTGCTTTTTGGTATCCGGCAGAGTCCACTCACGGTCACCGAATAGCTTTCCATGGAATTCCAAACAGCGAATGCTCTTTCCCCCTTATTCTCTTACTTTATGAATCAGCCAACAGAGTTTAATTTTAAAAAAATGTATTTTCAGTTATATAAGTATCTAAATGTGTTCCTTTGTTGATCCAAGTGTTTCCAGGAGCATTGTACTTTAGTAGGAGCTGTAGCCTGTACATTCCAGTCAGTTAAACGAGGAAATAAGATACCATATATCTTATCATCATCACTAAGTTTGGAAATGAATTTCTCATTTGCTTCCCAGTTATATGTACCTCTCGGTTTTAGGGTATTTTTAAGCTTTTTAAACTGCTATTTAAGCCAGAGAAATGTGGCACGTGTCCATAAGCCTGCTTGTCAATAGATTGCCAAGAGCTGCAAGCCACATTCATAAATGTATAACAAATTGGCAAGTCAACTGACGGGAGGCATGTGACTTTTGGATAAAAATAACTACTCAAAATTTAGCGAAAAACGTTGAAAGGAAAATAATTAAATTATGGCAATTTGGCAGAGCTAACGCTGATTACAGTCGCTCGGAAATGTGCGATGACAAGTTATTCCATGATGCAATCTCAGATAAGTCTTTCGATTCTTGGATGACAATGACTTGTACAACTCGTGCTCCCAGCGGCTGGGCTAGTATTTAGATTTCAGATGAGTCTTTTCGTTTCATTTTCCTTAAAACAGTAATTAAAGCTACTTGGAGTACAATGTACCTAAGCCATAATCGTAGTCATGTGGTCGCAGATATACATATAGTAGATGTGAAACTCATAGTTGGGTCAATGTTAAGTGTAAAAGTAGTAAGTCGCTCAGAATTTAAACCATTATGGAAATCGAAACAAAAAGGTTTGCAATTAAATGTCCAAATGATATACTGAGCTGAAGCTTATTTTGCAACAAAGAAGAAAAAACAAAATGTGTGTCTAATTATAAAGGTAGTCAAATAATTGTTAAATATTGAATGTATGTATTATGAATATTTATAGTTGAACCCATTGCATTGAATCGCAACAAAAAAAAACATCAGCATGAAACCCAGAAAGAGAATTTTAAAGAACACATTTAAAAAATTACAAATTAATGGAAAAACTCATATACTCATACGTAATGCGGCCAGGTGGCATTAAATATTAAATATTAAACGCAAACATTAAGTGCAAAAAAACACAAAAACAGTAACGGCAAAAGTAAAAGGAAATTGTTAATTAACTTGTGGAAAATATTTACAAAATAACAAGCAGTTAGCACGGATCTGATGGTCGATTGTCGGTCAATTTCGGAAATGTACTCAGATACCTTCCAAGTTTCGCGGGAAAGACGGATTGAAGCCCCTCGACATAAGTAAATGTTAACATGTGCGTTTTTCAGTGGAAACTATATATTAAATTATACATATATATTTATTATACAAAAGGTATATGTTTATGGTGTATGCATGTATTGTATATAGTATCTCGATACATATAAATTAATGAAATGAAGCAATTACAATCGTATGGAATAAACGTAAAGGTAATAATAAAAAGGTTCAAAACATCATATGTATTGTTGGCTTTTCATTTTTCGCTTTCCCTCGCCACAATTTCCACGATTTCGCGATGTGAACTTCATTCCCGTTTCAGGTAGAGATGCAATGGATGGCTCGACGGTCTGTCCCGACGTTATGAGTGGTTGTTACTGCTATACGTATCTCTAAACTTTTTCTGAATTAACTGATATGCATTGTAGACTCTGTAGAATTTACAGCCGCCAATCGACAATAGCCATTGATAAGTCCAAATTGATTTTGAAAAGAAAACAAAGAGCGTTGAGTTAGTACAGGAAGTGCCTTTATAGCCGTTAGAGCTGGCTCACCTTTCTTTCGCCGCCTTGAAGGACTTCTTTCGCTGCTTGAGTAACGCCTTATCCTGGGCGGCGTCTGGGTTGGGCAGATCGTTGGGGGATATGGATGTCATGTTATCCGGATGGCAGAAGAAGGCGATCGAATGCCGACCACGAGCTCTAATGCTCTCCTGTTCGGGAATAACGACGCGATGTTGCTGTTTCGAAAAGAAATTAAAGAATATTAGTCTTTTTTAAGAAACCTATACTATTTTTAAAACTTAAGTGATTTATCAAACAAATATTTGCTAAACTCATCACTTATTCCGACGTCATTGAGATGCCAGCCCTATTTCGTCAATCAGACTTGGTTATGAATTTAACAAATATTGGCCAAGACAAGGTCTATTATTAGATATGTGAGAAAATAACTTTCAATGCTACAATTACTGAGAAATTCCCATTAACGGGGCCAACCAAACATAGGATTAGTGACTCACCAGTGCGGGATAACGTTCCTGTGTCCAGATATTCAAAATCTGGCCACAGTTGACAAGAATGGAGCCGGGCAAGTGACCGACGCGGTTCCACTTCTCGCTTCCTGGCAACTTGATCTCGAGTCCGCCCTCTGAGTCCTGGGCCAGCAGGGTGAAAGTGCCATAGTCGACATGGGCAGGGCATCGGATGACTGCTCCATTGCCCAGTTTGTGCTCAAAAAGCTGGCCATTGGGGCCGTCTACCCCGTCGTTGAGGTCGTCTTCGTCGCGGGGATTGTGCTCCGGACGGAAGTCCGGCTGGTTGGAGAGACAGCGCTGGTAGCTGTACTGGCACCGACCCTTGATCACATCGTTCTGGCCGGGCTCGTCGTCCACCACCGGGGGATAGTAGAGCATGCGCAGGGAGCTCATGTTGTCGTGGTCGCCCGACAACATGTGTGAGTGCTTTTCGAGGAAGAAGGTGTGCGGAATGTCCAGCGAGACGGCCAGCGCCTGGAGGATGAAACTGGCCAGGGCCTTGAAGTCTGTCGCCAAGGTGCTGATGTGGTCCGCGAATCCGGGAAGCGGTTCCTCGGGCAGGTTCTGGGCATTCAGCGTGCTGATATTGAAGGCATGTCGCAGATCCGGAGCCTTTCCATCAAAACGATGCTGCTGTCCGCGACTCACGTAACCGTGTTTGTCGCCATCTGTTCGGATGTAATGTTGCTTGACATCCGGCGGCAGGTCCACAAAGTCATCCAGGTGATCCCAGGCAGTCTTGAGCTGCAAACCAAACAGAGGAAATATATTAAAAAATCTTAAGTCCATAATTTATGATTGAAATTAAGCAGTAAATGATAGGTTATCTGTTGCGAATGGCTATCAAAAATTTTTCGCAATCTTACCCGTAACTGTGAGTATTGATATTTAAATTTAGAACACTTCCATGGGAGTGACCTCTTACCTTCTCATCGGATATGCCGTGGTTGACCAGCAGCGCCATGCCCTTCTCGGAAAGGGCCTTCTTCAGCTGGTGACCCACGCGGTTGACCACCGACTTGACGGGCACCTCCTCGATACCTGAGAATAATCCGAAAAAGATGCGATTAGTGGGCGTGGGAATTGCCAGCGGAACTGCCACTTAATCGCTAATTGTTTTGTGGTCGCCCGGTTTTATGGATTCTTGGGATTGTATACCGCACCCCCCACTACCCACCACCCCCCTAACACCTGGTAGCCATAAAGAATTGCCCAAGTTTATGGCAGATTGTTCAATAAATTTGTGTGTATACAAGCGGCAATAAATACCCGTAGCTGTTTATCGAACACTTGGCCGTTGATTTTGAATGTCAGGGCCCATTGAGGAGCGTGGTCAGGGCATTGGATCCACGTGCCACTTGCATAAGACTCGGGGGGGAGTCCGGCCATCGGTACTCGACACTTGCCACTTGGGAGATAATTCAGGCAATTGGAATCTCGAATAAGCCATGCAAAATGCAGAAGGCGTGCTCGATAATTCGCAATACAGCACCGAATGCAATAAAAGGTAAAATGCAATCAATTTAAATGCGAATGCAATGGCGCTGCCGATGGCGGTAATGGCGATGCGCGGCATTGACAACGCTCGACGGAAAATTAAATAGAAAATGGCGAGGAAAACCGCAGCGGAAGTCGTTCCACACCGTTTCCCCTGCAGTTGAAAGTCCAATGCTATCCGGCAGATAGTATCTATCTGGAAGAAGAGGACGACACCCTTGGAGATATCGAATTGCCGGGCCGCTAATGTGATCACTTACTCATTCAGTTCGGACCAGTCATGAATGAAAGCAGGGGAATGCAAAGCAATTGCAAACAAGTCGTCAGCCCTTGTCCCACCGGGCGTATGCGCAATCTATAAATAGGTTTCCCATAACCCGTTGCTGGAAATTACTTTTGCCTGCCCGGTCTGCCCTCAACGCCGTTTCGAGTCCGTGACGCACTCTCCGCCGTACAGATAAGATTCTATATAATTTATTTATTTCTATTTTTCTTTTAGTATTTCCCTGTTAATAACAATTACGCTTTGTTGGGGTCTGAGGCGTGGCTCTTATCAGCCTAGAAGTTGCCAGGCGGCAATTGAAATTTTGCCGGAAAGCATTCACCCGTATAGGAGACAAATTACGGATTCCGAACGATGATGATGAGGCGACTCTACACATGTACATTTTATACAGAGTAGTAGCTCGGCTTGGAGAGGTCAGCCGGGCGAATTGAATGATTTCAATTGACGCCAGGCGGATCGCCTTTCGTTTTCATTTGATGGTTTTATTTTTGTTTTGGTCGCTGTTTTATTTTGTATTTTTCTGTGCGGTTTCTGTTTGCATGCAATTCAATTAGGCGGCAATTGGGATGCGAGTCGCTTTTCAATTTGCCATTTCCAACGGCCCCGCATGCCATCGAGCTTTTAGTGCTAACTTGTTGCTAATCGAGCTAATTGAGTCAGTAGTTTCACAACAAGGAGGAGGCCGAATTCGCTCGAAGATCATCTCGTCTAGGCACTGCGCACAATTCAACATTGTTTTCCCTCCATTTGTCTGGAATTCCTTTCTTCGGGCTTATCGTTTTATGCATTTATGGACAGGCACACATAAATGGCGGGCACGCGTTTGAATTTAATTGCGTGGGCGCTTGAACTCATTTCTGGTTCGATTGATTTTCAACTGAAGTGGTAATTGCTTTTTGGTATCCGGCAGAGTCCACTCACGGTCACCGAATAAGCCTTTAAACTAAATCCACAAATAGATCCCCAATTGGCCACTCGTATTCCTCGCTTGAATTAATTCGATTCAATATTTATAGACCTATTTCGCCGCATATATCTGTACATATGTATGTATGGGCCATTATGGTTTGGCAATTTAGTTGCGGAATTTTTGCCCAGAAATATGGCAGGGCTGTATATTTTATTTATAGAAAACTGAAATGCAGGAAAGTGGCCTGGATGCGGGGAAATGGTTAGCAGATGTCCGCCTAATGGAAAAATAATTTCAATGGCATTGGAATATCAGTACAGAAGTCAACGGCATCGTGGTAATTGGTTGACTTTCAATGAAGCTTAGCATCCCTCTGACAATGGGGGAGAGTGTGCGAAAGCCGAGTTCTGAAGGCTGCAGTTCTGTATTTAGTTTGTTTGTCCAGCTGCCTGTCGAAATTGTGTCGTTTGTGTGGCGATGGGGTCAAGTGAAATCCACAAAAGCTGGCAAAGTCTTGACAAAAAACAGGCAGAACGCGATTGTGGGGCCTGGCACGTCACTTTATAAGCCAAGAATCAACAGGTTTTAGCTGGTTCAAATCGGTTATGGCCAAAGCCCAACTACTTAACATGCTGGCACTGTTGTTGTCCGTTGTATTTCGGTTAAAAACATTTGTCGCTGCCGCATGTTTCCGAATTAAGCAAGGTGAGGCCCAGTCCGGCCCGGCCTGACGATGACGCGCTATTCTCTGGGGATTCACTAACCAGATGCGTCACGGGCCGACGCATTTGTCGCCAAACCAGGTTCCAGGTAACTGGTAGCGGCAATCGACAGTGTGCAAATAAAGCTGCACCAACAGCAGCCAGACCAAACCAAACAGAGTAAATAAGGTGCCTCGCTGGCACTCACTCCCCCTTATTTCTGTTTTTCTGCTTTTCAGTGCACCGAGAATGGCGGCAATCACAGCAACAAAAGCAGTGCAAATAAAATCAGGTTTCGTAACTCAAATAATGTAAATATTGTGATGCGTTCTGTTTGTGTTTCCGCACTAAGCTGCTGCCACTCCATTTTCCATGGGAACTACAACTATGGGGGCTCTGATGGCATTGGGGAACCCAAAATAAAAACATTCCACAAATGCCACAAGTCCGACTTCCATGTAGTTCAAAAACCTCTCCACCTCGATATCGAAATAAAAACAAAACACAAACAAAACGAAAAACAAGAAAAAATCCAATTGAAGTTCCGTTGACATAAAAATGCCGCAAGGCAGCTATTTAATTGCTTCTAGCTGCTTGGGGGGGTCAATGGCTGTGATTTTCGAGAAGGTCAAGAGCCAGCGAGTGTCGGAATCAAGGCTAAGCCTTGCTGTACTTGCTCTGCTCGGGAAACGACTTCAAGTGTGTACCCCAACAATGGGTGAGCCCTCAGATAAGCAGGCAGTGCGTATGCGCTATATTTCCATGGCGCATTACCTGAAAGGGAAAAACTGTGTCACGTATCGGCAAAGACCCAGTTAACACACTGCTGGGTATGGCTTCCAAATAAGCAAATGGAAATTTTTGTCAAGACCCAAATAAAGCGGCCAGAGAAGCGTGGGGAAGAACAAACAAAGATATAAAATCTTGAAGAACAAATTTTATGCTTGGAATACCAAATCACAGGTTGGTTTTTTAACAAATGCCTAATATTTCAAATACTTTGCAACAAAAAATTGCAACAAGTCATGTCGTATTCAAGTGCTGTAATAAATTACCGAGATTGTGTCATATCCGTCATGATCTATCGACGGCTGTGATTTTTAGAGCCTGCAAATCCCATTGATTCAACTGATTTGGAGAACAATGATTGACCAATTACTCATGTTGAGTTCGATTGCCCAGAAAACACCAGGCCTCAACAACGTGATACAGTACCTTTGTATGCGCTTTATTAAAATACTTCAGAGATTAACTATCTACACTCAATTAGGTTGACTTTCGACGATAAGGTTAAAAAGGTCTACACTTCTGGGGCGGAAGATTTGCTTCAGATTCCAGATCACATTTGCATTATTCATTTGTACCTGGCGGGATCAGGTGTCGGTTGCACAAGTCAATAATTATTAACAATTAACTGCGACGTAGTTGTAGCGCCACGAACAGAACAAATTAAGTAAGTGCAATTAACCGAGCCCTGAACAAACCGGAGTCAGTCACTAAAAACCAATCAGTCGATGACTCAACGCAGCAATTGTACTTAATTACCAAAGTCACAGCTGACTTTGGAGTTATCGTGTAGGGAAAGTATTCGAGTATCGAGTATTCGTTTTTAAAATCCTAAGTATATGTAATAATTTTTATCGAAAAATGACTATTTTTAATGGCATACGAGTCAAGAAGTCTGTTTTTAGCAAAACTCTGATTCATGGGATTTTTGCTGATTTCTTGAAAATATTTTTGAGTGTCTGTGTGGCTTATAATTAGTATTTCGATGTTTTCTTTTATGAATTTTATGAAAAACCATTGACCTATAATTCAAGTGAAAATTTTTAAATTAAACAATGATTAATTCCTTATAATTGGGAAGTTATTAAGACCACAACGAAACAGGTTTCGGCTCCAAAAGTGAAATCAAAACAAACTGATTGGGAGTTCCCTGATGATTTTAGGTCTTGTGCTTGAATGTCAGTTGACAGTCACAGATAAGTTAATTTTCATAATTAAAAAAAAGTTCCCCATTGATGGGAAATCAACTAGTTTGTGAATGTTATTTTTCGCCGTGCACGAAGGCAGAAAGCTGGCAGAAATCGCCGCCTAGCAACCAGTTGGAGTGGCGATCAGCCGCCATATGTGTGGTGGTGGTGGGATCGGATGGGCTATACATGGCTATATATGGCTTAGGCCGGGGGGAGCTTCGAGGGGGGAGCGCTGAGTGGGGTGTAAAGGGGTGGTGTGTGTACTTACCACAGTGGGCGAGATCGATGATCGGCACCACGCTGCGAGAGAGGAGCGTGTCGAGTTTGTCGTCGCTGGTTTTCGTTTTTATCATTTTGCCGGAGTAGCTAAATATGTAGCTAAATGTGTGAATATGTCTAGAGTTCTTTGGTTTCGAGGGGACGAACACTCGCCGCACTTGTGCACGCTTTATCACAAAGCCACGGAGAAGTCAGGCCGGAGAGCGGAGGATCCCGAAGACCTGGTGGTGGCGGTTGACTAAATGGAACTGAATGACAGACCCGATTATTATGATTGTTATTATTATTATTGGTTCAGCGAATAAAAAAACAAACATTCAAATCACCGATCCAAGTTCTCTTTTATTTGTTTTTTTCAGATTGTTTAATTTTCACGTATTTTGTTTTTGCGGCAGCTTTTGTTTTTGTTTGCTCTTTGAATGACAGGCGGTCAGCAGAAAATCGGCATTAAGGGGGTAATACTAACGATCCGAACCAAAATCCGAAACGATTCGATTCGGTTTTTATTGGGAAGGGCGCGTGGCGGACGAGAGGCGATCGAGGAATCGATCGAACGCGGCGCACTTCTTCGACAGACTGAACTGTCTTGGGTCTCTGGGACTGGGGGGACTAGTACACCCGGTTCTAGAGCTTATCGCGACCCAACTGGCAATACTTTTGCGTCAGTTTACGATTTTATTTTGCACCAAAGCCGAAAGGCTGGCCAACTGATTACGGTTTAGAGAGGGCAGGTACTCCCTGCATGTGCGTCGCAATTAGATAAAATTTAATCAAATCAAAAATTGTGATAACTAAATTAGCACTTGTTGCTCCCAAGGGGTGGCGGTAGCTGGGGCTGGGGCTGGGGCTGGGCTGGGGCGGACACAGATGAGCTGTACTTGCGGGCCCCTTCGCCTCTCGGACATACATGTGCTTATGCGAAAGGTGAGACTATCCGCAGCCGTCAACAGGTAGCTAGTAGCTACACACACATCCCGTACCGTCTCGCCTCGGTTTGCTTTTGCAATATTTGTGATGGCCATTAACAACATTGGCGTAGCCGTAGCTCAGGTATACGACATGGAGGTCCAGGTGTATGGGTAATTCGCAAGATACAGATACAACCGCAGCCACAGATGCGGCGGTGTGAGACTTGAGCGGCAGCAATATGTATCTTGTATCTGGCAGATCTCGTTTACCGTTGAACGGCACTCGAACTCAGGTGTGAGCCCTCCTGTGTATCATCCCAGCTGAGCTAAAAAACTGAGAGTGTATGGGGTGTTGTATCTTGTTGCCAAGGGAGAAGTAAGGAAACGCCAGATGAGCAAAGTCTGGCTGGCCTTCTGGCAGTCTGCATGGATTTTTTCCATGTTCCATGACTCCGAAAAAGGGGAGGGAGAGGGTGGGCATGAGTAAGCGTTTGTCGACGCTGGCAAAAACAAAATACACCGAAGTAATTCACTTCAACCCGCCTATTCAGCTTAAAAATATTGTGATTTACACGGCAGTTTCACGGCTAGAGAAGGAGGATTGGCTTACAGTGAAAATTCGCTTTCTTTTTTCGCACAGTTAGTTAGGTTTCGCTTTTCATCGAACGACCAACCCACCGAATGACCCGACACGATCCACAAAAGTTGGCCAACAATCTACTTAGTCAATTTTTGTATCTCTTTCTGATGCTTTTTTTGCACACTTTCCATCATTTTGTAACACACAACGCGAATTTAACCTAGATACCCCTGTACGGGTGCGGCGTTCGAAACGAAAGGTATTTTCACAAAACTCAGATGAAGGATATGTATCGCCGATCCAGTGTTCAATCCTTTTGGATTTCGACCACTAGTTAGCAACTAAGAGGCCGCTAATCGCAGAACGGAAACGCAGAACAACGCGCGGGCACAACCTCCCCGTACAACGAATTTTTTTCGAGTGATCAAGAGTATCTAGCGCCACTGTGCCGCTGTTTGGAGATATTTTCACAGAGATTGAAACTCGGTTCCACTGTGTGAAAATAGTGGGGCCAACGCCAATGAGGGCTTTACTTTAGTGTGGCCATGGGACCCACAACAGCTGATTGATCTTCTTCCAACCGGTTCTTAAAAATTGGAAGGGAACATAGAAGATTTTCTTCTTAAAAAATTTTAAAAACTAAAAGATTGGTAACAATCGTGAAAGAGTGTTATTGTTTAATTCATTCCCATTTGAAAGTAACAACTACTGATCGACGATCAATCTGAATCTTGATTCCAGCAGATAGTTTATATCGATAGTTCGATATTTGTATCTTCACGCGCCACGATCAGACGTTATCTTACGAATGGAAGCTATCTTATATTACTGACATCAAACGACTTACATTAAGATTTCACAATTTAAAAACACACCTCTGTCTCAAATTTATCAATTAATATTTAAAAATACCATTTTCCTTAACAAAAACAGTTAATTTATAATCTTTATTTAATACAGTTCCCTTGAGATACATGTGTAATCAGCACTAGTGTAGTAATAACTATTGTTTGACCCAGATTAGTTAATCTACCAGATTACGAACGTTGGCCGTACGTGTCGTTGAACTTTTTCTGAATTAGCTCATATGCAGTGTAAATTCTAAAAGAAAAATAATTAAATTGAATAAATATGTATTATTATTGAATATCAGATAAAACTCACGTCTCATTACTGGTAGAAGGCTCATCCTTCTGAATATCTTGCGGATCAATAGGCGTTGTATTATCTGGATGAACGAAAAAGGCTATTGAATGTCGCCCTCGAGTTCGAATTTGTTCTTGTTCGGGTATAACGACACGGTGGGGCTATAAACAAAAATAAATAAATAATTCAAATTGATAACATCGTCCTAGTTGAAACCCACCAAAGCATGATAACGCTGCTTTGTCCATATAGATAAAAGTTCCCCGCCATTTATTAGTATGGCTCCTGGCAGATGACCCACTCTTTGCCATTTCTCCGATCCTGGAAGTTGCACCTCCAATCCGCCTTCTGAATCCTGTGAGAGAAGGGTGAAGGTGCCATAATCCACATGAGCACCACACCGAATGGCTCCCTCACTCTGACCTGGCTCATCATCCACGATCGCCGGGTAGTAGATCATTCTCAAGGTGGTCATGTTCACGTCATCTCCTTCCAGCATTTTTGAGTGGTTTTCCGCAAATAATCCTTGTGGAACTTCAAGGGCCACCTCCATTGATTTGAGCAGAAACGAAGATATTGTCTTGAAATCATTGGTCAAAGTAGTGATTTCATCTGCAAAATCCGGCAAGGGCTCTCTGGGAAGATTTTGATCGTCCAGTTTACAAATATTGTAGGTATGTCTAAGTTCCGGTGTTTTTCCATCAAATCGTTCCACTCCAGGACTCACATAGCCAAAATTAACGCCATTCCTTCGTCTATAGCGGTCCTGGATCTCAGGTGGTAAGTCCAAAAAATTATCGAACTGATCCCAAACTGCTTTAATCTAAGAAATTAAAATAAATGATTTTTAAATTTTAACAGTCATAAAGAAATCAAAACACACCTTCTCTTCAGCTATTCCATGATTAACCAAAAAAGCAATTCCCTTTTCGGTGAAAGCCTTATGAAGTTGTTGACCCACTCGGTTGACTACCGTTTTTCCTATAATTCAAATTTTGATTTATTCAAATAAATGAATTAGTTGTTTTGTTAAAACTTACCACAATGGGCGAGATCAATGATTGGAACAGAGGACTTGGAGACAAGCGTATCAAACTTGTCGTCTGCTATCTTATTCTTTATCATTATATTAAGTAAATAATAATCTGCGTAGTCAAACAAACTGAGAATGTATATGGAAATGTTTCAGTCAGATTCAAAGTATTTCCGTTTATGTTGTGAACACGTCGAGTTTCCTTGGTAGACTGACCAACCCAAAAGACGAGCCCAAAGATTTGCATTCTTATCAGTTAGATTCTTATCTTACAGAACGACGCGTTTGTTTTTTGTTTATTTTTTTAATATATTGAGGATGGGTGATTACAAATAAAATTTAAATGAGTCATTTAAAACATACAAAACATGATTAAATATATTTAATATATATCTTTATATTTCTTTAAAATGCATTTTTAAAACAGTTATATCGATAGTTCGCCGATACATTCTGTTATGTATTTATCGCTCACTGAGCGTTAATTTTTAAAAAACCAAAAAATCGGTGATTTTTATAAAAACACTCTTGAGGAAAAATAATAATTATATTTTTTCTCTTAAGTATAATTGTGACTATAAGCTCCTCTTGCCAAAGCCATAGTTATTTCATATGCATTGTATACTCTGAAATAAAAATTAAGATTATTTCAAAAATCTAAGAAATTAACCAAGCTTACTGACTTCTCATTTTGTAACTTATGTCCATTATTTTGTAACTCTTTTGGATCTATAAGAGTTGTACTATCAGGATGACAAAAATAGGCTATGGAGTGTCTCCCACTTTTCCGGGATGACTCATCCTCGGGAACAACCACGCGATGTTGCTAAAGGAATTATTTTGTAAAGGATTATGAAGTATAAGGTTGTCAAATATCTCCCTTCCGCCTTTTTGTCTTTTGAATTTCGCGGCTATGTACAAAGCGCTACAGAGCTCGTATCTGGCAACACTATACATAATTTAAAAGGTCTTGACATAACCTACAAAACGACGCTATGCATGATTAGTTTGGATATTGCGTTCACCAGTTATAGACGTGTAAACATGGAGTTCACTAACGCCGAAATTCGCGCTATTTTAAAGTTTTCCTTCGTTAAAGGCAAATCCGCTAGAGAAACGTTCCGTGAGATTAATGGGGTTTTGGGGGATGGTACTCTATCACTTCGAACCGCGGAGGAATGGTTTCGACGATTCAGAGCCGGTGAAAACGACACCATGGATAAGCCAGCCGGCGGAAGACCTGTGACGACAAATACCGATCAAATCATGGAATACATCGAGTTAGACCGGCATGTGGCTTCTCGTGACATCGCCCAGGAGATGGGAGTTAGTCACCAAACCATTTTAAACCATCTGCAGAAGGCTGGATACAAAAAAAGCTTGATGTTTGGGTGCCGCATGATTTGACGCAAAAAAACCTTGTGGACCGAATCAACGCCTGCGATATGCTGCGGAAACGGAACGAACTCGACCCATTCTTGAAGCGGATGGTGACTGGCGACGAAAAATGGATCACATACGACAATATCAAACGAAAACGGTCGTGGTCGAAGGCCGGTGAATCGTCCCAAACAGTGGCCAAGCCGGGATTGACGGCCAGGAAGGTTTTGCTGTGTGTTTGGTGGGATTGGAAGGGAATCATCCACTATGAGCTGCTCCCATATGGCCAGACGCTTAATTCTACCATCTACTGCGAACAATTGGACCGCTTGAAGCAGGCGATCGACCAGAAGCGTCCAGAATTGGCCAACAGGAAGGGTGTAGTGTTCCACCAGGACAACGCCAGACCACACACTTCGTTGATGACTCGTCAGAAGCTACGGGAGCTCGGATGGGAGGTTTTATCGCATCCACCATATAGCCCGGACATAGCGCCAAGTGATTACCACCTGTTCCTGTCCATGACGAACGCCCTTGGTGGTGTAAAGTTGAACTCAAAAGAGGCTTGTGAAAAGTGGCTGTCCGAGTTCTTCGCAAATAAGGAGGGGGGCTTCTACGAGGGAGGTATTATGAAGTTGCCGTCTAGATGGAAACGGATTATCGAACAAAACGGCGCATATTTCAACTAAATCGGATCACTGTAACACTTTTTATAAAGCATTGAATAAAGAGCAAAAAAGCGGAAGGGAGATATTTGACAACCTTATATATGGTAGTTTCTCATACCAAAGCATGATACCGCTGATTTGTCCACAGAGCCATAGTTTCGCCGCAATTTATGAACAGTGCTCCCGGAAGATGGCCAACACGTTGCCACTCTTCACTTCCCCGTAACTTTACCTCCAATCCGCCCTCCGAATCCTGGGCCAGCAGAGTAAAAGTACAATAATCCGCATGAGCACCGCAACGGATTACTTTTGAGGGATTTGTATCATCAACTGGTGGGTAATAAAGCAATCGAAGGGTTGTTAAATTAAAGCGATCATCTGACAACATATACGAGTGCTTGTCCAGAAAATATAAGGGGGAAACATCCAAGGATAAAGCTAATGCTTCAAGGATAAATCGGCCCAAGACGTTAAAGTCATCAGTTAACGAGTTAATAAATTTAGTAAATCCTTGTAATGGCTTTTCGGGTAAATGCTTAGCATCTAGCTTGCAAATATTATAAGCATGTCGAAACTCTGTAGTCCTGCCATCAAATCTCTCCATGCCAGGACTCACATATCCATGATTTTCTCCATCCGAAGCCTTGGAACGTTCGTAAGCTACTTTTTCTGTTTCAGGTAGCTCTAAAAATTTATCAAAATATTGCCAGGAAGTCTCTATCTGCAGGTTAAATCACAGAATTGTTTATTATATAAGCTTTAAAATACTTTTTAATTACCTTTTCATTGGAAATTCCATGGTTAATAAGCAGAGCATAGCCCTTTTCAGAAAGAGCCTTTCCTAGACTTTGGCTTATATCAGTCAGACCACTCCTATTGCAATTAGCTAAATCAATGATTGGTACAGCGTTTCGGGAAAGTAGCGTTTCCATTGTTCTTTTATGAAATATAAGTAAATATGTATAAATCTTATCAATGTAGATTGATAGCTGTTGTTCTTGAGGTCACAGTGAAAACCAGACTACAAGACAAAACAAAGATTTGAAACCAAGTAAGTCAAACCGATCGATCGGTTCTTTGCGGATTATCTGTAGGGATTTTATTACAAAATTCCCTAGCATACTTTTTGGCAAATGAATGCGGTTTTAGGTTTTATGTAAAATAGGCCAAGTACATTCCAATTAAACGCATTTTTAAATAGTTTTTATTTTATTTCCAATTTTATTATTATAATTTGTAAAAAGAAAAAATTTACGTATTTATGTTTAAGAATCGTTTGTTTATTATTTGCAAATAAAATATACAATATTACATTTGATCATAAAGTGGGCACGACAAAAGGGACAGTTCCTCAAGGTGGTTGTCTACTGCAAGCAAATGTTCAAAGTGCAGATTTCTGTGGCGACATTTTCCACCTTGCCATTCCCCCCACTCTTGCCTTGTTTTGACTTTCATTTCATGCCAAGTCCGTAAGGTAACAACTAATCACTAAACTATAATATTTGGTTCTATTACACTATCCCAATACAGCAAGTGCAACGATCTCTTGCACATCTGCAATGGCGACTGTTCCAAAACTAAAAAATGTGCCGCTTTCCTCGAAACTACTACGAAATACTACGAAACGAGCTTACGTAACTAGAGAATGTATAATATCCGTCTTGACCTATGCGTTACCTAGGATTAGGATATGTGCAATGGAGGAGAAAGGGGCAGTTGGTATAGGGATTGGGATTGGGATTAGGATCGATTTAAACGTAAGAGTGTATACATGAGGGCAGCTCCAACTAACGTCGCTCCCTACTCCTTTTTCGCCGCCAATTTGGCCTGGGCAGCCGCCTCCTTTTTGTAGTTGGCCACGTAGAAGGAGCTGAACATGTAGGTGAAGAGGCCGGCGTTGAAGGTCAGTAGGGCAGCAATCGATTTGGGGAAGTTGCAACTGGGCTGGAACTGAATTTGCAGGGTGTGCACAAAGATGATCAGGAACTGGACCTAAAAGCACATAAGAAATACGAATAGTGAGAAAAAATCAGACTAAAGTCAGAGTAAATTATAAACTTACAATCTGCAGGATGGTGATGTACTTCTTCCACCACAGATACTTCTGCACCTTGGGTCCCATTGCGGAGAGCAGATAGTAGGCATACATGATGATGTGGATGAAGGAGTTGATGAATCCCAGGAGAGTGCCATGACCGCCGGCAAAGTATTTTACGCCAATGAAGGCGCACACGGGCATCAGGGTGTGGTGGTACAGATGCAGGAACGAGATCTGGCGTTGTTTCTTGCGGAGCACAAAGAACACGGTGTCGAGCAGTTCGGTGATCTTGGCAATATAGTACAGCCACACAGCGCGCGCCATCTAAATAGGAGATGAATTTGATATATTTTCCCAATAGTAATATAATCTAAGTAAATACATACCCTCATGGAAATAGGATCTGTGGCATAAGTCACCGGCTGGCACCGGAAGTTGTAGTGACCCCCCCAGCCACCCTTGTATCCCTCGTAGAAGAGTACCCAGCTAAGGAGCACCTGAACGGCATTGTAGACGAGGAGTGTGTTTTTTAGTTCAAAAGGTTTACGGTCCCGCATGTAACGTGGTCCGGCGTATAGGCAGAAGTACAAGTAGGCTCCCAGGATCATAAATAGGGGTCCGGGAGCATTCGAAAGGAACCAACTCTGCAAAGACAAATATTCATGTCATTAATGTTCATTCATTCAAAAATTTTTTATTTGACTTTTTAAGTTTAGTTTAGTTTTCATAATTTTTTATAAGTTGTATTAATTTTTTAATTTCATTCGACATTTTATTTATTTTTTAGTAAGTAAACAAAAAACTCTGAAGCATATATTATAATACAATTTTTTTTGTATAACATATAGCACCAATGGAACAAATAAATATTAATTTAAAAGCGTCAAACGGGTTTTTGTAGAGATTTGAATAAAAAACCTATATAATACATTTTATTTATGTTTAATTAACATTTGAGATATCTAATGAACAAGGTATCTAATAAAAAGCGATCTATTTAAATAAAATTGTACTATGTTTTTAGTTTAAAATAATTATTTCCAATTCCATACATTTCAATAAGCAATTCTTGATAGTTTCATCAATTTTATAAAATATCTTGCACCATGTTTGATTTTTTTAAGGCAATATAAATATTATTCATGCCTGAAAAATCTGTATTACTCTTTCGGCATACTCACCTTGGTGCGCAGATCCTCGTGCTCCACAAAGAAGTTGACCATGCGGTCAACAATGGTTTGTGTCTCGTTCAGTCTGACCGACATTTTGCCAACTGCAAGTAAACCAAAGTCAAGAAATTAGTTTAGTCGATACCAAGTGGGAGAGAGGATATGTATGATGCACTACTGTCTATTAGCACCTATTTTGACCATGGAAAGCGCATTCTAATTGTTTGGTTTACGCGCTCCCAGCATTTCCTGTTAATCATCGGGGCACACAGAAAAAATAATGCTGGCCAAGGCGAAGCCGCGCCTACGCCTCACAGTTCAGAATATAGGCAAATACTATATATTAGTTACGATTATTTGAGCAGACCTTATTGATAGTGGCGAGTGCGAAATGTCATATTAGTACAATCATGTAAATCAGCCGTAGCATTGCGAATTTTGGAATGCCATTAACCTGGCATCGAGTTCTGCTGAGGCAGCAGCAGAGAAAAAACGAAAAAGAACCAAAGCGTCTTAAACTCATAATTCGCGAAGAGTTCATTCGAGCTTCAAGGGAAACTGTCACACCAGCAATTACGCTTCGAAGCTTTAAACTTTTATTTCATTTTGGCGAGATTTTGATTTACATTAATTGTGGAGTGGCAAGGAACCTGCTGTGGTGGACGTGCTCGAGAAACTGGTTTCGTGCCCATCGTTTGGGCTCACATGTCCAAATTAGCCACTTGTTTGCTCTGCCTTTGTCTCCCTGGCTTCCTTGTGGCTAGTTTTCGATCAAGTTTTGGAAAATCCCATCCCGGACTCTCGGGAGGCAGGATGGTCCAAGGACATCTTGGCCATGCATCATTAAATTTATGGTATTGTTTAAGTACTTCATTTTTTATGTTAAGGCAGAACAAACCGGTCGCCGGGCCTGGCCACTTTTGCAACCGTTGATGGTCTAGAGAAATCCTTTAACAACTATGACTAGACGGTTTAGCGGCGCGTTGATATCGGTCATTATCTGGCTGTAATGGCAGGGCCCATCATCGACTGTGGCAACCAGAGATCTTGCCCAAAAAGGTTGGCCCAGTTGGCTGGGCCCGACTGGCCCGGGTATGGGCCCCACCTGGCGAATGCATTGGAACCATCATCTAGCGCAGGCTATATTAATTATGTGAGCACCTGCCAAGTGAACGCCATTATCGAATTACCGAGCATTTTATGTTCAGTCATCGCTCTTGGCTCTCGGCTCTTGCCTCTTGGGTCTTGGCTGTTAGCTTTTGGCTGAGCAAATGCCCAAAATGCATTCATTCAGTTGCAGTGTCAGTTATTGACTAACGAGAATTTGGTCCGACATTTTGCATTTTTTCGAGTGCCAGAGTACCGGAGTACCCTAGTACTAGAGTTTCGAGTGTTTTTGCAAGGCCGGGAACTTTCAATAGGCCACTGGTCTTCAAGTATTTGCCAAAGGTGTTGAGCAAATGATGCAAGAAACATATTTATGCCACTTTCTAATTGAAATTCAACATTAATCAACATGATTAGAATGTAAATGTACCAGGAACCACAACTGAAAACAACATTATCTTTGTGTTTCCCCTGAAATCTTTTTATGCAAATGCCATCCATTTAATTAGAAACTTGTTTTATGTGCTGTTTTTTATAATTTTATAAAAATTATATTTCATAGACACTTGGCTGGCCCAGTAACCTGTTAATTAAATACCTTTCCGAATTGCAGCCATAAATGTTTTGAACCGCAATCAAAATATTATATAATCGTTGGATATTCTGCCGGTTTTTGCCCAAACGCCATATTTATTTAATTCTTGATTTATTAGCCGGGTGGAGCCCCAGCTTGGACTTGGTTTGGAACTTTCGACTGTGAAGATCTTTTATGGCCACTTAGCAGTCATAAATAGTTAGATAATACGGCGAGAATTCAAGTTTTATAATTTTTTCCAGGAGGCCATCGGTTTCATGTGGCTTCTGAGCCCCTCCTCCCCAACTTCATTTGATCTTCCGGTGACTGAGATCAACCTTGACTCATCTCGTCACCGCCCATCAAATAGCATCTGATACTGCTGTAAAATTTTGCATATTTATTTGCCTATTGACTCTCCAGCCACTGTCCAACGTCCGAATGCAAATTAGTTCGAACTTGTGGCCAAAATAAAATTAATAAAAGCCTGGACAGAACTGTTGGTCAGCATTAGTTGGCAAAAGAATTCAGAGAATACATATGCATATTTGAAAGCAAAATTCCACTTGGAATAAACATTTTACTAATTCAATGGACTTACAGGGACGTGCTCTCGTTTTGCATAATTTTTAGCTAAGATATTGCGAAAATAATTCGCTACTTTTCCAATAATATTTCCGATGGCCGTTTGCCTGCCAATTAGCGGTTGACAATGAGCGAGAGTGCGTGGCAACGACAGAGTAAATATTAAGTGAAGCCAAATAATGGCAAAGTAAATAAATGGAATTGGAATTGGGAATGGAAATAAATATATCGCATATTCCACATAAGTATGGCCACTGACGTCACATACCAGTTTATTATTATGCGATAATCAGCCCGGCCTGGCGAGAAGTCTGCCGATAAATTCTAGACACGCGTCGCCATCAAATGCTGTACAAAAGATTCGCACGTTTTGTTCTGTCGCCAAGCTGGCCACCATTTTTGGTTTTGGTACACGGGGCGTATGCGCAATTTGCCTATTCCCGCGGTTTATTATGCTCGAAACCTGGTTCTATTTACAGAGCTCTAGGCTGATAAGAGGCCGCATGGGAAAGGCCTAGGCCTAGGCTCCGACCTGGGCGTCATCCAAAATGGCTTGTGGAATGTTAAGGACGGTTTTACTACCGGAGAGGTAGGGGGATGTAGTAGTGGTATTGGTGCTGGTAGTACAACAAAAGACAAGACAAAATATTAAAGCTGAAGCTGTAGCGGCAGCCTCTGATCAGCCGATTGAATGGACCTAAGGCAATGGCATCGACTTCGGCATCGGCAACGCATTAAAAAATCGCTACCAAGGTCGCACGTTTTGAGGAAACAAAAAGCCAGCCGGAGCCCCAAATCGACCAACCTGATCTCTTGCATTGGAGAGCAGCTACATCGACAGATTCAGTTTTAGTTTGAGTTTCGGTTTTTGCTCCCTGTTTCTGTTTCTTCTTTTTTTGGGGAGTGGCCACATGCTGGCTGATCAAACATAAACACTTGGTCTGTGCATACATACAGGTACATACAAACATATCTCGTCGCATCGTTTTAAGGCATATCATAATCTGCCCACTGGTCGCTAAATAGTTTCTTTTTTCGTATGCAGATTCAAATTTTATTGGCTTAACTATTTTGCATTAGCCTTAGTTTGTGCTCTGACCTTGAACTAGTGGCTAGTGCCAGTTACTGCAGGCGCATAAATTATCCAATATCCAATATCGAATATCCATATCCAGGTTTAGCCCACAGCAAGTGATTGCCATTGATCGACTTCCGCGTGGCGGACTGGAAAATAATTCCATCAGGAAAGTCTGACCAGCTTTGTGTGATTCCGGGCATTCCTTCGAGCAATTAAATATTATACATTTGTGTGATAATTGAGTCAATTACTATATGATATTTTGTCAGAGATATATATCTCTATCGCTCAGATTGGTAATTCAACACCCTCGGGTTGTCTAGGCGGAGCGAATGGAAAATATTCCATACGCTTTCTTTAGTTATTGGATTATTTAAATATTTGCAATTTATCTTTATAAATATGCAATTACCTGCAAATATTCCCCACAAAAAACGAAAAACAAGTCGAAAGTTCGCCGCCTGAGTCTTTCGTTTGGCCAGCGACAGAATAAATTATTAGGAAAACTAATAGTCACTAATTGCACATGCCACAAATCAAATCAATCGATTGTGCCAGACGCTTTCATTGATCGATAGAATGTCGGGCCCTTGTTTTAATTATGATCTATTAGATTCTCAGATACTTCGGAGAAAATTCCGCGACATTCAACAGCCTTTGATTAACAACGATTATTTCGATGATCATCGGTTTTTTAGGAACTTTTTTCAGATATTAATGTCATTGCACTTGCCTCTTCAAGAATCATTTGGGCTCCTGACTCAAGGGTGTTCAGATTGACCTAGTCATTCCCTTTTGGATACCCCCGGAGTTATGGGCCCCCATAAATATTCATTCTGGCCAGAGCTGCGACTTCTGACCTCCAATATTTGCAATTGTCATCACACATCGCCATCATCATCATCATCATCATCATCGGCATTGCCATCGCCTTGTTCTGCCTCGCGAATTATTTACCTTGCCATTATTATCAACTTTTTTCCCGACTTATTAGGCAAACAAGTCACTTGAAAACGCACTCGGCCGAGGAGGAAAAATTAAGAAATCCCAAACCAGATGGAAATTAGATGGAATATATATTTGTGGGTTTTATTGTAGGTGTGACCGTCGACGCATGTGACCCCAATTGGATTCAAAATATTAAAATGTAATTTGCTGGGGCGAGAAATGTCACCGCAGAGGGCCCATAACCATAAAGTATATGGTTAAGTCACCCGCCATTTTTTGTCTTTTTCTGTGGGTAAAGTCGCCAACGTGCGAACGGATGTGCATCTGAAAGATAATTCGGCGACTGCCCGCTATCCGCTTGACTAACTATCTCCCCAAACGAATGTTGACGCTTCGCCAACAACAATAAAATCATAAATAAACAATTTCTGAGCATGCGTGAACGTCAGCATCGCAGACGCCTCCTCCCAAGGGCACCAGATCCCATCAAATTACATTGGTAAAGAATAGGCCTAAGATCGTGATAAACCAATCCGATATTTTTCATGAATGAAGAAGACATATTGCGAAAGGCCAGGCCAAATAATTCGTCATGTTCTTATAACTTCGCAACTTTGGCCAGAGTACGAACGTGTGTATCTTTGGGATTTCCGTCGATGTGTATCTCTTCGTTTAGCACTTCTTCTCCTGATGGCTGTTTATATCGCAAACTTGTCCCGTTGTTCCCATTGTGTCGAAAGTGTAACGCAAAATTCAGGGCCAACGCAGACAGCCAAGCCGGAGATGATATAATGCCAGATTAAAGTGGGAATATGGACGGGTGCTGCAGCAGCGCTGCAGTGGCAAGGGGCATCTGGGGTCGGGTCGTGGGTCGAAGTGGGTCCACAATAACGCATTCAAATTGATCAATCGACATGCGATTTACATACGAGCCACATTAGCCGTGTGATTGACTTGGCCCACACTAGCTGGGGCCCAGTTTCTGGGGCGCACCATCTTCATCTCAGGGCATTACAGCTGGTTTTGTAAGCACCCATCGTCTTTTTTCCCCCGCCTGATTTTTATTTTTTGCTCTCCTCTCTTTGCCTGTTGGCCATCGTCATGTTATTTATTTATACAATATTTAGTTTTGTATTTTTCCTTCGAATCCGTCCATGCCCGGGTCTTTTGACTTGGGTGTCGTTTCGCAATGGTGTCGACCCCAAAAATGTCTCAAATCTTTAACAGGTTGCCAGTCGAAAGGTGGCTAGAAAAAATACCGCATATGCTCAGCGTGTGCGCATAATTTAGCATAAAATCTTAACACAATTTTCCATTGTTTATTATAAATGATTCTTTCTCTTTTAAAATTTGTTTTTCGAGTTTTGGAATTCTATAGCACTTGCCTTTCTGGTGAAAATAATAAAAGGATTGGTTCTGTGATGTATTTGCGGCACGACACGGAACACGGCACAAATTCACACAACAATTGGTCAAAGAACAAACACTAAACTGAGGAATGCTTTCTGTTATCCTTCGAGACGATTGAAATCACGCATACGCGACGTTGGCGGTCAGAACACAGAACACGAGGCGGCAGATCTCGGCCAGCTCCACGAGCACCCAGCGATTACTTGGCAGTTGAAGCGCCGACAGCAGACTAAGCAATATCCGGGCCCTACCACCCGTCTTCTATGCGCCGCAGACACAGATACACCGATACAAAGATACAGATACACGGACACTTGGATACTTGGATACACCGCGACTGCTTCAGCCACTGCTTCGGTTTCAGATTCGGGTTCGAATTCGCATTCGTATCTTGGGTGTACGATCGACAACCGATCAAGTAAACAGGTGAGCTTGCGGCTTGACTTCGTCCATTAAGATTTTAGCGATTTTCAGATTCACTGACGCGGAGTCACTGCATGTTTTTAAGGGCCAGTTCTAGGATCTGTGAGTCGAGAACTCTCGGGGCTAATTACCGGGCTTAAACGACAGCGTGAAATTTATGCAGACAGTAATGAGAGATCGATAATTAACGTAATGAATAACCGCCTCCTCGACTAGCGAAAATAAAACTATTTATAAGCGGACTCAGCTATGTAGCCGGGAGAATGTTGCATTTGTGAACAAATCATAACAGCAGCCTGACAGCTTCAGTCCGGGGCATTTATCATCGGTTGGCCCACATGGCCCATATGGGTTTTGTGGCGGGAGTTGAACGGTGTGCAAAAATATGATTGTGCAATTAAATGGCCCCAAAATGCCTCCAAGCCAAAGGTGCACGAAGCGATGCCGAGCTTCCAGTGGCCACTTCATGAATTTCAGCAGCGTCATTCCCTCATTCTGCTTACACTTCACTCTCGCAGCCATAGACTTCAGGTACCCACAGTGATGGAAAGTATCTAGGTAGCTGTACTTAGGTACTAACTTTGCAATCAATTTTCATTAGCCAGTACTACATGTAGTATGAAATCGAAATCAAAATATAATCAAATCTTGAATCTAAGTACAAACATGCATATGTGCCATTAATTGCTTTCTAATGTATTATGTTTAGAAGACTACAAGTGGGTGATAAAAAGTGTCTACCAGCATTACCTTTAAAGGAGTAGTCGACTCTAATAACAGCTTTGAAAGTAAAAAATATTAAATAAATTTATTACTCCTTTAAAAAGATATTCAAGAGTTAATATATTCTCTAGCTACCATATTCTAACTACTGTATTTTACGCTTCTCATCACTAACTTCATATTGCATTGTTTGGAGTCAAAAAGAAGTGCTTGGTACAACTGCTTGGTAACCCCAAATGAAACGCACTGACTGCAACTCCAAATGGCTGCTGACATTTGCCACCAGCTTCTCGCACTGTTCGGAGGCCTATCGCTAATTGCTCAATCAAATGAAAGAAAACAAAGCCGTGGAAAATGCAGCGTCGGGCTTCATTTGGTTGTCAAGTGATTGCCGGTCACGCCCACTATTCCCACAAATAATGAAAAAAAATTAAAAAAATAATCAAATAAATAAATGATCAGGCAAAAATACAATACAGCCATAGGGGCTGCACTTTGCCAAAAGTTTATCGATTCATTCATAAAATTGGTATTGCCTTTAATCTTTGGATTCCGATCTGGCCGATGCCCAATTCAGCTTTGGATTTTGCTTCGTTTGAGCTTCCGCCATTCCGAAGGTCGTCCGAGTTGTCATGCCCGACGCGTGCCGAAAATCCGTATTTTGTTTTAGGTGGTGGTGGAGCTCTAAAGGTGTTGAGGCGGCTCTGGTGCGGACCGGGGGTGCCACGTACCGACTTTGTCTCATTTCAATTGCTAAATATTTTGGCAATTTGAGGAAGATTCTACGCAGCTTGTTTTACGTTAACGAGCCTCGTGTGAACCCATTTCAAGGCGTGTCAGATCGATATCAAAGATAGGCATCAAAATACAGTCTAACTTCTCGAGTAACTATTTAAAAAAAAATTTAAAATAATTTTGAACTATACCTTCACGTAAAATGTATTTATAATTCGAACATAAATTTTTTCTTTTACAAGTTGCCATCATAAAAATGATATGCTAACTTTTATAAAGCACATTATTAGCATTTCAACAATATCCCATACAAAAAATTTCCGTTTGAGGTTCAAACCAAAGATGTTTGACTGTATTTCCATTCGGATTTCCTAGTGACAATTTAATCAATCGTTTTATTGTTTATTCGACGATTTCCGTAAATTTTCCATACGAATTTTCACTATGCGTTAAATTTCAAAGTCAATGTCGACTGGCGGAAACAAAAGACTTCGGACACGAACTTGCCGCAATGCCCGCGAGCTATATCGGTTCATGAATACGGCTGCTGTTCATTTAACGACTTATTCGATTAGAGTTTTTTTTTATTTTATCCAAAGCTACTTTTATTTCAGAGCATCTTTACATTGGCAGCGACACGACGAAATGGAATAAAAACATAGAGCCAGTCTTTGTGGCGTACATTATACGGTTTTAATGTTTTTGAACTTGACAAGATGGAATAATTTGCATGAAAATGATTGGACTCGGGTGGGGATTTCTGCAAGAATAGGATTGATCGGCAGACGGCGACAAAGTAGCAAAAAATTCTTCATCTTCTTTGGGTTTTTTAGACTTTTGCTCCTAATTCAGTAATTCAGTTGTTCGTTTTTTGTGGCTATTCTTGTAGCAATCGTTTGCGTACATTAAAACTCAATTAATGCGTAACACTTAGGGAACTCTAAAAAAAGAAGCAGTGGTGGAAAAAACGCAGCATATGTTGGCAAGCTCAAGAGAGTCCGAGGTGAACTGAAGCTGATTGGAAATCAATGAACTAACGAACTGGACACACAGCGGATGCTAGCCGCAGCCTTGACCATAACACTTAAACGCCAAAAACCTTCAAAGACCAGTTGCCACTTGCTGGCCGTCTGTCAGTCTCTCGGGTTCAGTCAATGTTTATTGAATTTAACGCATAAAGCAACTGCACAAGACCATTAATAAAGAGCTGAAAGCCAGACTCAATAACTGGGTGGCAGCCCGAACTCTGCATACACTCGTTCCGACTTTGCCGACATTGAACTGCACAGCACATAAAGATAAAGATACAGATATGTACGTACGCTCACAGATGCATATCTAATAATAACGCTGTCTGCCAAATCGGCAAGAGATTCTCTTCCGGCTACTGGACGAACAAAATTTCAAAATTAAGTCTAATGAGAAGTAATTATAAGTAGTTGAGGCATATGACGTGCCACATACTTGTAATTTCAAGTGAAAGCGCACTAGGGTTTCTTTCTGTAAAGCCATACATGTCTCCAGCAAAACCTAAACTTTGGTTAAAAAAAAAAAAATAAAAGTGAAGATGAACCGCACAACCTGTTGTCATCTGAACGGGAGCTGAGAAAATCGGTGCAAACCCAAGCGAACCACAAAACCTAAGCCAAAAAGCAGACGCACCTTAAAAATGCGAGCACATTTCCCCATTTGGCACCGATTTGTTGAATGCTCGAAACTAAACCGACAGATGCTTTATTTAGCTTTAGCCACTGGATTTGCATTTATTTGGCGCGGGTTTTGGGATTCAGAAAAGAGGGCGTTTAAAAATGCGCTAGCTTCGTGAATTTTTAGATAAATATGCAACCTGAAATGCTTCAGCTTGTCAAATGTTGTTTAAAATAATAACGTCAAAAGAATTAAACAAAAGGCGTTTAAAAAAGTAAACAAAAAACTTAAATTTGTCATGCATCTACTTAAGCCTTATTAAGGCATTTTTGAAATGTTTTTTATCCATTAGTTTTCTTCCACCTTGCCCAACTTCCGAACTGATTTTTGCCATATTTTGACCAAGTCATTTTGGCGTTACATAGGTATTGGTGTTGAACTTGAATTTCGGAAGAAAAAAAAAATAAACCTGCAATCGCATTTAGTTGAAAGACACGTGCCAGCAAGTTGTCAAGTACAATGTTCGATTATTTGCGAAAGATGAAATAAAAGATTTCGCTATCCGCGGAATCGTTAATAGAAACTGGCACACACAGTCGCGCCGCTCAAAGACAATGACGACGAATAGAACACAAGGCAGCGGTTTGGTTTGGGGACTTAGATCCGAGACTAGACCACGGCTGCTAAGTTTATTTTATTTTATTTTATCAAGGGGGTCAAAGTCAGCTCAAGAGCCGAACCAGCAATCGCCCAGTCATCAGCGGCAAATGCTTTGCCCTCGCCTGCCACAACGAAATCTACTAATAACCCCGACGATGCTGATTTCTAGTTCTCTGGGGCGATATTTATGAGGAGGCATTAGGGTGATGGTGAAACACTTTTCTTAACGACTTAATTTTAAATACATATCCTAAAACACAAAAATAGAAACACTTTTTTGCTTAGAAGTCTTTTCATTTTTTTTATTGTTTTGATTCGCCTTACGTTTTGTGATAGATCTGCAACTATAATGGTAATATCTTATGCTCAATAGCTCCTGCCATTCTGATTTTCGGGGTGCATATGTCTGGGGAATGGGTGATAAAATTGTAAGTAATTCAGACCTCAGCGATTTCAATTTTCTTTTAATTAGTCCGTACAACTCTCATGATTCTAAGCTGTAAATACTAATGCCACAGTAGGTGATATAATTGCATAACTTAAAGTAGAAATTGCTTGGCTGGTTTCGGTAGCCCTGAGCGAGAGTCTCCTCGGGGAGCGAGAGCTCCCAATTAGATTTGAATTGTGGCTTTAGTTTCGCTTTCGGCCAATCGCAACTGCAAGCAACTCTGCACTACCCAAACAATCGATCAACTTAGGATAATATTAAGTAAACGAATGTGAGTTTTATAAATAATTGTACATATATTAAATTACTCTACTGCAGATTTCATTCGACAATCAAATGGTTATTTTTTCCTTTTAGCTAACTTTTTGCCTTTCAATGGATGACAGATTTTGATGATAAATGCGAGTAATCCTCAAATGTGTCTTGAATTTCGTTCCGTTGGACTTTCATAACAAGGTACAAATGCTCACCAAACGCTAAAAAGGTTGCATTGTAAAACTGCGCTATTTCGCAAAAATGTATCGGATTTTTGTTGGTTTAAATATATATGTATGTGTGTGTTGGGGGGGGTGTGTATTATGATGATTGTTCTTTTGGCCTCCGCATCAGCTTCTACAAGGTTATTGGTTCGATGGGGACAGTACACTCGCTGTACATCACTCGGTACATTGCCATTTCTGAGATGCCGTGGTAGTGCACAAAAGCAGCCGCAATGACCAGAATGTGGAATATTTGATGAGATTGTCCCTGTGACAAAATAAGGAATGGGTTATTTTAGTACTAAACGCAAAGGCTTCGCATAGGCATACCCATATGTCGAATTTCCCAGGGAACCAACGTTCGGGCACTCGAAGAGCGTAGAGAAGAGCTCCGGTAATGTATAGAAGACCTAATTGATACCAATTACTTAAAATAAAGGTGATTTTATTGATTTTGTACTACTACTCACCCATGAGAATTAGCCATCCTAGACTGGCGCGACTCATCTGGCTAAACCATCCCTCCATGATGCTGTAATGCACGGCGGGAATCACACCGGACAGGCCAAAGCTCATGAACACGCCAGCGCGCAGTGGCCGAAGTCCCGGCTCCGAGAACTTGTCCCACAGCGAGACAACGATGGAGAGAACGCCCAGCACGCACACCACTGACAGGTAGATCACCTTTGGCTGGTAATGACAATAAAATCCATAGTACAGCCAAGGAACAAAGGAGCCCATGATGAGCAGCGCAATTCCACAGTAGTCTAGTCTGTAAACAAAACGATAATTAATACACGACTAATGAAGGAGCGGGTTTGGGAAAGCACTTACTTAGAAAACAGTCTTCCCATCTCTACAGAGTGACAGCTAAGTGTGTGAAAAGCGAATGAGAATCCCAAGCACACGATTGCCCCAATAAAGAAGGCGCCAAAGACGAGCTTCTCCTGAGTTTGAATCTCCACAGAGGGTCGCGATATGAAGTACAGAGCCACGCCGATGAAGGCGATGCAGCCCAGCAGATGTGTCCAGATGTTGCCAGTTTCCGTGTGGACACGGAAGATCGACTTGAAGCAAGCGCGGAACGAAGGCAACGGTGGGCGATGGCCACGGTGCAGGAAATCGTTGTCCTGCAACCACTTGGGCAGATTTTTGTAGTGACACACCTTCCAGCTGGCTTCCCAAACCTATTTATAAAAAGAATTATTAATAAAGGTTCAGAAACATATCATTTCTACACTTAATGTTTGCCAAAAGTAAAAATTACAACACAAAAATGGGGGAAAAATAAAAAAATTTATTGCAAATATTTTAAAATTCAATTTAAATGCTAATCTTGAGTCTTGCAGATCTTATCTTTGATAAAATTGTCTTTTCTTACCTTGCGCACGAATTCCTCCGCCTGCTCGGCGGCATTATGGGCCAAAGCTCCCAAATCGATTTCATCGGAAAGAACGCCAGCCTTCAGCACTTCCGTCATCTGTGGAGAAGAACCAGATATTAATGTTGCCTTAGGAACTGATAACAAGCTTAGAATATAGACTGCAATAACAAAACTAAAAGCGAATTCAACTGACTGCACTATCGGCTGCCTGCGACTCGATTGTGGCCTCATTCTGCGTTTGTTTGTAACTTGGGACTTGCTTCAGATCCGCCTTCGCATTCAGAACCGGGTCCGTGTCGGTCACACGCACGACAACCTCCGGCTGGGACTGCGGCTCGTCTCTGGGCATCTTGAGCGGCTTACAGAGATTCGTACTAAACTAAAACTAAGTGTGCGAAGCAACAAGCGTCCGGACTTTGAGGCTTCTGACAGTTGCCTACTCAGTTGAATCAAATTGTTTAGACGGTCTTGGCGGAACAAGAAAACAGCAAAAGCGAATGATAAGATAAGCTGTCCCGAAACTGTCTCTCTCTCCGGCTCGTTATCAGCCACCGCATCTGACGTAGAGTGCCTATGTATATTCCTTGTCAGATGCCGTGAGCTGAGTTTGGCTTTTAATCCGGTCTTGACCTTTCAGGCTGACGCTTTCGACACTGATTGGCCAAGTTTAAACTTTGTATAGAGGAATTACATTAGGCACCTCATAAATAACAGTTGGCCAAGTCTGATAAGGCTTTCTGATTGCAGACGATTGCTTTAAAGAACCAATTACATTTTATAAGTATTGCCAGACGAATGAATGCGATAAAGTCGCAGGCAAATTTCAAAGGTAAACTCCTAAGAATATACAGACTTTATAAAACGGCAGGTACATTTAAATAAAACAGAAAACATCGATGAAAAAAATAGTCAGTGAGACTTCCCTAGCTTTCAATCAACAAAGCTGTTAAGCAGGGCCGTAGCTAGCATGGGGCAGGTGGGGCGGTGCCCCAGGGCCCCCGAAGGGAAGGGGCCCCGCCGGGGCAAAAGACTTCCGTATAGGGGGCCCCACATTTACTTGTTGCCCCAGGGCCCCCGAGGCTCTAGCTACGGCCCTGCTGTTAAGCTTATTGAAAATTTAGATTTTGGAACTTGAGTTTTGGATAACCATTTTGGGATGTAAAGGAGTAACTTTTAAAGATTAATTGACTACGAGACGCTCTCTACGATAGTTAAATGCCTATCCTGAGTCAAAGTCAATTTTTGTAAGGTACAGTTTCTTGCAAAAGAAAAGGCCCTTTCTGCACATTGGCACCTTTTGTAATTAGCCATTAAACCATGGACGAACACGACATTCAAATGACTGCAGGGCGCAGTCAGAGAAGTGCGACTAACAAGTGCTGATAACCACACGTTGGTGGGTCAGCGATAAGGGCTTTCGCACATGGGTGCGCAATTGTTTTTTTCGTTTTTGTCTTTGTGGAAAACAGACAGAAAATGGAATGCTTACCTCCGCCTCAATAAGCTGAGTGTCCTCGGGGGTCGAGGGTAGCGGGCATCCGGCATCATCCTCTTCTCCCAGTTCGTCGTCGTACTCGAGCAGGCCCAAGTCGTTGGCGCTGAGGGAATCCTCCGGCCCCCAGCCTCGGCGCTTGCGAAGAATCATCTTAACTTCTTCGAAGATGTCCTCCTCTACCTCGTCGCTGCCGCTGCCGATCTTGTTGGTTCCGCGCAGAGTGGCGGTGGTGGTGGTCACAGCGTCGGCAGTAGCGTGACCCGAAGCGTCCATGCCAAACTTGGTGCTAGCGGTGGTTTTGACTTCCACTTCAGCATCGTTCAGATCGTTCGTGGAGCTGTGTCGCTCGAGAAGAGTCGATTCCGAATCCATGAGGCCCGTACTTTCTTTTAGCCTTCAAACAAGAAAGTTCTGAAATATAAATGAGAACTAATCAGTTGGAAACGCTTGAATTTGGTTGCTCGGAAAAGGGGGAAACGTTGTTTGTGGCGTCGCCAGCTTGCCACAATCGAGAAATTTGATATTTATACTTGTTTATTGGTGTCCGCCTGGAACCAATCCAATCGCCGTCGTGCCAAGTAACCTTTGTATCCCAGTGAATCGGTCGGTTACAGTTTTGTGCTTGTGTGTACCAGTGCGATTCATTAGTATTGCTTTGTTTGTTTAATCATTTGGCGAGTCAGATGCCAATTAAATTTTTATATAAGATCACTCAGATGAGTGGGCGGGGAGGGGTGATGGCGGAGTGCAATGATGGTGACTCCGCAGTCCATCAAAAAACTTTGGAACTTTGATTGATAACTTGAACTCTTCAGAGCTCGACCTGAAGGCCACGTGTAAAAGGTTGAGAAACTGGTGTACAACCCACTCCAAGTTTTCACTTGCGAGTTTTTCCAAACTATTGAGGCCACCAATGTCGTCACAACCAAGGGCCTAATCAGCTGCATCCAATGGGATCACTTACATTGCTTAAATCGCGCAATTGGGGTAACTTCAATTGAAGGCGCTTGAAGTTAACACTGGCGCTGAGAACTAGTGGCTAAGCTTGGTTTAATTAAAACAAGAAGCCTATTTTCTTCGTGTGTTTTTCTCTAATTTTCTGGTAAGTATGGCTGCCTATGAAAAAGGAAAATGTGTACTTGATTTTTAGGTGGGTACACACTATCATATGGTTTTAGAATTCACTATGTGGTCACACTGCTAGTAACAGCTGTTAACACTGCTCAAATTTAACACAACAGCTGTTGGGCTCAAAAACTTTCTCTGTTAAAGTTAACAGATTGTCAGACTGTAAATGTAGCGCCAATATTTAAATTATTTTATTTTTAATAAAATGTAAGCATTATTGTTTATATATGTAGGCATTTTACAAATGCATTTTGTATACAATTTTTTTTATTTATTTAACAAGGTTCTCAAGGTTCATTTTGCTGCATACTATGTCGATTTCTATAATAAAAAATATAAAATTAACAAAAGAAATATAAGCATTATTTTTAAGCATTATATATAAGCATTATATCTTGTTATATTTCCTTTTTTTATAACTAATTGATAAAAAAACTTCTTACTCCGAAAATATTTTTTAATGAGTTTATAATGCTACAAAGAAACTGCCGGCATAAATAATGAATGAAACTTCATTCAAGCATTGTATTTGTGTTACTTTGTCATTTTATGCTAAATGATCTGCTGTTTTAGTTAAATAGCCCTAAAAGATGTCAATAATGGTCAATGAATGGAGCTTCATTTTGAGTCGTAAAGCTATTTGTGTTACCAATTTACGCATCTTGTCTCTTTTATGAGAAATTTTCGACCATGTGTAAGACCTCATCCCAAGATGCCGATAATTTGTAACTCGAAGATCTGCTGCACTTATAACTCACTTTCTAAACAGTAAAGCTCATTGAGTTATTATTAGACATTGTTGAAACTTTCCTACCTCAACCACTCAATATTCCTAGCTACCTGACAATTATTATAATTGTAGTTTCTGAATATGTCCGTTAAGCCTAATATTGTAGTTATTTTCCAAGCTTATTTATTAAACTGATATTATGTTACAATTATCTTATTACAATTACAATTACAATGTAAAGTATCTTGTCGTTGTTTGTTATCTAACACCAACTTTATAGCCATTAACTTTATACCCTTTATAATCAATGTGATCTTTTTTTTTTTTGCGTTCTATCCCATTTAACATGTTTATCAAACTTATAGTTTCTTTGCTAAATGAATTTATGGGCTATAAAAAAATTTTCGAAAGATGTTTTAAAAATTGCCCCTCTATGAATACATTCTGACACAAATTGTAATAAACCCTACAATGTACTTTCTTTGAATAAATTATTCAACAATTAACGAGGGGTACTTTTTATATTAATAAATCGAAACTTTTCCGCAGCTTCTTAAAGGTTTCCATGCAAACTTGAATCAATATCTATAAATATTTACTAGGACTGGAACTACCATGGACAAAGAAAAACCCCATTAAGGAATCCAGGCCAATAGCATTAATCAGTCTCGCCAAAGTCTCGTGCCTTGTGTAGTCGGTCTTTGGTGTTCTGATAACTCTGTCAGAAACTCGGCCAAGGATCTGAGGCAAATTCGCAATGACGCGGACTCTGGACTAGCGGTATTAATCGACTGAATTTAAATAATATCGCTGAAGTTCAGGGCCATTATCACGAAAGAGAAACACCGATAATAGACGCCGCTCGAATGACAAACGAACGATAACAAACGCAAAACGGCTTTTTGTTTTTGCCACATAGTGGCGTTTTATAATGAAAATGCTAAAGACCCGGAAGAGCTCATGTCCGGCGAAAAATATATTTATGTATTTATACATGTATCTATAGTGCATTGCATTGATTTTGGTTTATTACACAGTTTTTTTATTTTACAGAATCGCAAATATTTGGGAGGGCACTTAACACTTGGGTGGGTCACAGGCCGTATAACTTCCCATCGTTGATCTGCAAATGCTTTCCCATCGGCCCAAAAACGTGTTAACTGTCCCCCGATAATCCTATTTACGCAAGTATTTACGTAGAGCCGTAATAGTGCCGGAATAGGGCGTGTCACCAATATATATGTATGTACGTTATCCAGACAAATGACGTGACGGCGATAATAAATCAATTGTCTAGCGGTTAGTTGGCGGCCAATTCGTGTTACCACCAGGAAAATCCACACAAGAAAAAAATTTAAACAAAAGTGCTTTAATTTTAAACATTTATTTAAGATATTTCTATTATTATGTACACAAAAATAGGAAACAAAATACTTTATTTACTTTTTTTGTATAAAATCACTTTATTTCTTTAAATAAAATTTAAATACTAATTAAAAATAATAAAAACACCTTTTTTCTCCCCGTGAATTTTTGTTTTCGTTTTCTTTTTTATAGTTTTTGGCCGGCTTTTTGTGATACAATCTGCATGTTTTTTTGGTCAATCGGGAAAGGGTTAATAAACTTGTTAAAAATAAACCAAGAAAAACCCATCGAATGGCTACTACGTTTGGCATTTTTGCTTTCTTTTTGCGAAATACATTCGCCTTAATTGCTTCAAACTTGACCTTACCACCAGAAATCTAAAAATCATAAAAAATCAGCAAAGACAGAATGACGAAAAGAGTGTTTCTAAAAACCTCAAAACTTAAATTGGCCATTAACGCGACTTCGACTTGCATAGGATCGGAGGCGAAAAACAGAAAAAAATGTAGTGTACCGCCGAGCGAATTGCCCAAGCAGGTGAGCGCCGGCTGAGATGTCAGCGTTGGCAGCGACGTCGGCGCCAAATACTGGCCGGCGGGCTGCAAAGCTCGTACATTTTGTTTATTTATACAGCCGAGCGAGTAGAACTCCATATTAGTGTCTTCTTGGCGTTTGAGGCGGTCGAGTGCGATTCCGATCCCGAAACCGTATCTAAATCTGATCCCGAATCCGAATCTTAGCCACGGGTTAGTACCAGTCGCAGTGTGTGCTTGCCAGTGTGTGCCTGAGTGTGAGTGTGTGTGTCTAAGCCAAGTTTGAAAGGAGGGCCAATAAATAGAAGCCACAGAACAGGTACGGAAGTGCTGACATTTTTGTGGGACAACCCAGAACCCAGACGTGCAAGTGTTGCATAAATTAGAGAGCACGCGTGCGGGGAAATTGGTTATACAACGAATTGGGTCAAAACTGGATTGGCAACACATGAGAGTGGGAGTGCGGGCCAGCAGTGTGAGGTAGGGTGAGATGCAGATGCAGAATGGCGGTGATCTTGACTTGACCAATTTTCGTGCTGCTGTCGCTGCTTTTGCCACTACACTTGCCACTGGTCCCCTCCAGTCTGTCTGATTTTTCTAGTCGACCTTAACCCAATGCATCGTACATAGATTAAATGCTAAAAACTGGCTTGAGGAGCTGCAATTTTGCCAGTCAGCCAAGGCCAAGACTCTGGCAGCATGGCAGCATTGAGGCGGCCAAATCTAAACGATTTGAACTTGTAATCGATTGCAATTCAATTTGCAGCTGCATTGGCCTTCAGGCCACTAGTTAGCCAACTCAGTCCGCAGCCCACACTTAAACGAACCCCATCTTCTGGCCACGAAGATGACCACACTTCGTGGTTGGCAAACAAATTAGATAGAAGCACTAACCATACAGCATATAGACAACCCATTTCATACAACGAAAATGGACGCGAAAATTTCTTGCGACAGGCCCCAGCAGGCCCCAGAGCGGATTTCTTACGCTCTCTTACGCTCATCGTTCGTTCATCTTACGCTATTTCGCAATAAATGTTTTTGTTTTCAGTCTTAAACGGAGCGCGATGAAGAAGGTTGGCCTGCGCTTGGTTGATCTTTGTATGTATGTGTCACATTCACATACATGGGTGTATGTGTGGTGGATTTTTTGAAGCCAGGCACAAATTTTGATTTTCTTACTTTTAAGGCTTGCTACCCTAACAAAATTCGGGTATTCGTTATTTGATGAATGACGAGAAATTATATTATTTTTATTTTATTTTTTTATTATTTCAGCATACATTTTTAATTTATTTAGGAATAAGATTAGTGTTAGTAGTAAATGTTTTCTGTATATATATTTTACGAATCATTAAAATCAATATACTGGAAAGTGTCGAGTATATTTGGTGGGTCACTTAAGGCCGATTGTTTTAAGTTTTGTTGTTCTGAAGAGGCTTGTGCATGCCTACTCTAACGATGGAATGATTTTTAGGGGAGGGTGAAGACACGAAAACAGCTGATGGACTTGTTTACCTTTTTGTTTACAATTTTTCAGGCACTTGTTATTATATTTTGGGTTATTGTGAGATTTAATTAAATTATTGTCGTTAATTTAATAATTTCCTTATATATATTTCCTTATATATAATAACTTTAAAAGTAATTTAATTCTTCACCCGTCTTCACCCTCCCTAAAATCATTCCATCGTTAGAGTAGGCATGCACAAGCCTCTTGCAGAACAACAAAACTTAAAGCAAACGGCGCTTTAGTGACTCCGACCGAAATATACTCTGACACTTTCTCGTATATTGATTTTAATGATTCGTAAAAATATATATACAGAAAACATTTTACTACTAACACTTAATCTTATTCCTAAATAAATTAAAATGTATGCTGAAATAATAAAAATATAATATACAAATAATATAATTTCTTTCGTCATTTCATCAAATAACGAATACCCGAATTTTGTTAGGTAGCAAGCCTTAAAAGTAAGAAAATCAAATTTTGTGCGCTGGCTTCAAACGAAATCGCACGCACACATACACCCATGTATGTGAATGTGTGACACGCATACATACAAGATCAACCAAGGCAGGCCAACCCTTCATCGCGCTCCGTTTAGACTGAGAAACAGAAACATTTAATGCGGAATGAGCGTAAATGACACTGCGAGAGCGTAAAATCCGCTCTGGGGCCGCTGGCCTGAGCAAAATTTTCGCGTCCTTATGAAATGGTTTTTATTTTGGTTTGATAGAAGTCAGAGGAGCCGTTCCCAACAAAGAGACTCCGACGCGTCCGTTACAGTTCCCAAAGAAAACACAAAACGTCTTGGGTTCGGAACAAAAAATCCAATTAACGCTGCAAATATTTGCCAAGTAATTAAAGGTTGTCAGTCAGCCAGCGAGACAGACAGATAGTCAGTGGGCCCAAAAAGTCCCCAACTTTAAACTATGGCAGTAAAAAATATAACTGACCAAAAAAATCGTATTTTAACAAATATTACGTATACGCCTATTGGTCAAAGCTACAGTTCTTGTTAAAAAAAGATTCTTTCATTCTTCTTTTCTAGCTTCTTTTATAGTTTAAAATAGTATAGTATAGTTCTTATAGTCATAAATTCTAATATTTTTTCCAAGTGTATCTTGGCGTTAGATATAGATACACTTGTATTTGGCTGAGTCGTCGGGTTTTGCTGTCCCTCTCTGAATACCTCAGCTGGCGGGCTGAAAAAATTAAATTACAGCGCTAAGCAAGCATAAAAGCATAAAAGATGTGCACTTGACACATGCAAGATTAACCTGTTGCACTGGCCCGGGCCTGGGGCGTTGGGCAAACAATGAGCGAAAAACTAACAATATCTACATATATATAAAAATTTCAATATAGGCGCTCGACCCGATGCCGAACCCTTTTTACTCAGAATGCACAGATCTAAGCAACACCTTAGAACTAACCTACAAATGGTTTAATGTATTCGGGAATTTCTCAGGGCTAATTGTTGTCATTGGCAATGCACACAGGTGCGTGTGAAAATCGTACTGAGAAAACATCCGCCCAATTGGTTTCCATGCACTGAGAAAATTCTTCTCTAAGAAACTATCTGTGTTGAAGATTTCCAACCACGTGTTAGAAATGCACATCTGTCAAATGCAACAAAGCAAATTAAAACAAAAACGTGAATATCTTCATGCACCTTCAAGTGTGGCGCATTAATAACATTTAAATCGCAGATACAGATACAGATAGAGATAGACTGAAAGATATACATACTTTGTCTTATGACGATGAAAGACTAATGCCCCATCGGCCTTCGTTAGACCTGAAATTAGTAGCAAATTAAGTTGTTTTTATTTAAGCCTTTTATTTTTAGAGGCACAAATCATAAAAAATTAACGCTTATTGGGTGCTTTTCCGCAACGGCCAGACGCAGCCAAATGCTAAATAAATTTTCGATTAGTCACTCGCAAAAGGGAAGCGAATAGGAAACACCAAAGCGAAACATTTAAAATTATGATACGTACTCATGTTCGAGTACAAACACCAGCCCCTAGAGGTTGGGTAAATCCAATTCCGAGTCTCGGTTCTGGGTTCTGATATTCTGATAAACTGACAGCCAGCAGCTCTTAGGGGTACAACGTCGATTCGCGAAAGCCCAATCAATTATGCATACAATACACATAATTATAATGCGTGCCCGGCCGTCTTCTTGTGCGTTTTAAGCTTTTTTATTCAAAACTGTCAAGCGGAAGAATCAGCTTCCATTAGCGACCTTTGCTTTTGTTTTAAAAAGTGTGGCAGAAGGTGTTTCCCAAAAAAGAGTTATCAAGGGGTTAGCTGGGTGGGCTTTAACGTCAGCGAGTAAATTCAAAGGCAGTCAGCGGAACAGTCGCCTGACTCAACCGCCACAACAGGTGCCAACTGATTTTCTAAAACTGGGAACTGCCAGCAAGTGTCAGCCATTGGCGTCACATTTTTGGTCGTGATGATGATGCCGCGAGCTCACTTTTCCTGTCTCCAGTGTCAGTCTTTGGATGCCAAGTGCTTTGCATACGAATGGGACTCGAAATGGGAATGGGACTGGTATGGGGTGTATGGGATATATGGTTATGGGAAGGCAATCACAGGCTGACTTATACTACTGCCAAGTAACCCTGACAGAGACCTAGTCCCCAGCCGAACCAGTCGCTGTCGCTGCTGACAGTCGAACAGTTGTAGTCAGCAGATATCAATCATACGCCGAGTATGTCCAATTAGCGACAGCTGTAAGCTCCCTTCTTCTGGCTCTCCAAATTTAATTACACGCCTTGTAATCCGCAAAAATCCATTGCAATTAGAACAGAACACAGAAGCTCCTTGTCCGGAAAACTCCAGTCATTGGATATTCATTAGAAACTGAAGCAGGCGGTGCAAACAAAGTTCTATAAAGCAAAAATAAACGGTTCGACTCCAAATAAGTGTGTGTTCTAGAGTCAGCCTCTAGAACTGGATTTCTACGAATATTTATATAATACATAATATCTTGAAGAATATTGAAGGCTAATTATACGAAATCAAGTAACTTTTCGAGAATCTTCGGCTGAACGAGTTCCGGTTCGAGTTGGCTAGGTCAGTGGTTTAATCAAAAAAGAACAAACACACACTCACATACGAAACAAGTTCTTGGCGGTAATATGTAATTGAATACATTGATAAGCCATTTTCAATCAAACCCTTTCCGTGTGCAATTTAAATAACAATAAGAGCCAAGAAAACAAGGAAAATAAGCAAATCAAACGGCCATCTTGTTGCCATTTACATACATCGGGCTAGAACATTAAGCACGTGTTTATCGGTGTGAGTGTGCGATTATATCTCGAAACCAACACCACAAAGGCAGTCAGATACACAGATACAACCTGTAGATACCAAGATGAATGCCAAAGTTATACTAACTTTAGTGCCAAGGCGAAAAATTCAAATGAAGCCTTGAGTTTGGCTTTTTTCAGGTTTCCAAGCCATTGACTTGCGGTCGTGGTTGGGCCAAGAATCTAAGATCTTTTAAGCCAAGTGAATCTCTGGCTACAGATAGAATCTACAGATTGTGGAGATTGTCAAGCTACAAAGTGCATCGGTGGCACCATTGCTCGGTGTCATCTCTCCAGCCCAGTTTGCTGTCGTCATTCATCATTCAATTTGGTGTGTCCCGTTTGGCTTTAAGGGGCTAGGAATATCTGAATATCTATATAACTCAATAAGCGATTTCTTCGCGCCTTTCATTAATAAATCGTTTGCGTATCTGCCTAGGAATTCCAATGCAGATCACGATCACAGGTTCGCAGTTCGCCAGCCAGCATAATCAACTCCCGACCAGCTTGCGGCTCGCGACTTACGACTCTCGATTCTCTGTTCGATTCTCGGCTCGATTCTCAACTCGGCAGAACGTGCTGAGCCTTCGAGATATCGAATATCTTTTCATTCAATATTTTGGCAACGCCGCGTGCGGACGTCGGGCTCTGAATTCTCGATTTTGGGCGAAAATTTCTAAAGCTCGTTTATTTCCCATTATTTTTCAGTTGCCCATTGCAGAACGAAACATGACGACCTACATGAAGATCTTCGAGGAGCGCTACTCCGGCCTGGCCAAGGGAGTTGGTAAGCTATAAAAAAATGCTCGTAAAATTTAAATAATTTTATTCTATAATTTTCGATTTTTAGATGAGACCGTGGACAGCTGGTTCCTGATGAGTTCCCCAACCCCCGTGGTTGCTGTGGTCTTGGTATACCTGGCGTTCGTCTTGAAAATCGGTCCCGAGTACATGAAGAATCGGAAGCCAATGGACCTGAAGCGCATCATGGTCTTCTATAACGCCTTCCAGGTCTGCTACTCGATTTGGATGTGCCGCACGGTGAGTCCATAAAAACGCGACCGGTGGAATTTATTCAGATCAGAGCTGATTGATGTATTATTCATTTTTAATCATAAGCAGTGTATGAAAGAGCTTGTCGGACATACCAAGTAATGGGTTTGGTGGCATTTGCATTAAAAATGCAAAGATTCTTCAAGATGAAGATATTTTTAGTACTAAATTTTATTGCAAAACTATTAAAGAAAGTGGGGGAATATATAGTCTACATAATATATGGGCTTTATTGGATCAAACAAATAACCCCAAGTCTAATACCATTCATTTTCTATCTCCATTTTTAGTCCATTCAAGAAAGCAATGTGATGGCTTCCATTTACTCCAAGAAGTGCGAGATCAACCGCACCCGGGAACAGAACCTGACCCTCTACTCTGGAGCTTGGTTCTACTTCTTCTCGAAGATCATCGACCTGCTGGACACCACGTTCTTCGTCCTGCGCAAGAAGGACAACCAGATCTCCTTCCTGCACGTCTACCACCACACCGTCACCGTTCTCTTCTCCTGGGGCTACCTGAAGTACGCTCCTGGTGAGCAGGGCGTGATTATCGGCATCCTCAATTCGGGAGTGCACATCATCATGTACTTCTACTACATGGTGGCCGCCATGGGACCCCAGTACCAGAAGTACCTCTGGTGGAAGAAGTACATGACCAGCATCCAGCTGGTGCAGTTTGTCCTCATCCTGGGCTACATGCTGCTGGTGGGCGCCAAGGGATGCAACATGCCCAAGACACTGACCTTCTTCTTTGTGGGCAACACCGTCATTTTCCTATACCTCTTCGGCAACTTCTACCGCAAGACCTACAACAAGGCCAAGAGCATCGATGGCGCCAACGGCGCCAAGCGGACGACCGGCAGCAGTCTGGCCAAGTCGGCCCTGAGGGCTGCCGGCGGCATGGGCTGCATGCCCCAGACAATGAACGCCGGAAAGTACAGCCTGGAAAACTCGCCGCCCGGAAAGGCGTACATCGACCTGAACAACAACAATGTGAAGCCGCTGAAACTCGAATGAGGAGTCGTTTTCTCGTTTTGTGACGTGGTTGGGTTTCAATTTAGCAATTACGTTTTGTAACGCGGGGCTTTAGTTCGTACTTGTATATCTGTATATCTGTGTATCTTTACCATTATCCGTAGTGTCTGCGATGAATACCTTGTATAATGTTTATGCCGGGCAGGCAGCCGGATGATTTCAAAAACCCAAAAAGTAGCTAGAACCCTAAGTGATTGAGTGTGATTGTGGCCAAGTCTGACTGTTTAATGTTAATGTTTTTCTTAGCTTTGAGTGAGTGCGAGTGTGATAGAGTTTTATTAATGAAATGCAGCCGTAAATCGTTTCTCGCAAACAAGAAAAATTCAATAAAACTTCGATTTTTGTATATTTAATAAAAATTAAAAAAATAAAAAACTCAAGTGTCTGTTCTTTGCCGGCTCGATTCGGGTTTTGGTCTAGCTCTGGGATATGGGTTTTTGGGATTTTTTCTTCCCCCTGCTTTCTGCACGAGGCTTTCGTTAGGTAACCAAACAAAAAATGGAAACCAGTTGGATCCATCCCATTATTTATGACGGCATTCAAAAACCGATCCCCAACCACGCGCCACGTCCACCCAATTAAATTATGCAGATCTGCAATCCGCAAGATATTCTTCGGCCATAAAGCGTGATTAATACCTGTCGATTAATCTTTGAATCGATGAGATTTTCGGTGTCATTTTGGTCGAGTGTCCTAGCCAAAAGCTTGGCACATGGTACGCGTGCTGGACCGCTGATTATGCAACACCGTCTTGTGGCTATTGACCAGTTCTTGCTAGCCTGGCTTAGACACCATGGCGACTGGGAGAATGTTGCTTTTGCTGCCAAATTAGAAATTCTAATCAATTTTTTGTTGTATTTATATCTTGGCATTGACTCACATGCCACGTTTTGAACGTTTTTTTTATACTAAATCGTATAGCACATCTATTAATGCTGATTTGCAAAACAAAACTCTCTTGTTGGAGTCAAAGTTCAAGGGCCTGATAAAGAATTCAACGTGTATATAGTAGTTTTTGTCGCCAACTTTGTTGTTGCATTGGACTCCTCGAACTAATATACCCTCAACAAGAAAATGCCTAAAAGTATACCCCAAAATAATTATTATGGAAATTATTTATAAGTTCGGACTTAAAATACTACATATATCCACTCGTTCTGGTCTTGAAGAGTTTCCAATCGAACCGATCAAATCTATGCTGATCATGCCATAAAACTGGAATATTGGCCAATGTATTGGCTCCAATCCAGTCGGAGCTAGTCCGATAAACAACGTTTTTGCCCAGAGAGGTTTGGACTCTTGTTTTCTTGTGTTTGTGGTCAAGATCAAGGTCAATTGTCCAAACCGGCTTCATATTGAATTCAGATACTGTATCCGCACATCGCGCCGCAACCCCACTCGAAGATGCGTTTTCACTTCCGCCTCGCCAGTTAGCCGGGGTTCCGTTTTGACTGATTGATCAATAAAAGGCTAAGGAATTTATCAAACTCTTATCTCGTCGACAGCCGTTCAAGGTGCTTCTCGACATCAGAATAAGCTCTAATGAGTGGTAACATCTTGAGTTCTCAGAGTCGGAGCCGGAGCTGGAGCCTCGTAAAAATTCATGAACTGGACATGCTGCATCACCCCATAGACCTGTTCTAGCCACGCCCTTTCGATAATTTAAGTCACACGGATGTTTTGGCTTCCGTCGATGTATGAATGAGCATATTGTTTTCAATAAACCCACATACATATATCACCCAATGCTTCGGTTCAAATTAGTTCCTTGAGAAGATTATTTCTCAAGCAATTTTTATCTAAGGTTAAACTGAGATTATGAATAAGTGGATTAGGATGAAACTGGGTGGAGTTGACCCAACAAGTCCACCTAAACAAATATCATTAAAATGCGGTTTCAAGCATACGTTGAATGAACTTTTTATGATTCTGCAAGAGTTTACGACAGGAAATGACTTTAAACTGGAATATTTTCAAGGGCAAAGCAAGATTTATAAAGTCAACTAATAAATATAAAATAAATAGATTTATTTTTACTTTAGACATATATATTATTTGAGTTGAAGACTCAAATAGATTTAGATACAAATAGATATAAATATAGATATATTTTTAGGTCCAAGAGGTTGAAGAATACTCCCTTTGTAACTTCCCAAGACCTTGATCACCCCATCCACTTCCCATTCATTAAACAAAAGAATAATTCGCATTGTTTTTCGATATTTTTGTAGAAAAAATTCTATATTTATTTGTAAAATGTGTTTGCATTTATAGTTTCATTATTTGCTATTTACTATTTTTAGTTAGCTCTTTTCGCTTCACTTCTTTTATGCCTACTTTACATACCACGAGTATATAAAATCTAAAGAAAACATATTCATATGCGTACCTACACTTATTTACACAACTAAACGCTTCTTCTGCCTGTTTACTTAACTTAACTTAGTTCAGTTTTGGCCGAAAGACATACGACTTCTTTCATTTGGGTCCGCCGTCCGAAAATGCCAACTTCAAACGGAGCGTGCGATGATGACGATGGCTGCAAAAAGCAATTTCAACTGTTTGGACATTTACATAATATGTGTATCTGTGTCTCGAAAACTCAATTTGCTTCAGAATGTAACTATTTCGTAACTTTTTCTATTTTTTCTGATTTTTGTGGTTTTTTTGCGGTGTTTTTTGAGTTTTTTGGCGGAGGATTACTTAAGAAATTAGTCAACAAAGTTGCACTTAGAGCATGGGTGCCTCGCTTTGCACGAGTATTGAAGGGATGTGTGTGGCTTTGTGTGAGTGTGTTGGGGGGTGGTGGTGGGTGGTGATACAGTTCGGTGGATGGTAACTGGCTGGCAGCCTACAAGGCCTTCTGCTTCTGCTTGTGGTCCAACTCAATGGCCTTGTTGAGGTCCTTGGCGCAGCCATCATTGTTGTTGTCCGCCATCAGGGCATTGGCCTTGGCAGCGGCCTGCTTCTTCTTGTAGGACTTCTGGTAGAAGTCATTGAACAGGAAGTAGAAGAAGACGGCGTTGGGCAGGGTGAAGCAAACCGACCACCTGGGGTAGCCACAATCGGTGTACAGCAGCTGGGTCTGGTGGATGAAGGCGCAGCAGAACTGGATCTGAAATAGGGATAAATACACCATATTAGAAATAATTTCATACAAATTTATATTAAAATTATTTTGGGGTAGTTAAAAAGATTTAATATCTAAATCTCTACAAAAGAGTCTTCTTCAAGTCTTTTTGAAGACAAGCTTTAGATTTTATCTTGATAGGTACTTAATTATTTGCAAAATGATTTTCTTGTAAATCAACATTCTTTAATTCTTTGTTAAATTATTATAAAGTAAATTAAATCTTCTTTTTTTATAAAGTTTTAAATATTTTAAAAACATATGTTACAAACTACTCTACCACTGTAGAAAGTCTTTAAAAATTCAAAATACATTTTTACTGTTAAGCATTTCTTTGCAATTTAAAAATATTAAAAAAAATTCCACTCCTTATAAGCACCCCAAAATATTATCCTTTTACTCACCATCTGCAGGTTGGTGATGTACTTCTTCCACCACAGGTACTTCTGCATCTGGGGTCCAAATGCGGAGAGGAAGTAGTAGGAGTACATGATGATGTGCACAAAGGAGTTAATCCAGCCGATGAAGGTGCCGTGTCCGCCGGGATAGTACTTGCTGGTGCCCCAGCTGATCATGGGCATCACGGTGTGGTGGTAGACATGGAGGAAGGTAACCTGGCGGTCGTTCTTGCGCAGTACGAAGAAGATCGTGTCCAGCAGCTCGGTGATCTTGGCCAGGTAGTAAACATACACGACACGGGCTTCACGGTAGGCCTTGGGGGTTCTGGACCAGTCCACCGGCTGGCAGCGCCAGCTGTAGTACTGCCAGATGACGACGCCCTCGTAGACCATCCACACGCTCAGAGCCACCTGGAAGAAGTTGTAGACCAGGAGGGTGCGCTCCAGCTTGAAGGGTTTGCGGTTTTTCATGAAACGGGGTCCCCAGTAAAGAACGAAGAATAAGTAGAAAGCCAGGATGCCCAGCAGGGGCAGGGGCGACTTGATCAGGAACCAGTCATTGGTGCGGGGATCTACATGACAAAAAGACAACAAATTAATTGAAAGCCAATCGATTAAACCCCCTAGCTAGAGCCAGTGCTAGCAAAAACCCAACTCACCTGCCAGATCGGTGAACAGAAAGTTCCAATAGTCCACCTTTTGCGTTGCGTTGACGTCTGCCATTTTTAAATAAGTCTGCGAACCAACTGCTTCCACAATACAAATTTATATGAATATATATATATGGAAGTATATATATCTCTTCGATGTGAAATTTAAAAATCTGCTAAGCACGCGTCGCAACGAACGAGTTTTGCCAAATCTAAATGGGGAATGGGATGGGGAGGAACATACAATATCAGTAGGGAGTCTGGATGAGCAAAAGAGTTTTTCAAGTTTCCAGCTACAGACTACAAGTATTAGCTATAAGTATATTTAAATTATGTTAATGCCATCCCCACAAGCCACTAAACATTTTGGTGGATCGCTGGAACTTCGGCTGTTGCCGTGCTGCTGTGAACAGAAATGAATAAATAAAATATTATTCAAAGCCGAGAGAATAGCAATTGGAATCGCATTGCTGAGATTTGGTGTGACGGTGACGGTGAAATGCCGTGAAATTATCATGTAACAGTAACAGTAAATTATATTCATTATTATGAATTAAACAACCGCGGCGCACAACAGTCCGCAACAAATTGGTGGCCACCTCATGGGCCACAGTTGCCTCATGGCGGCTAAATTGGGACCCGGACCCTCAAAGAAATAATGAAGAAAATATAAAACCTCACGTGTGTAACCCGCTCGGTATAAAAGATACAACAAAAAAAATGTGTTTGTTTTGTGCATTTTTGTTTTGGCTCTTAACTTGATATCTCAACAGAAGCCATTCAGGTGTACAAGCTAGACGTTCTTCATGCCATGCTCCATAATTAATCATCCTCAAGAACCCAGCTTCCAGCTTCCACTCAGTCTTCGAAGGACCATTATGCTAAAGTCCATAATCACGTTCGTTGACTCGAGAAGTCGCACACTTGAACTTGGCAGAGGCCGATTAAGACCGCAATAATCGAATAACATTACGATTTTCGAGGCTATTCTGATCGGCTTCTTGGTGCCAAGTGGGCAGCAAATTGAAAAAATAATAAATGAGGGAAACGGAGATATTTTGAAGGGCAAGAGTTGGCCAACACTCCAGCATCGGCAATCAACAGGTTTGACTTTTGAATTCCAGTCATTTCCTGCTACCACACTTTAGGTTTATATTCGAATATTAGCTGCAACAGTTGAAACAGAATCTGGCTCAGAAAATGGCTGTGGCGACAAATGGCACAAAGGTGCTAAACACATTTCTCGGCCACCATAAATATTTGGCCAAGAAAATCCAGTTTATCAATTTTCAGATGAAGACAAGACCTTGACGTGATTTTATTTTCCACCTCTGCGGCTTAGACCGACTTCTGGGGAATGGGTGGGAATTACGATATGCCCATAGACATATCTGGCGACCTGACAAGTGTCTCCGTCGTGTCTGGCTGATCATCGTCGGCAAATTTGGAATTTTGAGGCATTTCCACTTGGTTAGTCATTTGTTAAATGGCCGGCGGCCCTCTTGAAGATCTCGGGATTTGTTGTTGGCTCTTGGGCTTATTGTCTGTATGGGCCATGGGCCTTGGCCACGCCCCGAGCGAGCAAATAGAAAATTGTGTCACCTATTGCCCAACAAAAAACCCAAGTCGGTTTCATTTTAGCAAATTAAGATGTGAGTGATTTGGGTTTGGTGACCTTGACGGAAGGAAATTAAAAAAAAGTTGTTCCAAGTGAGAGTTCTTAGCTCATTTTTGGCTGAAATATGAGATCTGGTATTGAGAATTCAGAACTAGACTTTAAAAACTAGCCATATTTGTCTAATTTTTCGCTAAACCAGACCATTGACCGAAATCCACTGACATATATTTCCAGAAGAACAAAAAATGTGAAATATGTGAGTGGAATCCGGATTGGTTTCCCTGAATGAAACACACTTCTAGTCCAAAAGTATTTGATCTGATTAATCACTGGGAGATACACGCGCACACACTCGCACAAATGAAGAGCTTGAGGCACCTGTTGCAATCTTTCGATTGCCGTGCACTTAATTTACAACAGCAGTATCAGGCACCAAAAACCAGCAACAGATACAGATACAGCAGCAACACCGACAATTGTAGCGACAACTATTAATGTTAACACCATGACACCTCTGTTTTTTGTAACTCTTGTTTCATCTGCTTCTTATGACTGATATTAGGGACTAGACTATAGCTTAGTTTAGCTCCAAGAGGAGCCGGGCAGATACCTTTGCTGGCATCCGCTACCCACGAGACTTGTACGCGCACTGAACTGCCAAGCCGATTTGTACGCCGCTATGTATAAAAATTTCGTCTAAAGGTTCGATTTGGTGTTGCTGTTTCTTTGGCTCTTTCAGCCACGAATTTGTATATTTTTGTTTTTATTTTTTCAGTTTTGGCTCAGTTTCAGTTTTTGTTTAGCTCGGCTCGGAACTTTTGTCTCGGCCATTTCGGCAGGTTGTCGCTATAATGATGCTCATCTTCGTCTTGAACGTTGTTGGAAATGTTCTTTTGTGCCTTGTGGATTCGATTCAAACGTATTCGCATTTGGATGTATCGAATGATCTTAGCCTGGTCTCGTTTTTCTATTGATAATTACGATGACACCAGCTTATGCTGTGTGGTGATAAAATATTTGGGAGACTGTCTGTATGTGTGGCGGCTCTTTGTTTTTGTGCTGTTTGCTAAATTTGCTTAAATTTTAATTCGTTTTGTATTTGGCATTGCAGCCTTTTCAACAATTAAACGAATCATAAAATATTCTTCAATAGTTTTCGGTTCTGAATCGATATGGTCACAACAATTGAGAGACCCAATACCTAAACAAATATATATTTCGGAGAATAATTCTGTTTAATCTCTGAACCTGCAACAGGTGACTTTGGAAATATTAATTAATCATTTTCCAAACACTTTATAGTCATTATTGAATGGGCTTTTACTTTTTTCCAGCTCAGCACTTTCATCATTAGCCAAGCAGAGAAATCAAACAAAGATTGTAGAACCCCAGACCGCAAAATGAGATTTTCATTCTATTTCGTCTTATATCTTTGCCGACCTTGACCCAAATTATCGTTGAACTTTACGTTTAGAACATGCGGAGTTGGACAAGAATTCTGCCGAATCAACAAGATTCTCGGGCTATATTACAATATCTGATTTAAACAAGCATTTAACTCTACGATTTACGGCATTATGTTGTATAATTTAAGTTTTGGAAGTTCCGTTAAAGCCGATTTAATTCAAGGAGACACGAGTGCCGATCAGGCATCATTTACATACAAATTCTTGAGGCCTAGGGCTTGGATTCTAATGATCCACAAAGATCACCCCTCGCCTCAATCGATGCCACTTCCGGGTCAAGACGATGGCTAATGAAATCGTAACCAATCCAACACCAACACCAACGCTTTTGGCCAACATTTCAGACTGAGGCTGAGTCTTTAGAGGCTGGGGTCATCCGGAGTTAACTGTGTCACCGGCGAATTGAACTTGAACTTGCCTCATCGCGATTAGCGTTTAACTTATGCGAATCTAAAACCAGCTCACCAGATCGCCGATTGGCGAATATGATTAGGCTTTCGGGTCGAATGTGGGTGAATGCCGTCAGCGGGTGAATCCCTTCGTCAGGAATCAATCATACGCCGTGTGAGCCAAGTCAGCTGCCTGCCACCACACCACCACACGACCACACTTCTTCCGGTTTGTCCATTGACATGCGTCTTTTGTTTGGCCGTATACCCGATCATAATAACATGCAAAAGACATTTTAAGTTTATTATCATTGTGGCTGCAGACGATTCATGCGATCGCGATCGAATATTAAGACCCGTCACAAAAAGCATAGTCGGTGGCCAGGGGAGGGCAACTCGCGAACTGCGAGTTATGCAAATATCTTCCGCAAACATTTACATAGCCAACAGCCAAACTGGCCGACAACAACCGTTAAACAATTATTATTGTATTTGTTTGTATTCGATCACCCCCCCTGTCATCGCTCCTTTTTTCAGCCAAATTGCGTAGAAAAAATAAACAATTAAATTTTTGCAAAAATCTCTTTTGCCAAGCGAGGCTTGTTTGCCTTTTAGAATTCTTAATTGGTCGTTCGACAAAACATTAAAAATGAATTAGACATATTGTGGCCTAAACATGTTGCCAAGGTCGGCGGAAAGGGCGCCAAACAATTTGCAAATTTTCCAATCAATTTCCGATTTTAAACAAACCACACGCATCCCAAATTTAAAGCCACGTTAAAGTCAAGTTTATCGCTGGGCCTACAGCAGTTTTTACTACCTAGATTGTTAACAGCAATTGTAAATGAGGCTCTTAAATGTTTAATTGACCGCTTTTGAACTTTTTGTGAGTTAGTGTTGTCTTTTTAGCTGTTTTTAGCCATTTGAAAATATAATTTGTTTGCAGAAGCCGCAGAATAATATAAGTAGAGAAGTCTTTACATATTTATTTTCTTGTTTAAATAATACGAATATAAAAATTAAGTTTATTAGGAAGAAATAAAAATTATAGCTACTAAAGGTTTCGCCTTAATTTAAGTTAAATTTATAATAAAGCGAAATTTATTATTCAATTTATTTATTTATTTTTCAAATTTGTACTAACAGCCTTTTGAAAAAGATCTTGTAAAAATCGGAATGTTGGAGATATATATTGGCCAAGACTTACTTTTGGAATACAAATAATTTAAAACCTTACTTTTACATAAAATGAAAGTTGCTTAAAAATATTCATAGCTTTTAACAAACTTATTTTTTTGGTTTCCTTGCATTTATTTTAACATCTTTAGGCTACCTATCGACATCTATGGTTGAAGTTTTCAAAGCTCGGCTTAAAGCTCCCAAAAGCGTTGCCAGATTATGGCTAAAACATGGTTTTAGTTATTAGCCATTAAGTTTGACAAAAACTTGAAGTTCATGATTTAAACTGAGTTAAGCCTTGTTTAACTAGAGGGTATTCAATAATTTAAATATAGCTTCCGTCACTTACAATAACTTATGCGATTAGGATTTATTTTAATAAATGAAATGTAACAATTGGCATTAATATATTCTATTATTAACTAACGGAAAATGACAGATTTCTTAAGGTATATAACTTATTATTTATTCTTTAATTTATTTATTCTTAAATAAAACTGAATTAAAAAAAAAACAGTAATCTTTGAGGTAGATTTTTGGTTCTAAAGAGTACATTTAATGAAACCTTAACTTAAACTAAAGTTTCATTAACTAAACTAATATTATCAAAAATTGTATATAAAACTAAATGCTTATTTGGGATTGTTACCGAAACTAATTGAACGATCTCATTGGGGTTCTTTAAAATGATAACTTTTCAAAGTAAACATTTGCATTCTATAACCACTTTAAAAAAAACTTCTACAGAGCAATATCATACATATATGTGATTAAACCAAAATTATAGTATTTCTAGAGCCCTTTGATTTGCCACCCAAATAGATAATAGCCGTTAAAACAGTTCCGATTAACAGGTTACATGACAAGGCTTCTAGGGCATCTTGGGGCTGTAACCAGGTCGATGCTCCGTAGGCACTCATCATCTCGGCCCAAGTGGCTGTGGCTCTAATTGCGCAAATCGAACTCGTTTGGCCAAGCACGGAAATGCCGATCGACAGTATTCCGGAGCGGGCGAAGTTAATAAATCTAGTGGGTCTCTTGTGCACTCTCCTCTTTTTCGATCAATCGAAATTTTGGAATTTTGGAGTCGTAGTCGTAGTGGCCGCCGGCTGCTCTGCCCTTGAAGGAACTCGTTTTGGGCGATAAATTGAGAGAAAAACAAAAAGATTAATATGTAGCAAAAAAGAAATCGTACTTCCGTTTCCTGATCACTCCAATCGATCGATCGAACGGTGACGACGAAACAGAGAATATGCCTAAGAAGCTTAATAGATTCGATAACGCAGAGCCGTTTTCATTTAGTGGCCAATTAAAATGCATAATTATAAATTCTAGTCTCGATATTTTCTGCCAGCATTTTAGCCAGTTCGTTTCATTAATATTATGTGGCAATTTTTTGTAGATGTATTTAATTTTGCGCTAAACAACTGTGTCAAGTTCAAAGTGAACTTTTAATTGCTAATTGACTGACGCGGGATCTATTCTTGGAGCAGCCCGCTCTTAATTAATATTCCGAAATATGTATCGCAGAGTTTGTTAATTTCAAGTTCAGCGTTTGCGAACCTCGTGAGTTGCCAAGAACTTTGTCATTTAGTGCCGTCTTGGCTCATAAACCCGAAAAATAAAACATGCCAAGAGCCGTTCCGTCAGACTTGTTTGTTGAGCTCATATATCTGGGAGTACCTTCTTCATTGAATACTTTTTTTTTATTATTTTCTTAAATGTTTATGTTTGCTGTAACCGAACAGAAGTTTGGCCAATTGATTAACAACCCCAAGACGCAACACTCGGCCTTTAAATCATTTTAGCCAAATTAGTGAGCCCGACCATCGATTCTTCGGCCTCTTCGATTCTTTGGCGATTGCCCAAGTGAAGCTGGGCAGGCCGCTTCTGGATTTGCCCATCCAATTAGGGCCAAATGTGATGTGTGCTTGGCAAAAGTCTTAGCCATGGCAGCTCGCATATTGAGCCTGAAATTCCAACGCTCCAAATCATCCGCGCATGCGGTATAAATATCTCTAAATACTCGCCATTAAAAGCCGTGTCTCTTTCGGATTTTGGGCCGTCTTCAAGGTCAGGGCGTGCTCGCTTTTCTGCACCAAATTGCAACGCAATTAAGACTAAGTATGGCCAGATCCGCGGATCAGATAATCCGGGCAGACAAAAAGTTGACATGAAACATTTAGCAATCCAATGGCAGAAATTGCGCAACTTTGCATAAAAAAATGCCTGCCCGGCTTAATAAAAATCTTTAACCAGCTACAGTAACTGTGTAATTAGTAATTGCTGTTTACAGCTTCGATTTGATTTGACCTCTAATCTGTCAGGGGGAGGTGGCTTAAGTGGTCTGCCTTTCGAAAATAATGCCGTTATCAATTACAAAACGCCCCGGGTCGACGGTCGACGGTTAATCGATTCCAGCTCAAGCACTTAAAAACGCTCCAGAAAACGCCCTCACGGTCTCTCGTGTTAACACCCACACCTTACTCTATTCAACGCTAATTAATTTATGATTGTTAATTATTTTTTGCCACATACTCTTGCTAATTAAAATATCTGCAAACTCATTCTTCGGTCTAGCAAACATTCTATGGTTAGAATCAGGGTTCAGCAATGAGTAAGCTAAACGCTAAAGTAAATATTATGAAATTATATTGTTGTTTATTATATGTTACTCTACCGTTGCCGATAAAATATATAACAACTTGCTAACCATTTGATTGCGTCAGGTATTGATGAATGAATAGTGGAAAATAAATGTTAAGACTTTAATTGCCGGTTTCTGGACATAGGAAAGTTTCTATAAAGGCCTTACAATGTTTCAAAAGTTTTCTTCAGGTTTTTGATCTCATCTCTTCTAAAATTCTAGTTTTCAAAAGCAAATAAACTCTAAAACAGGCTTTTGGATAAAGAAAATTTGTACAAGGATTTTAAGTAATTTTAAGTATTAATACAATAATATTATAATAACACAAAAATTTTTAGTGTCGTGAAATAAAAAGAGAAAAATAAATATTGAAAATTTAATTAAAATTTTCATGATATATGAAAGTTTGTATATAAGGGTCTACTAATATTTTTCCCAACTGGTTTTGAACCTATATGGTATATGTATAGAGGAGCATCTTAACTCCTTCTCAGACCTTTTTAGTGTCAAAATCGCTAAAGAAAACTATAATTTTTATATTGAAGCTTTTAACAAATGTTTAACAATTTCCCAATTAACTTGTGACAAATTTTGCTGTTCGATTGAAATTTCCTTAAGTCTTTTCAACACCAGGGCCATTAATCAGGCGTATAATAAGCGACAAACATTTAACATCGACCATAATAAACATATTCAAAATATATTATTTATGACAGAGACGAAGATTTTTAGCCAATGGCAAATACTAATATCACATTGATGGAACGGAAATTTGCCAAATGATTTTGCCGCAAAAAAATACACAAAAACAAAAACAATAATAGAGATGCCGGCAAAAAAAAAGAGTCTCAAAAGATCACAACAAAACTGGAGCTATCAAAGCATACATTTATCATCGAAATCTTGGTCCGGTTGGCTGGCGGTGTTGCCTTCTTTGACTTCCGACTAACCTAGACCTAGACCGTGAAGTGCCATGGGTCTGGTGAATTGTTACCAAGCTCATCCACGGGCTAGGAGCCAGTGAAAACGAAATGGCAGAGCCGTCCAAGCCGGGCCAAGCATGGCCGATCGCATTCAACCGTTAGCAGACGAAGAAGCTGAAACAGAAGCAATAGAAGCCAAGCAACGTCATCCTTGCCAACATGGCCAAAATAATCAAGCCAGTCAAAGGTCGAACCGAGCTGTACTGAACTTCAAAGAACAATTTGCTTGCCACTCAATGAGCACGGCGTTAATTTGTCACAAAACGCAAAATGGTTCTGTGCAGAGAGTCGTTCGAGCGGCACTCAATGGCCATAATTACCTGTCGTAAGATTGCCCGATGAAGGCTTTGTCGCACGTCCGATACTTTACACAATTTAATGACCCATGGCCTGTGCCAGTGCCTCATACCTTGTTGCCTTGATCACGATAGGCCTCTGCACGTACCATACAGTATACTACTCCATATCGATTATGAATCTAAGGCCATATTAACCTAAAATTAGATGCCACCTTGACACGTTTACCACACTCTAGAATCCTCTGGATGATGCTGCCCGAATGTCTAACAGCCCAAGAATTTATTTAGCATATCAACCAGCCCCAAATCAACACCTTCAGGGCCAAATGCCCGAGAACAGGTTATTCTGGCTAGCTTGTAAGCATGAATGGGGAATTACAAAAAAAATTCTGTCGCTAAAATCATCACATGGCCTAAGGTCGCCGAATGACAAGCCGGAAGTCCAGGAAATGGCTTAGCATAAGCACTCTACTTATTGTAGTTTAAGCTTTAAGGCAAAGTAAAGCACACACATTAAAAACTCGTTTTAATCACCTGTACTTTACGGCTAAGCAAATAGTTGCACTCCTTGAAGACGAAAAATAAAAGTGTGAAAATAACACTACAGGTTTCCGAGAAATTTCTTTTCCATATGTTGAGGTGGGTTTATTCTCTGTGCTCCCCCGGGGTTCCCTAACTGGATATGATTATAACTAAGCCATTAACTAGTTAATGTACTAGAAATTTCTGTGTTAATTCAAGTCGTTATAAGTAGGTAAACAAATAATAATAAGTGTGACGTTTTTAAATAATTATAGTTGTGATAGAAAAACAAAAATATTTTTTTCCGTTCCCCGTTTTTTTCCATCGATTGGGGTTTGGAAAATATTTACTGGGTTTATCAAATCGATTTAGAATTATTTAAACAAAAACAATTCACGACTTTATTTTTAAACTGAGTGGTAATCAATAAAGAATACAAATTGTATTCGAAATGTTTAGAAAAATGTTAATTCAACAGTAATGAAATTCCATGCGAAATTCCGCAAGTGCATAAATATTTAAGGAATCTCACTATAATATTTATGCACTTTAATATATAAGTTAATATTTACTTGGAAATTAACCCTTTGACGCTTATGCTTCTTCACCAAATAGTACTCAACATACAAGGCATTCGAATGTTCTTTGCCAAGCCATTTCCATTTCCATTTCCATTTTCAAACACTAACTAATTCAACCATAGCTTAGTGCATTGACCTATAAAAAAGCAAATTCACCCGCAAAACTACCAAACGGCGGCCGGCAGCAGCATCAAAGTTGAATGCCAAACGGAACATGTTCAAAAAAAAATCACCGAGTAGCTACCAAAAAAAAAACCAACTCACTGGGCCAAGCACAGATACGAAGATGCACGCATACAAATGCAGATACAGATACTGGTACAAATATAGATACTCGTACGTAGAGTTGCATGCAGTGCGGCAAACTTAACGAAACTTCCGTTGTTCTGTGTGAGCAGTCGGTTTTCGTTTAGTTTCCGAAGTCGTCGGATCGTTAGTATTTACGAATATTTCTGCTAGTACCAGTGTGTTGGTGATTTTCATTTTATTTTTTCGAATTTTTGTAGTTGTAGTTGCTAAGTATTTTGCACAAGCGACGCGATCGCTGCCGCCTGACGCTGCTGCTGCCAGTGCCACTGCTCTGCTCTGCGGCAGCGAAAAAGTTACTTTATCTTGTGATTGCTGAGAAGTTTCAGATTCAGTTGAGCATAAACATTCCTACGGTGTGGTGGTAGAATCCAAGCCAAGCCAAGTCTGCGCGTCGAACTTAAGTATTTTGAAATTGGTGCGAAACGAGTCGAAAAGTGATTTTCTGAGCGTGTGCTGAGCTTCTTCTAGTATCTAGACAGAAGCCGGATAATAAAGTGTTACACCACGCGGCTTGAGCGCAGCATGAGAAATCCTGCGGCAGGCCTCTGACAAAATCGAACAGAATCTTCAAAGAATAGGATTCAAACCAAAAGTGTTGAAACTAGAGTTTTGCAACTCTAAGATTAAAGCAGCAAAGAATCATCAAAAAACCACAAGATGGCAATGAGTTACCACTACTACAACGGCAGCTCGCGATTCGAAATGGTCGTGGAGATCGCCAATATTGCACTCGATGAGTTCAAGACCCATCACATCTCGCGCAACTACACGGGCCTGGTCCAGCGCTACTACCAATTGGTGGAAGAGGATTACGGCGGTAGGTGTCAAGTGTCTTTAATCGGTCATACTCCCTGTTTGCTTAGATCCATAAATCAGACAATCGTTAAACAATGCAACAAGTGCAGCAACACTCCAATTGTAGCCACATTATAAGTGCATAAATATGATGAATTGCCATTTTTAATGTCTCGCAAATCATAACAAAAACGTTAACATTAACGCCAACAAAGCGCGTAAAAAACGGCAAAACACAAAACCCAACAAAAAATTAAAAGAAACCGAAACGAAAACGAAAACAGAAGACACAAAGCCGAAAGCTCAGTCAAAAAACTTCTAGGACAATTAAAAAAAGGTTTTTTTTTCGTGTCTTCTATGTGTACGCGGTATTATATGGCGACCTTGGCCATGCCAATTGTATTTTTGACAATTATTAACGTAATTAAAAAGTATTTACATTTTTCAGAGGTGGATCATAATGATATTTTTTTGGGGATTTCAATATTTGAGCTGGGGTATTCCAAAAATTCAAAAAATAATTCCTCAAAATTGTATATAGAGATAGACAAAAGGTAAATACCGTTCCAGTTATAACCGTTAAAAGGTCAATAAATTTAAATTAGCTAACGAGGCATTGTAAATGGATTGAGACTGAAACAAATCTTAGGCTTAGTAAATTATTTTTAGTTGGATATCCACCAGAAGCAGACGCCTTTTGCAAACCCCTCAGCTCTGTGCCTTGGCGAGCCACTGACATGGCTTATCTTAGATATTTTTTGAAGCGACATCGAAAAGTTTACCTTTAGTTATTTTTCGTGTGCAGCTGAGCATGTATTTAATAAATACAATGACAATCAAAGCCATTCAAAGCCAAGATTGTGGATAGATTTTGCGTTTGACGCTTTGATTGCCCGAAGGGTTCATTTAAATATTCCCGGCAATGAAAACGTCAATGGAGAACGATCAATAACATCCAAATACTATTAAAAGCAAAGAAACTTGTTTCAATACTTTAATTAATAATTATAAAACTAATTAAATGTACTATTTCTTACTAAAAACAGTAAAGGAATTAATTTCAAACAAAAGACTTAGGACACAAACTTGATTATTAATTTTTAACAAAATTTCATTAAAATAATAATTAATATATATATATACAAATAAAAATTAATACAAATTAATACACGAATTACAAATAAAAAAAATAAATACAAATAAATTTACTTAAAATAAAAGTTATAAAATATTAAAGATCGTCGAACCATTGACACTCTAATAATACAGGTCAAGAATTATTATCTAAAAACGTGACGATATATTTCCACTGGCAATTTGCAATATATTTAAATCAACCAACTTTTATTAGCAATATTATGGGTTCATAAATCTTGACTGTGTTTTTAATCATTTTCCGTTGTAAACAACTATAGGGGGCAGTGGAAATGTTGATCAATATAAAATTCCAAGCTCTATTGCAATTAATTACCATAATGGTCCTGGGGGTTCCTCCACTTATTACTGAACTATGACGACAATGCCTATTTAGAAGTGGAATAATTCCTTAATAAGCTGGCATGCCAGACCTCACATATTTTTACAATTATTGCTCAGCGCAAAGGCGACTTGTTGACACTTTAAACGATTCCCGCCAGTGACAGCACTGCCGGCAAATGGTTTTAAAAATTCAGCTTCAGATAAATTGAATGGTTATCTTAACGCGAAGTGCTATAAACTAATGAAATGCAAATGTAAGCTGCTGCGACGTGTCTGGACTAACATACACAGAAACAGAAAACGAAATGAATTAAAAAGTAAATGTTGGTTATTAATTTTGTGATTTCTCTGCTTAATTGACAGATCCGCGAGCTGAACGGTACCCGCTAATGGACCATCCTATGTTCACGTTCGGTCTAGTGGCCGTTTACCTATCCTGGGTCCTGGTTCTGGGACCGCTCTTCATGCGCGACCGCAAGCCCTTCCAACTCCGACGCACCCTGGTCGTCTACAACGCCTTCCAGGTGCTGCTCAGCGGCTACATGTTTTATGAGGTGAGTCCGGACTTTGAAATTAGCCTAATGTATGCCCTCCTCTAACTCTGATCCCCGTTTTTTATTGTGCTCCAGCATCTAATGGCTGGCTGGCTGAACTACTACAATCTGAAGTGCCAACCGGTCGACTATTCTGATGGTCCCAGTTCAAAGCGGGTAAGTTGACGCAACCGGTCATTCAAATTCTAAATTTGAAGTCATAATCAAAACTCGATCGAAACTCGCTTATTCCCGAATTAAATTTCGGTGTCGTGAGGCACGCGTGGACTTAAGTCATTTTATTAGTTCCATTATATAACTAATCATTTTCTTCTTCGTTTTTTTGTTTTGGCCTCACCTTGCCGGAGTCATCTTCCGCTCTCGGCTAGCAAGTTCGTTGCCTTTATTTCTGATGATTCACTGACTCCGCCAGCCTCAAGACCAATTTAGTGTGCGCGTAAAGTTCAGCTCAAAGCCACTTGATTTTTTGCTGACCGCGCAGACACAAAATAAAAAAAAATGAAACAAAGACCTATGGTATAATGTTTTAATTATGCCTCTATGACGGCACAAAGTTCACATTCAAATGTCTGAGCCGGGCAATTAAGAGGCCAGAAACCCCCCAAAAGAAACTTCTTAATCCAAATTCTACAACTAATTGCTTTTCGGACAGCAATTTGTTACGCCTTCTTATTGATTGCATACCCTTTTCCCAGACAGAAACAAAAAACAATTAAATAAGTAATTGTGTAATGAGAGTTTAAAGCTAAATACATAATTTTATGCCAATTTGTCCGTGCACCACAAATGAGGCATTTAAATATTCGTAAAATGGTAAACCAAAGCAATTGAAAACGCGAGTAGCCCCGATGGAAAAATGCTCTTGATTTTATCTTTATGTGATTTAAAATCTAACCTCCAACACTTTAGTTAAAAAGTATAAGAACTACTCATATTTAACACCTTTGATTAGAATTTAAAACATTTATTGTATCATAGGCAGTGCATATAAATTTCATCATTCCACAATTAGAGACTGCCACTCCCCCAAGGTCTTCTAGTATTGCCTGTGTTACAATCAAATTAGCAACATTTACTGCGGTTTCAAACAGTTCAGCTTATTCCGCCGGTTGTTTGCAATTGTGATTGTACTTGTCGATGTTTGGGTCTTAAGTCAATAGAGCATAAAATCTGTAAACGCCAAGAGGCCTTTTTCCCAATTCATTCATTGATCGGTTTCACATCCGCAACCAACTCAAATAGTAACAGAAAACAAAGAAGTCAATAAACTCTGACACAAAGGCTGGACTTTAACTTTAGTGTCATTAGCATCCGTCATCCAGTTTTATTAACATTTCCATAAGTCCACGGCGCCTTTGGAGAGCCATAAAAGTCGGCATTGTTTGCATTGCTCATACGCCGCATGTGCCCCCGCGACGACATGAAGATGTGAAGACATGGACAAACACTTGCACCAGCAAATTCTTTAGCATGAAAAATGAAAACAAAATAGTCAAGTACTTGGCTTTGTACGCGAAAAGAAACAACCCGAAACGAAACTTTTGTAAACGAGACGCGGCGGAACGAAACTTTGTCAATGTCATTGCGCAAGTTCTTCTTTTCTATTCGGCGGTTTCTACGCTAATTGGGCACGTTGCTAGTAGTTCGGTGGGCGGTGGGCGAGAATTGAGCAACGACCTTGCTAGGTCAGCCGCACTAACAGCTCTTTCTTCTCACTCTAACCACGCACTTTCACTTTTTTCCTCTATTTTTTTTCTAGATGCTCAACCTGTGCTATCTGTACTACCTCTCGAAGCTGACCGAGTTCGCTGATACCGTGTTCTTTGTGCTGCGCAAGAAGTCTTCGCAGATCACCTGGCTGCATGTGTATCACCACTCGGTGACCCCGCTGGAGACATGGGTGCTGGTCAAGTTCCTGGCAGGTATGTTTCTACACAATTTGCAGGGTGATAGTATCCTAAACTTTACTATTGTTCTCAGGTGGAAATGCCACATTCCCCAATCTGCTCAACAACTTCGTGCACGTGTGCATGTACTTCTATTACATGATGGCCGCCATGGGACCCGAATACGCCAAGTTCCTGTGGTGGAAGAAATATATGACTGAGCTCCAGATCGTAAGTACCGTCTCATTAAAATTGAATCAGTTCCAGCACAGATACCAGCCAACTAAAAATTAAATGAAACTTGTTTTAGAATTCGGCATGTGTGAAATGTTATTTATTCGGACTTAGATCGAACTTAGTCGCTGTTGGCAATTGCTAGATTTTTTTCGGCTTTCGGCTGGAATGGCCAAGACGCCGCCAAAAATGCAAACCAGTTAGACCGGCAGTCCGAGCCGTGCCTCAGAGTCAGCCTCTGCCACATAAATTGGCATTATTCATTCGGCCCAAAGGCACTTGAACACACACAACTAGTAGAGACCAGCTGCTATGTGTTTGTGTGTTTTATTGCCAAAATAAAATGTTGGCTAATGCTTCTAACTGTGTCTTGCATTTGCTAAAACGCCGAAATGCCACTCTGAAACCCCTAAGACACTAAGATTCGGCCTCCGCCGCTTGTTTGTCTTGGCGCTAAGACTTTGGCAAACTTCTGGCCCAAACTTTTCGAGCCAAAGGCCAAATCTCTCGACCATCAATGATGCATTCTGAGAAATTGCACAAGACCTATCTATATCCGAGAACCACACTTTTTGTCACCGAAATTAATACCAATTCAGAGATGATGTGATCAGACCACTTCCAATTTGATCTCGACGTGTTTCTGGTTATTCCCATTCTGTTTTTTGTTACCAATATTGTCTAGGCTACCGTAGGGGATTGGCTCGGCTCCACTTGATCGGTTCTCATGGACCAGTCTTTGCTTTTTGTTTACGTTGATACGCATAATTGAAAGTCCCCAAGCATACTTGAACAACGCTGCCTGGGGCTAGTATAGTATTTATGTATGTAAGTTTCATTGCATTTTAGCTCGCATGTATAGATACTTTTCGTTTCTGTATCTCTATCTCATTTTCCAAGTTTCGAAATTCTTGAAACGCATGGAAATATGGCAAGTTTAGTTTGTTCTGCCGAAGCTGGCCTCCTTCGAATCGCGATTCATTGCTGTTGTAGCAGTTGTTGTCACATTCGCTGCTTGTTGTGAACCGCCTTGAGCATTCGCTGCTCCACAGTTGAGTTGTCAAACGATCGGTGACTAAGTTAAGTAGCAAGCACAGGCTTATATAGAAATTATTGTACAGGAGGAATAGGCAGTGGGAATAGGCAGTGGGTAAGTAAGTTGGTCAATAAAAATCCAAGACATAAATTCAACAGAATATGTAATACCTTTTTCTTTGAAACCTAGAATACTCACACGAGGAATTGAGTTAATACCTAACTAAAAAGGAGGAACTAATTGTGTAAATACACCTGTGATGGCCCACAAACATATCCAATTTATTGATATTTTTACTATTCGAAAACCGGTCACTGAACCCGCCCCCTTCGTGAGCTTACAATCTCCGCTAAGGAGTGCTCACTGTGCTCATTTTATGCGTCTATGATATTTTGCATACATCTAGCCATTTTAGCGCTTATTTCGCTCATTGTTGTTGTGTCTTCTAGTTTTATTGTTGCTGCTGTTATTGAGCATTTTTCTTGTTATTTTCCAATTGGTTGTCGCTGAATTCTATGCGATTACCGCCGTGCTGCGCTGCACTGACATTTTTAATGAGTAGGCGAGCGCATCTTACAGATAATTTATCTGTCATGCCCACCACGGCAACTGTTTACCTTTATTGCTCTAGGCAGTGCTTAGGCTAACGTACGTTGTATGAACGTTGTGTTGTTTTGCTTTCAAAAGCGGTAGCAATTGCGCGGGCAACCAGTCGGATTCTTTCAGTTCCTGTCCGGCAATTAGCCACAAAGAAATAAAAGCACATAGCCACACATCGCATGCTCCAAATTATGGCTAATAGCCAAGCCCAAGTTGAAGTTGAGTTCCGATTTTCTGCTGATTGCTGTTAGCAACATTTACGGCGTGCTAGACGCGATTTATTGCAACATCCTCGGCGAACAACCGAGGTAGGCCAATTCCAATCCCACCAGTGCCAAAATGTTTCCACATTTGGTGCACCGCCGATCCGACCAGTTTCGATTACATTATCATTTCGTGTTCGTTCCGTTTTGCGGCAATGAATGTCGGGCTACCAGAAGCACGGCTCCGTGCTCCGAGCAGCGCGTTCACTTTTATCCAGCACCGCGACGAACTTGCCACACCAACTGGGTGAGTGTCTATGTCGGCTATTGCGATGTCGGCCATACACACAGCCGTAAATGCAACACAGCACTTGGCTATAGCTTTGCGGCTGCCGATGGCGACCACTGGGCAGACTACTCATGCAATTTGGCACGGCGTGTCTGGGTAAAAGTCAACAAGTGATCTGCCACTATCAATTGCTAGCCAGTGGCCGGTACTCGTTCATGTTGGCATCCAGTTTTACGTTTGGTGTCCAGTTCAGTCATGTTGCAAGTGCACCAAGCCTGGTATTTACCGGTAAACGCACACAACATTCAATGCTCTATGGCAGGATTGCGCAATCGATTGAAAATAATTAAGGGGGAACAGTGGAACGAATCGGCTAGATAATTCTAATTTAATTGGTAACAATTAATAGTGGTTATCTCTGAATTAAAAGGGCAATATGATCAGCAAAGGGTGACTAAGACCTTGCTGAAAAGTAGGCCACAACTAGTTAGAAAGGAGGCTAGTCTATTACATACAGCAATCTCTAATTGCAATCAGATAAAATAAATATATTTATTTGGGTCAAATGTTTTGACCAGCCCAACAAGATTGAGCTTAAGATAGACCTTATGGCTAAACTCTATCAGACGAGCAACCACCAACGTGAAGAACTTTCAATAAACCTGCATAAGAAATCCAACAGAAACCACACAAAGCGCCGAGGTCAAAATGCTTAGGAAAACGTGCAAAAATAATTTGGCACTTAATTATGCTCAATTTATTAAGGAGGCTACTGCGGTTACTGGAGGTCTTTTAAAGTATTTCCATCAAAGAATTGCAATTTTTGAAAAATTCCAAAAGTAAATCCATTTTTGTTAGAAGATTGGCCCATTTCCATCAATCAATTTAAGCCCACTGTATCCATGTTTCGACCAATGAAGCATTTAAGCGTCGACGTTGGCTTTCAACGGCCAGCAGACGCAAACTTGGCCACTGGCTGTTGCAGCTACCAACTTGGCCAACTTCGTTGCCACCGCGGTGCACCACTGGCTGAGTGACTTTGCCGCTGCTCCGCTGGTAATGGAAACCTGCATCGCTTGGCTGACCAGCGTAATAATTTGTAGGTCACCAAAATATCCAAAACACAGAAACACGAAAGCCAAGCAGGTTTTCCGCTACTCCTCGATACAGGTGGGAGTGGATGCAATCGAATCATATATCCGAGTACTGATCGATCAACATTAATAGAAGGCGTTGAATATGGGTTTTAAAACACGCGCCTTGGGGTCGCCAAAGGCCATTGGAAGCGGCTATCGCGAGCTATCGGGCCCAAAGCCAACATGTTAGACCTGGCTAAGAAAAACATACACTAACAGCATCGGCAGTTAATAGTCACTGCAACTAATTCTAATCAAGTACTCAATTGCTCGCCCCTTGAGTGCTTTTTGATTACCGGGCCCAGCTCAAGGGTGCTTCACATTGCCGTTGACTCGTATTCAAACGTACAGAGTCAAACAGCCGTTTTATTGGCCACATTCAGGAGCTGTAATGTGGGCTTTGAAAAAAATTATGACTCGGCAGTATGGCTAATTGGATGACGTTACAACTTCCGTAACGAGACCAGCTCTGCCCTTCGACTGACCAGAAAGAGGTGGGTCAAGTTTAGTTGACTGGCGTGGTGACCTGGCCAGAAGGGGGTGTGTCTTTTTATTGGGAGCTTTCCCAGTATTCAGGCGTAACAAGATTATTTGTGATGTGATTCCCACAACGCCCAAAATAAATTTATGTAATTAACTATGAAAACACTGCTTTCTAGATGCATTATATCAGACTTCTTCTAATGAATGTTCTTTATTTTTACCTATTTTAGGCCCAGTTTGTGCTATGCATTGTCCACACCACCCGCGCCCTCTTCAGCAACCAGTGCCAGTTCTCGAAATTCATCTCCGCCCTGCTCCTGCTGAATGCGTCCATTTTCTTCTGCCTCTTCATGAACTTCTACATGCAGAGCTACAGGAAGTCCAAGGCTCAGCAGCAGCAGCAGCAACAGAAGCAGCTGGCGGCCACGCCTCTCAAGGCGGACAGCAACAACAACAGCACGATGGTACTGCCGGCCCAGAAACTGAAAGCTAACTAAGAATATATAGAACCGAATGGGAGATGGACAATAAGTGCTTCCATGCTCGAGGGGAAACAAAAATTTCTTGTAAACTGAACAGATTGGTGTTGGCAACAGAGAAAACGTAAAAGGAACAAGCGTTGGAAGTAGTTTTGGTACAAAGGTTTCAACTTATGCTAAGCTAAGCTTAAGAGCCATAAACGCAAGCACACACACACACAAAGAAACACATAAAAACACTCGAGCACACATACACGCGTACACAGACACGGACGCAGAGGAAGTCCACATGCTGATCGATCGAACGTGGATGGACCATGGGGCGTATGCGCAATATGATTATTTACCAGCCCCACATGGTAGCTTTGCTTGATTGCTTCGCCTGTATCTGTATCTGAATCTGTATTCTGTACTGTATGGTGTATGTAACTGTACAACGAAACTGGGTCAATTTTCAAGATCTGCCTAAAGTGTAAGTCGCCTAATTCTAGAACCTCACGAAAGAAGCGCGATTAGTCGTAATTGAGCGGGAGCACAGCTCCCCATTAGACGTAGGCGATAATTGTAGTTGTGTATAGACGATTTGTAAATAGCCTGTTAAATGTTAATGTTAAATATTTGTAGTCTTAAGCTAACTAGTCTAACTTACAACATTCGCACAAGCAAATATGGACAAACACTATATTAAAAGCGAAGACAAATAAAAGTGAAGAAAAGATAAATTTCAAAAACCAACCAAGTGGGTTTTGTTTGTTCTTACTCCCCAAAAACTGGTCATCAAACAATACAATTGACGGGGTCATTGGGCCGGAAGAGCTTTTAAAATATCAAGAATTTAAAATAGAACTGTATAGTATCAGTTTTTTTTAATAAAGAATCATGCTTAAGAATCACATGATTATGCGATCTTTCAAGTATTTGATAGGGATCAGAGATGAAGAGAATTATATGGAGAACCATTTAATGAATTCAGTATTAGAATCAGATTTGTAAAGCTAAAGATAATGCGTTGCCGAGGAAATTATTCTCATTGCCAAAAATACTAAAAGATTTATAAATTTATTTTTTTTCTTTATTTTTTATCGTACTTTATATTCAGCACAAGTTTTGGTTTTAAAAAATATATGCCTTTCTACCACACTTAAACAGCTCTTCAAAAAAATTATAAAAAATAAATACATTTTGTTTGATTTGAAAGAAGACTGTTAGAAACTGAATTAATATATAATTTAAATATTTTCCCTCAAACCTTACTTTTGTAAGGAAAAATATTAAGTGTTTGATGTCTGTTTTTTTAAATAAGTTTTTGTTTAAAATGTAGAATTTTAGACTCTTAAATAATTAGCAACAATTTATTTCCAAATAAGCATGCTTTTATTTAGTTGTCGAAAAAAACTTCTTAAAATCAGCAGAATTTCTTGGACTTATTTTTTTTGAAGCCATTTTTAGTACATGCATTAATTTCTTAATGTACTAAAAAGTGTTGGTCAAAACAGAGTTGCAAAGCGCCTCAGAACCACTGAAAGGTAAGGCGAACTGTGATTGGCACGCGAAGAAGAAGAAGTTGGGCTTATCAAACAAAAAGAATTTGTATTAATTTTTTTACGACAAAGTACGATCAAACTAGAGTCCCCAGACAACATGGAGCAAATGGACGTGGATGTGGATTTGTCGGCCAAGCCGAGTACCTCGTCGGCAGCGAATTCCGGCTCCAGCGGCCAAGCACAGGACCCGGCTCTGAATCCAACAGCGGCGCAGCCCAAAGAAGGAAACGTCATGGCTGCAACTGGAACCAGTGCTTCGGTGACCATATCGTTGCACCCGCTGGTCATAATGAATATATCAGAACACTGGACCAGATTCCGAGCGCAGCACGGCGAACCGAGACAGGTATATGGGGCTCTTATTGGAAAGCAAAAGGGTCGAAACATCGAGATCATGAACTCCTTCGAACTCAAAACGGATGTCATAGGCGATGAGACAGTTATTAATAAGGATTACTACAACAAAAAAGAGCAGCAGTACAAGCAGGTGGGTGCAATATTTTATTTGTTGGAATCTTTTCAATTCCCATACCCTTTGTCTCGCAGGTTTTCAGTGATCTGGACTTCATTGGTTGGTACACAACTGGAGAGAGTCCCACGGCTGCGGATATAAAGATTCAAAAACAAATCGCCGCCATCAATGAGTGTCCCATCATGCTTCAGCTGAATCCATTGTCCCGCAGCGTAGACCAGTTGCCCCTGAAGCTCTTTGAATCATTGATAGACTTGGTGGACGGCGAGGCAACTATGCTGTTCGTGCCTCTTACCTACACTCTTGCCACTGAAGAAGCGGAACGCATTGGAGTGGACCACGTGGCTCGGATGACATCCAATGAGTCGGGAGAGAAGAGCGTGGTGGCGGAACATCTAGTGGCCCAAGACAGTGCCATAAAAATGCTAAATACTCGCATCAAAATCGTGCTGCAGTACATCCGAGATGTGGAGGCAGGCAAGCTGCGACCCAACCAAGAGATTTTGAGAGAAGCATATGCCCTGTGCCACCGTCTGCCTGTAATGCAGGTGCCCGCCTTCCAGGAGGAGTTTTACACGCAGTGCAACGACGTGGGCTTGATCAGTTACCTAGGAACACTCACCAAGGGATGCAACGATATGCACCACTTTGTCAACAAATTCAACATGCTATACGATCGTCAGGGTTCGGCGCGACGCATGCGCGGTTTATATTACTGATTCGATTATTAAGATCCCTTACATTAAAGCCTCTGAGTATGTACGATGGGTGAATGCGGTTTTATTATACGTATACGGGTGGCATCAAGCGATATCACTTTCTTCTGGCACCGAGCTTTTAGCTCCCAGCTTCCTAAATTCAATTCAGATGCACATACATTTCCTAGACAATTAAATTTGAGTTACAGCAGGATTAGTGATTAGTGATTGTAGTCGTCCAACTTGATGCTGGCGGCATACTGCTGCAGGAACTCCACTTCCAGTGGGTGCATCTCCTTGGCGGGAATGATGAGAGAATGGAGCGGACCTCCCATGTCGGTGGATCGCATCTCGAGTAGCGTACCCACAGCAATCTGCTGTGACTCTTGGCCCACACGAGCCAATCCCACGCATAGTGACTGCTCGTTCAGCACGGTGTTTCGTTCCAAAGCGTCCTTTTTCTCGACGATGGCCAAAAGCTGGTGGGCCGCCTCCGCCACAGACATAAATCGCGGTGGCATGTACTCTTTGCGTTTTCGCATCAGGGACTCTGGCGTGGGCTCCTTCACTTTGATGTCCAGCAGGCACAGAGTGTGCATGTTGTGCAGGCGGTTTAGTTTGATCTTGTCATAAAAGCTATCGGGCTTCCAGGTCTCGTCCCAGTAGGGAATCGACACTGTCTCGCCGAATTTGTACAATTGAAGGCCGCAGCAGCCGACGGCATTCATAATGGATGCATTGTGGATAACCTTGTAAGGAATATTCTTCTCCTTGGCTCGCAGTATGAAATCTGTGTGCGTAGTGGCGCCAAAGGGATCCCCAACAACTAAGAGAGCCACATCGGATTCTCCTGCTCCAGCCAGGATTTCGTCTGCGCCTTGCTCCACCAGATCACGGTCAGCCAACAGCAATGGTCGACCATAGAACTCTTGCTGCGGGTGCAATAATAATAATAATAAGTAATCTTTGGCAGGTAATGGGGATTAAAAAATGCTATTTAACCTGTTGTTATACCGATTCCAAAAACATTTGTAAATAACAGGTGTATAATCAAAAGACACCTTCATATGATGGCATACATTAGGGTAACTTTCCAAGGTTAAAAAGCATTTTCGTACCTCGGTAAAATTATAGACACTCAACCCACCATGTCCTCAAGGCTACAGCCCAGAATGGAGGTGTACATCTCCAAATAGACGCGACTGCATTGCTTTACTATCTCCAGGCCCTTGACGGTGATGTCCTTGAGGTCGCCAAGGCCGAGTCCGATTAGGTAGAACATCTTGCAACTGCGAAAAGTCCACCCACTGCACTCCTGCCGAAAATTCTTTATGTTTTTTTAAATGCAACACGTGCCGAGCGTTCTGTGTGACCGCGGGCAGAGCGCCAAAAAATGGCGATTGCCTCAGGAAGTTCAGGGGTCTGGTCACACTTCAATGTTTCTGTAATTTTTTAAATTTCTGAATAAAATATTAGATTAGAACAGAAATATTAGAACACCACTTGTTTAATTTTTTACTTATTTATTTTGCTACTAACACTTGCAACTTAAACATGGAATTATATTTAAAACTAAAAACATTCGTATGGGATTTGGAATTCATGACCAACATAAAACATTCAACTTAAAATTATAAAAGTGTAACGTTAAACAACATAATATATCTAACCAACGTAGATAATTTGGTTTTCTCAGTTTCTTTCTTCGGAAATCTTAAAGTTGGTTATTTGAGGACTGAAAAAGATTCATGAAAATTATATTTTTTTATAAAACGTTAACGAAACTTACTTTGTTGAAGCACCGCGGATAACGCAATAAGCAAGAAAGCGCTCGATCTAGAATAAGAAAAGTATGAAACTTCAACAAATGTCTGGATCTCCACAAGACTAACCATCATTTCGAAGGCTCCATAGATGGACGAATGATCAAATGACTTTCGAACTTGCAAAAAGTATTTGTGTATCTCAGCACCCAGATTAGCCTTCCAATCAGGACACTCATCTCGCGTCCGACGGCAATTAATGATCAGACTGAACGTTCGGATAACCATGAACATATCCGCGTGGCGCCCACTCTCCGCCAACTGCTTCCAATTGACTGTCTTCGCCATTTCGAAAGCCTTTTGTGCCTGTTAGAAACATAGGTGAAATCTTAGCTCCAAGACTTCCATCGGGGGGTACTTACATTTCCGGTAACCACGGCGTTAACAGGTTTACCCGTATACTTCTCCATAATAATTAAAAGAAGTGCCACAGAAATATCGTTACCCACTCTAGATGACTTTACTAGGGCGGGAATGGCCGTGTGTATGTCCAAGACTTTTTCCAGGCGCTCTTCACCGAGTCCATCAACAAACTTCTCATACAAGCCAAGTGCAATGAAATAAATCTGGAATTGTTAGAGGAATACCAACAATGTTTATGTCAGATGCCCAGAAACTGCGTATACCTCTTCTGAGTCCAAGGATTCTGCCCGATAACACACTGTGTCTACAAGTATAAAACGCTCTTCCATGAGCAGCAAGTTGTCTTTTTGGTAATTCATCATCATAATGGATAACGTGAATAGATCCAGAGCCTGAACCAGCTTTAGAGTACTTTTCTTAGACACAACCTTCACAAAACGATGTAGTAACTAAAAAACTTTAGAAGTTAAACAACAAATTCATTCAAATAATGTACAATGGTAGCCACTTCTCTAGCATCCGAAGTTTCCTGCACAAACGGAAACCAATCTTTGATCGAAGAATTCGACAGCATTGTTTTGATGTGCTGATAGGTGTAGCCAAGTCGGGGCTCTTCGTCCTCCACAGCAGAAGTGTCAAGCGAATATGCGGTTGTATCCATTTTATAAATTTAAAATAGATGCGCAAAACAAAAACAATCTAAACTAAACTAAAAGTGGCCAGGTCGTTCTTGAGAAATACTAAAATAATGGAAAAATACCATGAATTTAATGCAACTGTCACGATCTCACTTCACAACACTGGATTTGATTTGTGCTCCACGTGCGGGTTTTGTAAATTTTATACCTCTGTTATTTTTACTATTTTAACGTAAATAAAACCATTTAAGTATGCCGCCTGTAAAGAAACCGAAGGCGCAAAAGATCGAAAAGGTCGCCACGCCTATAAAGAAGGCAGAGCCAACGAAAGATGTTGTTTCAGGCCAGGTAAGGTAGCAAAGTTTGTGATCCCCGGCGGATAACTGTAGCATGCATCCATTTTAGCTGAAGAAGAAGCTGAAGCCCCAAGCCAAGCAGGGCCCGGATCGCGGAGTGGTGCTTGTGCAGCGCCTGCCTCATGGATTCTTCGAGCAGCAGCTGCGACAGTACTTCAGCCAGTTCGGCCGAGTGCTTCGGGTACGCCTGGGCCGCTCCGAGCGCACGGGTAACAGCAGGGGCTTTGCCTTTGTTGAGTTCGAGTACCCAGAGGTGGCCCAGGTGGCCGCCGAAACCATGGACAACTATCTTATGTTCCAGAAGGTGGTGAAGGCCAAGTACATTCCACCGGAAAAGCAGACTGTAAACTATTTTAGGACTTCAGTTAAGAAGGTGATAAACAAGGTAAGTCATTGAATGAAACGAATTAGGGGCCTTCATTGTATGGTATCCAAAGTAATTGAAAGTAAATTAATAACAATTAAAATCCTTACAGGCTGGAAAGCAAATTTTTGTGTCAAATCTGATCCAAGCTCGTCAGCGCAGTGTAACAAAGCAAAACGATTGGAATGAAGCCGCTTGCCAAAAACGCACTCTGTCCAATCTTAACAAGATCAAGAAAGTGCAAGAAAAATATAAGCATTTGGGCATTGACTTTTCCAATTTGGTGGTAGAGCCGATTAAAAAATCAAAGGCAGCGGCAGAGGCCTCAACTAGTAAGGATACGGCCAAGTCTGACAAAAAAAAGAAGGAACCAAAACTAGAGGACTTGCTGGGAAATACCATCACCGAAGACTCCGACGACGAGGACTACGTGGATGCGTCCGACGATGAGTCGGAAGTGGATCTTGAAGATGACAGTGAGGAGGAGGAGGATATCCCATCCCCACCCAAGAAGACTTCAAAGAAGCTGCAGCCACTCGCTGACAAGTTGAAACGCAAGCCCGGTACTGGCGGCGTCCAGAAGAAAAAGGCCGCTCCAACCGTTAAGGCACCTAAGAATGATGCCACGCAGAAGCTGCAGCTGGCCGCAGCCAAAAAGCTGGCTAAACCCCTGCCCAAGAAAGCAAAGAAGTCCAAGAAGTAGTGTAAATTGTATCTATATCCTAGTTAAGTAAGAAAACATTTGTAAGAACAGTTGTGTTTAAAAAATGTCCTTGTACAAACTAAAATGGCGTCTTGGTCTCTTCCTCCAGTTTGATGCGCTTGCACTTCATGCGGCGGTTCTGGAACCACACCTTAACCTGGCGCTCCGTTAAATTCAAAGCAACCGCAATCTCGTAGCGCCTCAAGCGGGTCAAGTAGTTGGAGTAACAGAACTCTGCCTCCAGATCCTTCAGCTGTGATTTCGTAAAGGCCGTACGTTCTTTTCGATTCGTCGTGGTGGTTCTGGGCTTTGGCTCCTGGCTTGAACAGTTTATATCCGGTTGCAGCCATTGTTCTCTGGTCTCGTTGGGCCAACTGCCATCAAAATTCGAGTAATTAGGGTAAACCGGAGCAGAATTTTGGTTAAACTCGTAGCTGCAGTCGGTGTATCCTTCGGATTGGTTGAGCCAGGCTTTGGTTATATCCATGTAGTATCCCGAGTCGGAGATCGCGTTTTCTTCAATGTTCTTCATTCCGGTTCTTTCGCCTCTGGAGCTAAACTAAAACTGAGAGCTCCAGGTCCAGGGGAGCGGCTTATTAAGACGCGGTTGCTCGCCCAGTTCACATGGCTCAATCTGCTTTTTCACTTAGCTGCCAATGATGTGCTGTTGATATGATAATTGTGCGCAACATCTGGACACACAAGACCTCAAATCGTCGCGTGCCCCGCTGCTAAATGAGCGGTTATGACACCCATAGTTCGGTTTGTTGTTTTAGTCTCCGATCTGAAGTCAAAACAAACTGGAATCCGATCCCCCGTCGTCCGGTCCGAAACGGAAGTAGATGCGGGACGGTCGTGCCATCCCTACCCTTGCCATTCTTGGGTACTCTCAACATGAGTCAAGTGCTTTGTGTGGCCCTCTATAAAATTCGAATGAGCGGCCATCGGCAGGTCGTAAAAATGGTCGGAGATTTATCTCAAAGTTGCAATTGCACGCGCTTTTAAACTGAAGCGGCCTATTACGATGGGCCACTGAGCGTATATCCCAGATTTTCAATTGGATTTTGATATTGTAATTGATGGTAAAAACACATAGGACAGAAAAGTTTAAAGGGGTTAGAGGAAGAATTAAAAAGGGCTTACTTTTTTTTTTAAATTAAAATTCAATGATTTGAGTAATTTAGATTTCTTTTTAACTCTTTCTATTTTATTATACATAAATAATACATTATTAATATATAATTTAAATGAAAATAGCATATTGACCATTGAGGGCAGGAATTAATTTTTTTTTCTAAACAACTTTTATTAGGGCCTTCTTTACTTTATAACTAAAAGAGTTCCCGAAACTCCAATTTATGTCAGAAAAATTATGTTACCTACCTTTTTGTAGTTTTTAAGGCAACATTCCTAAATTGTGGTGCCTTTTAAAGGTCCTGTGGCCTTATTTACCAAGTGGAAATAATTAAATTTAAATTACGCGGTCTTGTCGAACTGCCAACCTTTTCTCAAGTTCCATGGTATTTTTCATTCCATCCTCTTTAATAATTGTAAAACTTTTTGTTGTGGGAAAACTAAAAGTTTTTTCATTAGCAGTAAGAACATTTTTTATGTAGCTTTTTTTAATGTAGGATAATCAAATAATTTTTTTCAATATATTGTTTAAAATATGTATCCGAACCGGGAGTGGTATAAACCGGTAATTTTTAGTGATACCGTAACTAAAAAATCCCTACATTTTTTTTTGGATTTTTGGTATTTTTAACAACTAAACGCCTACTGAGATATTACAACGCTTTACTACACTACCCAACACTCACCGCGGTCGGACCGATTTTGCCGATGTTTACATCGACGTTTCTCACCTCTACTAGTTCGGCGACGAAAAAGTAATTAATCAACGTGAATTGTGGCAATATAGCTGAGTGGACGCTATGTCGGCGGTAGCTGGGTCCCACGCCCCCGCGAGAACGTGTGGTTGATTCCTCCCTTCAGGCGCGGCGGCGAAAAGTCGGACAAACACCAAACGGCAATCGAGAAGCGAGAAGAAAGAAGAAACAAATTAAACAAGTTTGCGTGGATGTGGCTCCGAAAATTGCGTGAAAAGAAAGCTGCAGCCACGCTAAAGTGCAGTGCAATAAATAGTTTTTAAATGGTTCAAGAAATTCGTCTGCGAGTCTAGGAGTTTAAGGCTGCAAGAGCGCTTCGCCTGAAAGTGGGAGTGTTTGTTGTGCGCGAGTGTGTGTGTGCTTGTGTTTGTGCCAGTGCCTGTGTGTGAGTGTGACTGCGAAGAAGAAGAAGCAGCAGCCGACCAAAACGGAATTAAATTCAAACGGCGAAAAGCGAGGAATTAAATACTATCACCACTACCACCAGAGAGGAGCTATAACCACAAGAGGAGGAGCATCAGGATCGGGGAACTCCGGTGGCAGCGCAATGACCGAAGAACTGAAAGTGGTGCTGCGACGCAGCGAGCAGCATTCCGGTTTTGGGTTTTCGCTGCTCGGCACCACTGGGCCGCCACATGTAATCTACGACATTGTCGAAAATTCGCCGGCAGCCGATTGTGGAGCGGTAAGTGGAACATCCCATCGCCCTGCCACCTCCCACAGCCACCCCGCCCTTTGTTTCCATTTTTGCGTGTGTCATTCCCGTCTGGGACAGAGTCTCCCTCCTCCTCCCCCTCCCCCTCCTTGGGCTATGGCTTTATCAACCACCGGGCAACTCCCTGCTGGCCTCCCTTCCTTCTTTCTTTCTTTTTTTGGCACTGCAACCTTTTCCCGTACACCGACAAAAAAGATCAGGAGTGCCACCGAAATCCCAAGAGATGATGACGTCAATGGGTCCCCTCAAGGCCGGCTTGTTTTTAGTTGCCTGTGGGTATCATTTGTCTTAATTGCTGTCGAGAAACATCACTAATTTTATTTTGTTTCAAATATTTAAGCAAAGACTTGTGGTGTGTCCTCTCGGCCCGGTCGTCGATCCTTGTGGCCAGATAAGACCTGCCACATTTTCCACTTTTTTATGGTGATGGCCATGGAGTGTCGGGTGTCTGGCGCGCATGTGAAAGCATTTCAATTTGCACAGCCACGAAAAAAGAAATGAGAGCGCTCCTTCGGCGTGTCATCATTGTTGCCCGCCGCCCGTGATGTCATCGTCACGTTAATTGATGGGTGGTTGTAGGGAGGGAGCTGGTTGTAGGGGCAGCGGTGTGCCGACACAAAAGGCACTCTGTATCAATTTTCTGGCTTGTTTTGCTTTCATTTACTATTTACTGTCATCGCATATCGAGTGTTTAGAGCAGCCGGAGTACAAAGAACAAGGCAAGGCAAATATTTCCCCAGAAATGCCAATATATTTGTTTAGCTTTTAATTGTGGGGAGATCCAGTGGGAGTTACAGTGTACTGAGTTACTCCGCATTCTTTCAGAAATTCCTCTGCAGTAACCGGAATCTGTACTGTCAGAGCTTTATCTTATCAGAGGACCCGAATCTCGTTGAATTAGTCAACATTTAATTAGAACCGCCCCCATAAAGGCGGGGGAATTCTAGGAAAACTCTACGCCGTCCACACCCAACGGATATTAGACTTACGTGGGGCACATTTCAATTATGATTATGACTCGTGAGTGCAACTCTAATTCGAGAGAAATGCAAAACAAAGTTAACGAATCGACAAAATGCAAATGCAGCGCTATAAAAAGCCAGCCAAAGACAATTTTAAAAATAAACCTACCCACACAGCTGCAGATACACTGCAACAGGCACACACACACACATGCAGACTGAGAGTTAATAATTATCGGACGTGGCAACAATCAGCAGCGATTACACGAAACAAAACAAAATTCTCCGGCGGTTTTGGTTTTGAAATTTATGCACACGACCGATCCATCGATCGATCGACCGGCCACCAAAACATTGGAAAACACTGATCCCCCCCACCCCCTCCTGGACAGAGCAAACAAAAAACTGAAATGCGTGAAAGCAGAGTGCAAAAAACGCGTTTGGAATTTTAAATTGGTTAAATTATTAAGTAATTCCGTGGCAGGGGCAGGTATGACAAAAAACAAAAAACCCGACAACCAGTTGAGGGCCATTGTCTTCAGGCAAACGAACTGCATCACCCGAGATCTGTCTGTGTATCTGTGTATCTACAAGATGCAGCCAACCTACAAATACAACGGAGCGGCGGCACGCACTTTTTCAATTTCTTATCGCTTTCGCTTACAACTTGTTGTTTTTTTGTGTCCCGGCTGGTTGTTTGTGGTTGTTGTTGTTGTTTGTCTTCTATCTGTCGTTGGTTGTTGTTTTAATCGCTGGAGAGTGGAAGTGTGGCTTTTTATAGAAAATAAAAGTAAATAATGAACCTAGACCCCAGTTTAAATCATTCTTTTGGAAGTCTGTATTTACTTTTTGAAATTTAATAATAAAGATATAAAATTAAAGATAAATTTAGACATTAAACCCAGTCTTGAACTTTATTTTGAATCATTTTTTCCTAAAAAACAACCTCTAGTATGTATTTATTTTTTTTTAATTTAATAAAAAGAGTCATTGCCTCTGAGAACCTCGCAGATACACTCGCCGGGAAGTACCACATCTGACCCTTAATAGAATTTATTTTTACTTTTTATTTTCCTTCATCCCAGTTGTCGTAGAATTGTATTTTTCAATGAATGCACAATCGTGCATACACACTTACCATGGGTGTGTACAAGTGATGTATGCTTGTATGTACATACATACATACATACGTACATGTGTTTGTTCACGCTGTCATCGGTTGTCGCCTTCTCCTTCGCCTCCGACTTCTCGGCTCTTCTCTCTTCCTTTCCGTCTGCTGCAGTTTGTCTCTGTCTGTTTGTTGTTGCTTCCCCCTGCATTTGTTTGGCGTTTGTTTATTTTCCTTCCATGTATGTACTTCCAACTTGATACTCGGATGACGACAAAAGCCCCCTCTCTGAAAGTAATCTGCGAGCGGAAAATTGTCTATTAATTGCACAAGATTAACTACCGCCTCTTGAATATGAGTTCTTTTTTTAATTTTTGGTTTAAGATTCTCAATTTAAATTATTAGTATTTTTCTCAAGATTAGGTAGAATATTTAAGGAGATCTGCTAGTCTAGGGGCATGAGCATAGGGTTTCAAGCAATTTTAAAAATTATCTGTTGAAAGTTTCACTAACAATTTTGGTAATTTACTTATATAGAATCTATATTATAGATATATTTAAGGAAAGATATTATTTTTTTATTATTTATCAATATATATGTAAATATTTTATTACATTAGGGTATGGATTAAAAGAAATATATATTTTTAATCGTGAAACGCACTTTAAAAGTGGAGAGGGGACTTAAACCTCCTGGTGTAATCTGAAAATCGAAAAGGATGATCTTTTAAGGAATGTCGGCTATGGAAAAATGCAATAAAACAGATAATAATATAAGTTTTTCCATTAAATAGCTAAATTTTTAAAACCAAAATTCTATTACCTATTAATTGAGATAAACTGGGAACCGAAGGCCTTAGTTGCTATGGCTCTTAGCCCTAAGTTAGCTCTTAGTTTAGAACTATTTTTTAGATTTAGATAAATAAATAAATCCAAAATTCAAATATTGTAAAGGTCTTTTTAGGGAGATATTTTTGAAGAAATACAGTGGCTGAGAAAAGCCTGCCTACTACATATGTATATTGCACTTACCTGGCAAAAACAATGAGGCAAAAACCAAATATGGAATATTTATATTTATGGAAAAAAATTACTTTAAACTTATCCTCATATAATTATAACAAAAATTTGTTTTGGCAAAAGTATAAATAGTTTTTTGACTCTATTTTTGTATTTCCATAGAATTTTAATTTGCACTTGGAATTTCCACTGTAAGCTATAGCTTTACGATGGCTTTTTTTTAATTTCTAGAAAAACTAAAAAAAAAAATAGAAAACTCCCTCAAGAGCCCCATAATAACTCTATACCTACTGGGGTTAAGGATATTGTTATGAAATTTTGAACAACATTTATGTACCAGCCAATGTTGGGGAGTTTTTAGTTAGAGGTAGAGTATAACCAGAGTTAGTAGTTTTTTTGTGCCAAAAATCGTTTTCTACTTTAAAGTGTTTTTATACTTCTTAAATTTTTAATTTCTACAAAACCTCCTATAGCTTTTTCTTTGAAAATGAATTAAATGCAATTCTTCGTTACTTCAATTCTTTTCACTGAAAAGTTTTCAGCATTGCAGAGCATTGCATTGTACATGTTCATATTGTGAACAATATTCTTTAAAAATTATACCATATAGATTGTAGTATGTAGTTATATCAAGAAACATAATCAGGATATGGTATACCATTTTTCATAGGAATCAAAACTATTAATAATATACCAACCCATTTTTTAGTAAGAATCCCCTTCTTAATATCGAATTATATTAATAAAAATTGTGAAACTAAATCTCTTTGTGGGTTAATACACCTTCCATACCCATGATGGATTATCTAAAAGTAAAAACTTGTTTATGTTGTGGAAATATTATTACTTCAAGTCATTAATCTTTCGGTGTAGCTCCTCATTTTGGCTCAGCTGTTCGAGGAATTTAAATATATTCGCGTTTTCGAGGGCGAACCGAAAAGGCCGGCAGAAACCTTTAAAACACTTTGGTGTTTGTATTATGCCCCGGCAGAGTCGACTCTGTCGCCGTCTTCCTGCCATGCCAGCTATGTGTGGATGGTGGTTCTGGCCAGAAAGAGCTTCTTTTGTTCTCGCAGGCGCTGTTGCAGAATTCTAACGTTTTGCTTAATTACTCGTTAACTGGAAATGACAAACGACTTTTCTTGCCTTTGTTGTTGCCAGCTGCTCAGTTCAGTTCAGCTCAGCTCCGCCCGCTGCTGGTTACAAATTAATTGCCACCGACAAGCCGCAGACGGCAAAAAAAAAGCAGAAAGCCAGAAAAGAAAACACAAGACACTCTTGGCTATTTATTGATTTTTTCGCCAGCAAAGTACTGCTTATATTTTCTGTTGAACTGTAAATGCGATCCCGATTCCGATTCGGATCCCAACAATTGCCGGTAATGGCAGTTGACACGTTCGAGATACTCGCAAGAAGAGCAACTCAAGAATTCGGAGTCGAGCGAGCAGGTCGGCCAACTTCAAGCTCTGAAAAGCACACACACGGCCCAGCAACTGCCATTCACTCGATTGCGATTGCGATTCAGATGGAAGTGGATGTCAAGCGATGGCTGAGCACTTAGTGCCCTTTCAGGGGAGCATCTAAAAGGCAGGTGGTACTCCATCAAAAGTATATTCAAGTATTCTGTATTAAAATGTTGATTGTTTTTTAAAAACAATGGCCTTTTTAATTATTGTTTACTTTTTTAATCAAACTGGCTTTTAAAAGGGTATTCAGATTGTATCTCTCATATGGCTGCTCGGTTCACTGGAAGTCAAAAGTGCAAAAAGTAGAGTAGAGTCGCCTTAATTGAATTACAAAAGTAGAATAATTGCTCACGCGTTTATTAAGTTGGTTTTCTGGCTGCCTTTCTGCTTGATGGCTGGCAGCAGCCCAGGCCGGGCCCAGCCTTCTCCAGAGGTTGAGCTTGCTGGGGGTGGTGCTGCCACTGGAAGGCTGCGGTTCGTTGCACGCCACGGCACAGCGAGCAGCACTAGCCGAAGAAATAATAAGAACAATAAGTGCATAAGGCACTGGCTTGCCCCACAGTGGGTCATAGAAGGCCCCGGCAAGTGCCTAAAAACCGAATAGTGTTGGCCTTTGGGTAACTTTCCAGCAGGTGGCTGGAACTACTCTTTGCGAGTGGCACTACTTACCATTCTTGGTCGGAATATAACTAGTTTTAAGCCGAGAATCGGCCCACTGTATGGCCTACCCCCAGCGGAGCCACTCGGAGCCAGGCATGCAAAAAGTGCTGTAGAAAGCTCGGCGGTGGCAGTAAACTTTGCGCTAAATCTCGAGCATTTATATTTGGCTTGCTCGCTTGCCCGCTTACTCATTCGTGTGTGCGTCCAAGCGTTGCAAAAGATGCAAGAGCACAAAGGCAGCATGGCCAACAGTAGCAACTAAGAGGGGGAGGGGGGCCTAATGCATCCGACAGTGCTGCCACTTGGCGGCTGCCTCAAAATTGAGTGGCAGCACTTCTTATCGCACCTCCTCTCATTGTTTTGTGTCTCTGCTGGCTCTGGAATGCTCAATTAGCCGGCTTTTTTAGCCTCCCCCCTCCCTCTCTAGAATGGTAAAGAATGGCCCACATTTTCAGCTGCAACTGCAACTGCAACTGGCAGGCAGGGAGACCAGGGCGAATGCAAATCAATAGCAAAAAATAAACACTGCCTAGGCGCACTGTTTAAAATAAAAGTCCAAAAAAAGCCATTACAGGTACACAGAGAGAAAGTGGGGACTATATAGGCAGTGGAGGTTCCTTCCTCCCAATCCAAGCCCATAATCAATATTTTGTGCTGTGTATCTCCCAGTTGGGCAAATTCATGCAAACACGAGCCAAAACTTTTCGCAGAGTTGGTGGCCCTACTTCTCATTCTAGTTGCAGAGTCAATTTTATGCGTGTTGCACAAATGCAAATCGCAAATCCCACACGGGCCTCACTCACACCACTCACCACACACCAACTGTGCAGTAAATTCCCCGGGTTTCGTCTATTTCGATTTTCCTACAAAATGGAAAGAGGGAGAAAGTGTACACATTTTTTGAATGTTTACCGAAAACAACACTATAGTATGAGGCACTATAGCACTGTTTTGCGGAATTATAGATGCAAGCTTTCTATATAATAGCTTCTAATGATATGGAGACTCAGCCTTGGAGTTTGAAACCTAAAAGTAGGGTAGAAATAGAGGTCTTTTAAGGAGGTCTTGGGAGTGATACTCTTTAAAGACTTTGACATTTTTAGCAAAGATACACTTGGTATTTCAACACTTCTTTTTAATTAGAATCTTAAAGAAGTTGGGCAAACCACTGCCCTAGAATCTAGAATAGAGAATACCAGATACTCCTAGTAACTTTTCTCTAAAAGACTTACGGACTGACCGCAATCCCCACTAGCCTCAAAGCCAGTGGCACAGTTCTGTAAAAGTTGGCACTTTATTACCCTAATGGGTCTGGGATTCTAGGCAGTTCCGGGCCATAATAAACACCTCCGCTGCCGATCACCGGCCGGCGTTATTGTTTAACTAAGCGGGGAGGCGATATAATCGCAACGCCCATTCAGAGACTTCCGATTCCCGCGATTACACAACACCCACTGGAGCACCCGACCACCAGAGCACCCGAGCATGATAATGAAAGAAACCAATTCATGCTAATTTGTTGCTCCCCTTTTTTTTTGCTTTTTTTATTATTTGGTGCAAATATGAAAGGAAATCCACAGTCCACAATGAAAGGCCCGCAAGGTCGTTGGAATAAATAAAGCTGCCGCCGAGAGTGGGGGGGATTGCAAATATATTCGTTTATTTATTTGATCTGCCATTGTGTCTGTCCGTGGCTGTGAAAATGTTTGCTAACCAAACACGATGGGAGATCTCCGAGACATTGAACCATATATGACTTGATATGATATTTATTAGCAAGAATTAGTGGGCTTTCAAGCAGGTGTGATGGATGTCCGTTGTAAGCCACCTTATAAATAGGCTTAATGGCCGTGCTACGTAAACAAAGCCGTTTAGAAGGCAAATGGCCCAAGAGTGGCAAAATCATTAGTCCACTAACAGGTCAGAGTCTCGGGTGACAAGCTACCAGAGACCTCGTCGGTCTGCAGCGCCCACGTATGCGGCTCTATCCGCCTGCCCCAACATTGATTTTGTGGGCTCTCGGGGCGAAATAGGGTTAGTGGGTTTCTCCATTACTGCGGCAGTCTGTCAACGATTCTGCGGCACAGACAAGCAGTCAACTGCCAGAACGACTGCCAAACATCCGTCCATATAAGCCTTCATAGAGCGGTGAAGGTAGTGCACATATCGGAACCATCGTACTTGGCTAGGTCGTCGTCGGAGCCACCAATACCATCAGTCAATTGCCTTGTTTACCGCCACGCAATCGAGTGGGCGGGCGGCTGTTGCTTTCGTTAATTTATATTGGAAATACACACTACACATAGTTCGTGTCAATAAGCGTCATTGAACCAAAATCAAAATATAGTATATAGTACATATAGGTATTGTGTGGAGGAGCCCCAAAAAAAAGAGCATTGTTCGCTTGGCATTAATTGCCGAAAGCCGAGTGCTGCCTGAATGCTAAACTAAGGGGGTAGACTTACTTTATTAAATATTAATGCAGGGCTTCCGATTACCTAAAGAACTATAAACACTCGCCTTGGGGTTAGCATGGAGAGCCATTCCCTATCCCTGTAATTAATGGTCTTGAAGGGTTTCCCATCCTGGACCTTCTTTGAAAACAAAGTTGAAGGAATGGCTTTGAGATAAAAATGTCATTCCCCTGCCAGCTAGGGGTAGCTTTTTATTTCGCCTTGGAAGTGGCCCGCACCCTCGAGTGGCCATATCTCCGGCACTCTGGTGACTTTGTTCTCCCCAGGAATGGGGGTAGAGTGATGACACTGCAGATAACAATCCGGAGTGGCAGCCAAGGAGGACGCTCCCCACTTGCTTGTGAAAACAAATCAATTCGAACCAATTTCAATTTGAGCGCTGCACCAGGGCCACAGGGGTCACATGCAACATGCAACATGGTGGTGGAGGAGGGAGGGGGTAGGTAGGTGGGGGTGTGGCAGGGGAGGCACAAAGCCGAGCTGCAGCCGAGTGTAACTGATTGATTTAACTTTTAACTGTGCAGCCTGCTGGTGGCCTGACTAGCTTGACTGCCTGACTAAATCAACCACTTGGCCCCAGGGGTTCCACTATCTCTCTACAGTGGGGTCTAACTAAGGGAGATTTGAATAGAAATATATATAAGTTTTAAGATGATTTTAAGCTTTCCCCCTTGTAGAGGCTTCACTGTAGATGCATCTCTTGGCCATCGTTCGCTGCTCCCCTCCAGAGCGTGAAAGTGAAATGGAAAAGCCATTTCTTCCATGCGTGTGTGCCCCTTCTGGGCTGCCGGGAGGGGACCTGTGGAGGAGGGAGTCTAATCGAATCTGGTAGAGCTTCCTCCTCGCTGTAAGCCATTAATCGCAGCTTGTTATCAAAGGCGGCGAACACGTTTTCTGAAGTGGCCACGACCAGGTGGGAAAGTGCTGGCGGAGAGCCGTGTTAAGTGGAAGCTGCCTGAGGCCACAAACATCAAATTTGCATTACGGGCTTGACTTTCTTTTCGCCTAGCCGGGTACCTCCTCCCCCCCCTTCCGACGGTTGGGTTATGTAACCCGAGCTGGGGAACACTGTTGGGCCTCACAATTAATTTAAGCAGAGTTTTTAATTGAATTGCCAGAACAGAACCTCACCGGCAACAGCGGCAATATGGCACTTGGCACTCGCTGCCACTCTTGCCAAAGTTCTCCATGAGATTTCTCCAGGGTGCACTCACTCCTCTCTCTCTCTCGAGGTCTCTCTTCCTGGGCTCGTGTGCAGACTGCTCTCGTGCAGCGCCAACGTGCCACCAGAAGCAGCAGGATTGTGAGAGCATGAATTAGTGCGACTTTTAGTTTTAATTGCTGCCCGCAACTCGCGTCAAGTGTCTCCAAAGGAAGCGCCCAGCACTTCCTTTGCACAACACCACTCCACCACCACAGCCCAGCCGAGAGGCAACCACCCACCTTGTGGCATAAATAATAAAAGCCAAGCCCCAGGAAGTCGCAGAAACTAATTATGCAATAAAAGTAATTTGCCCTGCCGCGTTCCCTGTGCATGTTGAACGAATCCCGGAGAGAACTGTGGCCCGGAGCAGAGGCCTAACATATTTATTGAATAATCTATGAGTGCCTCATAGAGGAGGTGAAGGCTCCGTCGTGCCACTGTACCACTGTACCACTGTACCACTCTGCCCCGGACACCGAAAGCCACTTCTCTGCCGTAGTACGTCAGCAAGTAAATAAGGCGCCAATGTCGTCGGGCGCACGTTGTGATTTCATGATGGTTTTCCTCATTTTTCCTCATTTTTTGCCGCTGCTTTTCCACGCGTTCTGAAGGCCCCTCCTCCGCCCATCGGCCCATCAAGAGGAAAATTAAAAATAGTTTACAAGTGCCGACAGCCGGGGGTTTTGACCAACATGCGAATAATAATAACAAGTCAGCTCCTCCCGAACGAAAATCGATAGGCTTTTGTTGTCACTAGCCCCCCGCCCCCACCAATATCCATATCCAGGGCCCTCCATTGCTAATCGAGAGCCAGTTCCATCACTCATTTGGCTTCTGTTTGGATCGTTGCAGGTTGAGGCCGGGGATGTCATCCTCAAAGTCAATGGCACCGATGTCCATTGTTACACCACGAAGGAAGGTTCGTATGGATGTCTCTTCTGATGGAGAGGAAACTGATTATTTTATTTTGAATTCCCAACAGTTCTTAAATGCCTGCGCCTGTCGGACCAGCTAGTGACCTTGGAGCTGAAACGAGGTAGGTTCCTGGAACGAATAAACCCACTTTGGTCCCACTCATGACCCTTTGAAATTATTCTACAGATCCCAAGCTCAAGGCCCGGATCAAAGAGCAGCTGGCCAACACCCAGAGTCCGCACTATGTGGACATTGAATCGCCAAACATCTACGACTACCACAGCAGCAGTGCTCACTCCTCGCCAAATCACCGACCTGCCAGCGCCGGCGGCAAGGGGACCGCCACCACGCCCACGCAGAGCGGGCTGCGCTACAAGTCGCCCACGCACTTGCCATCGCTGCGCCAGAACCAGAACCAGACCCAGAACTCGTCGCCGCTGCAGGCGAGTGGCTCCACCACGACCACCACCACAACGCATACGCACACCCACACCCACAGCCGCAACTCCTCGGCCAGTTCCACCAAAATCAAGGTGGTGGAGCAGAGCATCACCACCTCGACGACCAGTAGTACCGGGATGGTGGGTCCCACGTCGCCCACCGGCGGCAGCGGTGGAGAGGCCACCTCGCCCACCTTCCGACCCTCACGCATTCCACAGGCCCTCAAAGCCAACGCCCCCAAGCCAGTGCCCGTCCTGCACTCCCCGCAGCACAAGCGGCCACGCCCCTCGCAGATCCCCACGAAGGCGTCCAATGGGACTGGAAACGGCCATCCAGCCACCCAGCCCCCGCTTCAGCATTCGAACAGCTACAGCGGCAGTCCGGTGACCCGGCCGCGGTTCTCCGCCGAAAAGGAGCCGGACCAGGAGAGGGAACCGGAACCGAACTCGGCGCCACCCCAGCCAGCGAAGGCGCCGCGCTTTGAGGCTTACATGATGACCGGCGACCTCATCCTCAACCTGTCCCGGACACCGCAGACCAGCAACCCCTTGCCTGTGCAGACCAAGAAGGTAACGAGTCTCTCAAGCCACCTAGTTGGACTTTTAATCGATTTTGAATTGTTTAGGTGGACAGCCTCCGGGACTCCCCCTGCCGGCTGGCCAATCCGCGGGTCAACGGAGCTCTAGCACCGCGTGCCTCTGGCGAATCCTCCCCCACGTCGTCCTCTTCGGTGGACTCGCCAACCAACACCAGTTCGGATTCGATAAAACGGGATGGGAAGCTGCAGCGGAAGCAGCAGAAGCAGCAGCCCCTACAGCAGCAGCAACAGCGGGACAGCATCAACAACAGCTACAACCGCAAGGACTCGCTGACCAACGACACGCTGCTGATGTGCGAGGAGTTGGAGCGGGACGAGGAGGGGGAGCAGCGATACCATCGCCAGCAGCAGAACACACAACGCTACGAGTACTACCAAAACGAGGACGAGCTGGAGGAACAGGAGGAGGGCGAGGCGGAGGAGGAGCGAGAGGAGGACCAGACGCACTACGGCATCACCAACATCGAGACCTACCAGAGCGGACTGGGGCGCGGCGATGAGGACGACAGCGACCGCCAGTGTCTGGTGGATGACGACGACGACGACGAGCCATACGACGAGGAGGAGAACGATGCCGGCGACGAGGACTACTCGACCAACTCACTGGGCTCTGGCTCCGCCAAGCAGAGGCTTAGAGCTCTGAAGCAGCGCACAGCCAACCGCCACCAGCAGCGGGCACGAGACGCCGTCGACTGTGCCGCCCGGTCCGGCTCGGGTTCATCGTCCACGACCGTCAAGAGCGAAGCGGGCGGCCTGGCCCTGGACGAGATCTCATTCTCAGTGCCAACCTCGCCCATTTCGCTGTCGACGCCCTTGATAGACAAGGAGACGGCCAACTCGGTGCCCACCAGTCCAGAACCGAGCTCGCTGGCCCCAGAATCGAGCAGTGGAGCCGGCGCGGGAGCAGGAGCCGGTACTGGAGTCGTGGTGCGGCGACACAATGGGCACGTGGTGCGCAAGTGCGATGCCGCCGGATTCCGGACCAGCAAGTCCGAGGACCATTTGCAGCAGATCCAGCGCGAGGGCATAGCCGCCGTGATACCCATAGACATTGATGAGGACGTGAATAGCTCGCTGAACACGCTGCTGGACACGCGCCAGGACTCGGAAGACTCGCAGGTGAGGCGTCGAAGGAAGAAGCCCTGCAGATCCACAGGATAGTCCCCGGGATAGCGCTAGATAGAGCCAATGTCGAATTGTTAGCCAGATCTCCCCCAGAACACTCGACACTCGTAGTTGATGAGTTGAAACCCGCTCCCCGTTTGAAGTTCAAGTGCTTTTGTAGAGTTCGGTTTTTAGTTAACTGGTTTCTGTAAACTGTAAACTGTAACCTGTAAATGTTGTGTCTGTGTGTGTGTTAGCCATGCATAATTGTATACCTCATCTAGTCATAGAGTCATCTAGCCATCTAGTCATAGCATCCAATCATACCTAGCCCAAGTCATTGTGTAGCATTCCCCATTGTATTCTTGCCTCACTTGTTACTTTGAACTTCCTCCTACTTACTACTTAACTCTGTCTATCTTACTATCTTACTATCTTGTTTCGTGTTTCTTTCCTCTTTTCGTTTTCTCTGTTCTACGTTCTCTGTTCTGGTTTCCTACTTTGTTGACTCTTCTCGCAATTTATGATATTGTCCCCCGTGAGCTTTCTAGTCGATGGCCACTGTAATTGTAAACAACTCGTCGGCGTTGAACAACAACGAGCGTGAGCCGAACAACAATCCCTCCAGCCAGAGCAACACTTCCAGTTGCAACAGCAACACCAGTAGCAGTAGCAGCAACAATAACACCAGCAGCAGCAGCAGCATCAGCGACAACATCAGCCGATCTGCAACGGTGGCAACAGCAACCATCTGTGCCACCAAAGCAACGATGAACTGCAGCAGCAAACTAAACTATATTTTATGTAAAAAGGTTGCCATTTGCATAGTTGGCATGCTGATTAAAGTGACTTTTGATTTCGGTTTCGTTCGATTTGTGCCAGTTTTGAGTTCTTGCCTGCGCTTGGATAACTTTTGTATGTAGACGAAGCCAGACCTTCGACACAGCAACGCTTCTCAGACATCCAACACACAAACATGCATACACAGACACCAAACATCCAGCTTCCAGCACCCGGAAATTTTGTTAGGATATCTACCTATCGAGATCTGATAAGAGCATAGAGCATATTTTAATATTCGGCAATATGTATACACATCTTAAGGTGCTTCTGTTTTCACTTTCCAAATCAAAGCTCGGCCAACTACCTTTGCTGGTAGTGTCATCTATTTTTGAATGAAAACGGAAGCACCTGCTGCCACTTCTATATCGCATTCCTTTGCCTTTCTCTCATCACTAATATTTGATCTATCGACCATCCTAGGCCTCGGATCGGGATCGCATTGTATGGACCTATAATGCACCTTTGGCGCCGCATCAGTTGGCCGCCCTCCAGCGACAGCAGCAGCAGCAAGAGCAGCAGTTCCAGCACCATCAGCAGCAGCTCCAGCAACAGCACCTCCAGCAGCAACAGCAACTCCAGCAGCAGCAACAACACCAGCAGCAGCAATTCTACGGTCAGCAATCGCATTCAAATTCACATTCAAGTTCCATTAGCTCGTCCGTGGGCAGTCCGGCATCGCCCACGTCGGTGTCCTCGTCGGTGATGTCGTCGTCGGGCTCCAAAGGCGCCCTGGGCAGTAGTAGTAATGGCCCGGTTGCCCTGCAGCAGCAACAGCAAGGGGAACGAGAACAGGGCGGCCAGTCCGTACAGCCGCCCAACGGAATTCCCGGTCTGCTGAGCTGCCCAGGGAACAATGGTGCTGGCAATGGTAGTGGCGGTGGTGGTAGTATTGGTGTCGGTGTCCATGTCGGTGGTGGTGATCAGAGCGTTTCAGAGGCCATTTCGAATATATCTAGTCCCGACTACCAAGACGACGATAATTTATTAAGTTCTCGCGATATTCTAGGCGGCATGGTACTGAGCGATCCCAGCGACTCGGACTCCACCATTCTCGTCTCGGACGCGGCCGCGCTGCAGCGCCAGCAGATGAAGCAGCAGCTGCGCGCCCAGCAACAGAGGGAGAAGGAGCGGGATCGCGACCGCGACCAATCCGAGCACAAGGTGGTGATCCAAGTGCGCGGCTTGGACAGCAACCACAGCAACAGCAGCGGCCGCTCCGATGACGATGTGGTCACCCTGACGGATGAGCCGATCGGGACGAATCCCGTGGGCTTGCGGGATGGCTCGCCGCCCGTATCTGACGACGGCAGCGATGTGGAGTCCCTGCACTCGTACCACTACTCGCCGAAGGCCGTGGACTTGCCCTCGGCCATTCGTCTGGCCAAAAGACTGTACTCCCTAGACGGTTTCAAGAAGAGCGACGTGTCGCGGCACCTCAGCAAAAAGTAACTAGCATTTAAGATATGCTCCTCATAGTCCTGACTAATGGAATTCCTTTCTAGCAATGATTTTAGTCGAGCTGTGGCCGATGAGTATTTAAAGCACTTCAACTTCAAGGAAAAGTCCCTGGACCAGGCTTTGCGCGAGTTCCTGCAGCAGTTCTCGCTCTCCGGCGAGACCCAGGAACGGGAGCGGGTCCTCGTGCATTTCTCCAAGCGCTTCCTCGACTGCAATCCTGGCACGTTCAACTCGCAGGACGCCGTCCACACGCTGACCTGTGCCATAATGCTGCTGAACACGGATCTGCATGGCCAGAACATGAACCGCAAGATGAGCTGTGCCGAGTTTGTGGACAACCTGGTGGATCTTAACGACGGCGAGAACTTCCCCAAGGACATACTCAAGTATCTGTACCAGGCCATCAAAACTAAGCCGCTGGAGTGGGCGCTGTAAGTTTGAGGTTCTAAGACTTGGGACTGATTCTAAGAAAAGATAATCGTTTCAGAGATGAGGAGACAGTGGATATGCAGCAGCAAAGAGCCCACAACGCTGCTCTGACCAATGTGGGGGAGAATCCCTTCCTCGATCCACCTGAATCGGCAACTGCAGTGGAGTACAAGAAAGGCTATGTGATGCGAAAATGCTGCTATGATAGTAACTTTAAGAAAAGTGAGTGATGTAGGCAGGTTATTTATGAACTTAGATACTAAACTTTTATGTTTGTTCCCACAGCTCCCTTTGGTAAACGCTCCTGGAAGATGTTGTATTGCACTCTGCGCGATCTAGTGCTCTATCTCCACAAAGATGAGCATGGTTTTGGCAAGAGTCAAGTGAGTGGAACCAAGACAAACTTTAACAAAGCCACTATAACTCCAATTCAATCCACAGATGTCCGACAATCTGCACAATGCAATACGCATCCACCACGCACTGGCCACCACAGCCAACGACTATACTAAGAAGCAACATGTGTTCCGCCTGCAGACTGCCGACCAGGCCGAGTATCTGTTCCAGACCAGCGATTCCAAGGAACTGCAGTCGTGGATAGAGACGATTAACTACGTGTGTGCCGCCATTTCAGCGCCACCGCTCGAAGGCGGAGTGGGCAGCCAGAAGAGGTTCCAACGCCCGCTCTTGCCCAGCAAGCAGTCCAAACTGATGCTGGTATGTGAACGACGCTTTTCTTTGAGGATTATTGTTAACTAGTAGGGTCTCATTCGCAGAAGGAGCAGTTGGAGTCCCATGAGCAGCAACTGGCTCAACTGGAGCAGGATCTCAACGAGCACAAGAGGGGCCCGATTCCCAGTAAGGGGCTTCCTCTCCAGAACTACAAGGAAAAGGAAAGCTACTTGCAGTACGAAGTAAGTTAGCTACCAAGTCTTGGAAGATAGTTGCTGCTAATTGTATTTTTGACCCATCCAGCTACGTCGCTATCGCACATATGTGAGCATTCTGAGCGCCAAGCTGCTGGAGGATCAACAACAGCTGGAACTGCAGGCGCAGAAGCCATCGCCGGCAGCGCTCGAGGAAGAGGCCGACACATTCCCAGTGGGCACCACCACGCCGCAAAGTATTATCCTACAGCAACCGAAGGAGCAGGCGCCAAAGGAGCCGCAGCAGCAACAGCCAGCGAACAGGTACAGTCAGCACCAGCGTGCTAGCGGAAGCAGCTCCTCGTCCTCCACGTCCGGCAATGTGCAGCAGGACATTGGCTGACGCGTAATGGGAGTTTTCTCAGCTTGTGTGGTTTAAAGCAGTCTCTCTCCTAACCATCTCTGTTCCTATCTGTTGTATCCTTTATATTTTTTGCCTTGATTTCTTGTCGCTTTAGTTGTTTGTGTGCTTTTGTGCTTGTGTGCTTCCCCCAAAAATCCTTTATTGTTGTGTTGTTCGTTCCGCAGCTATCGCCGGGTGTCAGTCCCGACCAATGTCGGCTGGAAGAAGCTGTTCTGGGACTCGATATCCTGCTGTGTTTTCTTGTGTTGCTGGCATTATTGTGATATTCTCACTCCTCTGTAAATATAATTCGTGTGCGTGTTTTTCTGTTTGTTGTTTTGCATTTCACCCGAGTCACGTTGCAACATCCTCACCACCCCAGGCTTTAATTTCAATAGTTCTTTAAGATACATAGATACTGGACCCAGACTTAAGCGTTGCGTGTAGGCAATTAAAACCACAACAAGATCCCCTAATGTAATTAGTTCTTATGTGAATAATGGTTTTATTTTGAAAGCAACCACACAACATGCTGTGAAAACTCAATTGATAACCTAGGAACCTAGAATAACAAACCAAAAGAAGCCCAGAGGAAGCGTTATAGCGTTCAATCTGATCAAAGATTCGAATAGTTAACTATAGAAAACTGTTTTTTGTAGCACTTGTAGCAAATCAGAGTTTTTGGCGTTAAATATATACAGAAGAAAATGTATTTAGAAACGAAATTGAACGAAGAATTGTAGAAAACACAAATGTGGTTCAGTAGTAGCTAACGTTTACCGTTTAAACCTAAGCTAAAAGCATTCTAAATATACATACACTCGTCGTACTCTTGCATCCGGATATAATGTTATACAAGTTTTACAAGCCCGCACTCATCCCACACCTCCACAGATAGACTTACAATTCAATGAAGCTTGTATGATAAGAGCCCAGGACTCATCCCATTGATACACCTCTGTACCACATCATGATAACCAAGCGACATTATGTGACCCCTAGGTGGAAAAAAAAATGAATCTAAATTCCCCCAACCGTTGCTGTTACCTGTTAATCCCCACGCCCGTTCAATTCCGTTACTGCGTTCCATTCAAAAGCAATTGAAAAGCAAAACCCAAATGGAAGAATTCTTCAATCTTACAGATGGCTCGATGTCTTCTGCTGCTGTAGCCCACTCTGGCGGCACTTGCTCTATTCGAAAAGCCATTAGCCAACTTAGTAACAGCAACAGCCAGCGCACATGCAAACACTACTCCGGAGGCTAGCGATCCGGTCCAAGAGGTTCTCCTTGTAAATGCCCTGACCCGTTTTAAATGTGAGCAAGCTACTGCCAAATCTCAATGTTAATTGTTAACTCTTCAGTGTCTAGCTTGGCTTACAGCGAACCTATACAAACCACTCTCAACCAACCAACCAACCAACCACCAACCACTTGACATACTATTTTTGTTTTGAATCACAATTGCTAACCTCGCTTATCGTTCTACACTTGCAGAAAAGAGAAGAAAAAGAAATAATTACGTTTCGTTTCGCTCTTGATTTCGATCATTTCAAAACCCGCATACACACACTATCCTCACTCTCCTCCACATGCATCCTGACCATCGTGGTAAGTGCGACGCCAAACTATTCCTCATCCGGCCATCTGACTTATGCAACTTTTTGTTTTTTCCAACCAGAAAAGCAGGCTATGCCCAAGATTGAATTGAATACTCCACAATGCCACGCGGAATCCGCCGGAGAGACCCACAAAAATTAATATATACTACGACACGCATCCACACTCGCATACTCAGCACCACTCACCACAACACCACTCACAGGGACGAACACAACAAAAAGGGGGAGGTGCACCACCCAACACTCACTCACGCGCCGCGGCTGTGCCGTTTCTGCCACTGAAGAATTTCGGAATCTGTGCACTTTTCAGTTACTTTAACCATCGAATGTTAGGAGGGTTCATTTGAGATAATTAGACTACCAACACACGATAATGATAATTACTTGTAATCGAATTTGTTACGTGTAGAGAGAGGGCAAGAGTTTTACGTTCGAAGTGGGTTATAGCCCCCTCGAGGTCGTTCATCAGAAGACAAGAGGCATTCTCTGCAATCCAAGCACTATCTCGCAATGGATATTTTGAAAGAGGTTTCTTGCGCGATCATCTGATCTTTTGTAAAGCCATGCGATCAGTTCGATTTCGATTAGCCGAGGACTCTGATGGACGGCTTAATGAATACTGCTTATACACATAGACTTATTATTATGAGAGTTGATACAGAATACTTACATCATTACCTATGCTATCATTATAAATGATAAAAATAAATTATAAATTATTGAACAATGTCTCCACCCGAGCAGAGGATTATGGAGAACATCAGCAGTAACACTTGAGTAGCAATGACAGCCAGAACGCGGAGAAAGCAATTATTATCATAATTATGCCACATGTATATGCGTTTCTTACGACTTGTTTAAGGGCCCTTTGCGACTTTGCGATTATTATCTACACTTATAGAGCTGTGTAGGCACTCTTCTCCAATATTATGTACGGATCCATATTTATTTAAAGCATTATCGGTTGATTACGCGACATGTCCATGTAGCTAGAATATGAAATTGATATCCGCTGGCTGCGGAATAAACAGAATGGAGAAAACAATAAATTTAAATGCAGCATATATTTTTGAATATATAATATTATTGTATTGTGTAATTATGTAAATGCAAATTATATAACATTGTTTATAATAATTTTTAATGATTAAACTGAAACGGCAATAAATTCAAAAACACTGAAAAACTAACTGAAGCGAAAGCAACTTGCCTGTGCAACCAAGCGCCTAAATGTATGCATATTGTATATTTATTTAGTTATACATTTTAACTGGCTTCGAGGGCATCAATTAGTTTTTAAAGCAATACCCTTTCGAGATCAGTTCACCCAAAACAGACCCCCATTCCCCGACAGGACACACATCACACGGCGAAAAGGGAAACAAGAACACGAAAGTAGATTCGGTGATTTTTATGTGAACATTTATTACTAACTGATAAGCTTTGAGTACATTTAGGAAAGCCGTTATACTATGCATATACACGAATATATATATGAACTATATATAGTATATATGACGCTCGTGTGAGCACCCAAACAATTACGATATGAATCATTAAATACTTCCAAAAGCATTCAAGATCAGCTCGTTTTCTTCACTCTTCCGTCTTAAAGGTAAAGGATGTGTCTGTCTCCATTAGCATGTTTTCCAGTCGCAGGCCCAGTTGCTTCCGCTGCAAGTCCACTTTGACGACCGAAGCCACGATCCTGTCGCCGATGCTCAGCTCGCTGTTGTTCATGTGGCTTTTGTGGATCAACCCATCGCGCTCCACTCCGACGTCCACGAAAGCACCGAACTGGGTAACGTTGGTCACGGCACCTGAAAGGCAAGAATCAATTATTTGGGATTTTTATGGTACTCCAGGGTACTTGCACCAACCTGTAACCACATCACCAAGACTGAGTTCGTCTAGCCTGGTTAGACCTTGCTTAAAAAGGGGACGCTTGTCCAGATCTGCCCGGTAATCTTGTAATAGTTCACGTTGCAATGCCACCATTAGGAAGTCCAACTAAAATATTATAAAAAATTAACCATGAAGTCAGAACTATATTCATTGATATATTGGGGACCCACTCTTTCCATGGGCAACTTGTGCTGCTTGGCCATCTTGTCCAGCTTTGCCTTGGAGCCGGCAAACTCCTTGATCCGAGCTATGAAGCCAGCCTTGCCAATATCCGTCAGCTTCAAATCACACTCACTCAGGATACTGAAAAACACAATAAGCTTAGAATTTTTAGAATTTCGATAATAAATTTCCAATATCCGGAATGATCGCCAAGCTGAAAAGGGAGCTCTTGGAGAAGTACCATTATCCGCCGAAGAAGTCGCCGCCAAAGGTTAAGTATGTGGCGTGTGGGAAAAGGGCTTTCTACCACGCCGATCCGGATAATTACACTCCGTGCTGGAGCCATCCCATAAACGCGCCAGCTCAGGCCCGCTTTGGGGTTTGCTGGGAGTACCCGCCGGAGCGGTACAAGCGCCGTCCCCTACCTCCGCCTTGCCGCGGCGCCACCTTGCCCTTGGAAGTGCTGAAGCCCACCTTTGAGCACTGTAAGAACATCTACACCCGGTACGACGCCCAGTTGGAAAAGTGCGTGCACGAGCAGACCCTGGTGCTCGACAAGCAGCTGAGCAGACTGAGATACCAACTGGCCAAAGCCAAAGAGCAGCAAATCGAGAAAGTCAAGATGATGCGCTACCACGGCGTAAGATATCGCCTCCTGATTGGTGGATCTTTTGGCACCAAGATATATCCCGAATACATCAGCCGAATGACCGAGGAGCGCGCCCTTTGCCAGTTCCAGCGGGCTTACAACTTCGTCAATCAGTCAATGTGTGTAAACCTTATTATTTTAATGATTTGGAGTCCATAGCCCTTTTACTTTCCAGCGCTGACTTGACCAGCTCGTTCCTGCAGGTGCGTGAGTCCATGAAGGAACTGGAACTGCGGTTGAGCAGGCTGGATCGAAGTCTAAACAGCCCTTTTCTGATCGAACTGGAAACGGTTTTACAGACCCTTGAAGACCTCAACTCATTTTTCTTTGGCGTGATTGTCAAGCTCAAGACGTGGGCCGAGCTCATGGACCCCATGAAGGAGCACTCCATTGAAGACTACCTGGCACTACTGTGCACGGAGAGCAATTTCAAGACGTTCATGAGTGCTGGCATGGAGAACTGCACCTGTAAGCGGTGTGGCAAAAAGGATCCCCTCAAGCCCTATCTGCCATGCTGGTGTCAGCCACTGGAGTCCAGTGACGACTGTCGCGGGGCCAAGCAGCCAGATCCTGGGTGTATGCAGATTACAAATTTCAAAATCTCGGAAAGCGACTCTGACTTTGTCCCGGAGTCCAGCGTTACTTCTTTGCTTGTAAAAGCCGCCGAGAAGAAGGCCAAGAAGGCTCAAACAGATCAATCGGATTAGAATGCCCACGATATGTTACATATAATAAAGTTAGACCTTACCTCTCTGCTACTTTATAGCTCTCGGGATGAACCCAAGTGCAGTCCAGAGGGTTCTGTAGTTTGCCTCCCACGCTGAGTGGTTCGATGCGAACGAACCCGGCGCACTGCACAAAAGATTTCTCGCCTATGGTACGCACGGAAAGCAAATCCTTTCGGGTCTGAAAAGGTCCTTTTTTCAGCCGGTGCTCGATGATTTTCTCAGCCTTCTTTTCGGACAAGCCAGCAATGTGCCTGAGTTGGGGATTGCGGGTTAGATTGTCTTAAAACACACAGCTCTTTCACTTACTTTAGCACACTAAGGCTTGCCGTGTTCAAGTCCACGCCGACATAGCTCACACACTCGGAGACGACATCCTTTAGGGACTCGGTTAGTATCTTTTCCGAAACATCGTGCTGGTACATTCCAACACCAAGATGACGAGGTTCTATCTTTACGTATTCACTCAATGGATCATTCAAACGACGTGCGATAGAAACTACAATAAAATTCCAGCTGGTCCATGAAAGTCCCTTCTATAATCGACTTTATCCGTACCTGCACTTCGTTCGTTGGTGTCCATATCGGGGAACTCCTTGCTAGCCACATCGCTACAAGAGTAAACCGAAGCCCCGTTCTCATTGACAATGCTATAGCGGATGCGCTGGCTGTCCAAGGTTCCGGCATGGAACATATCGGTCAGCCAGTGTTCAGTTTCGCGACAGGCAGTGCCATTGCCGAGGGCGATAATTTGGCACCTTTTTGGGAAGATTTTAAGTGAATTAAGTGTAGCAAGAAACAAATCATTACATACTTGTGTTTACTAAGTAGGTTAACTAGAGTTCTCTCTGCTCCATGCCTATTAGACCTGGCTCCATGTGGATAGATGACCCCTGTCTCCAGGACATCGGCTGTCTCAGATATCACCGCAAGTTTACAGCCATTCGTGTACCCCGGGTCGATACTTAGAATACGTTCTCCCTTAAGCGGAGACATCAGCAACAATTGCTTGAGGTTCTTGGCAAACACATCAATCGCTGCCTTTTGGGCCTTTTCCTTGAGGTCAGCCCGAATTTGGCGGCACATCAGAGGTTGCACTAAGAGAGTTTCGAATTAGACAACAAATTATTCGTAAAAATCTACTCACATTTCTTAGAATAGCACTCTTCCAAGGATTTTGTGAAAATCTCCCGTCTTAGTGGATAGTGGAGGCCCTCAGTCATATATTGATCGTTGATGAACCGAGTTAGATCGCATTTTAGATAATCACTCGTCTCCAACTTGACAGAAAGAAACTTGTGCTTCTCCCCCCTATTGATGGCTAGCATCTGGTGTGGCTTGATGGTCTTTATGTCGCCTTGAAAGTTGAAATAATTCTCGAACTTGGAGCTATCCAACTTCTTATCGTGAATGGTACTGTTTCCTTTACTGCTACTAGATTTGCTTGAACTTGCCTTTGAGGTTGAAGCCTCCTTAGTCTTGCTGCACTTAAGGAATACTTTATGGACGTTTTGTCTGGAAATGAAAAACATTTATCATGTTGTTTTATGAAAAAGTACTAGAGCCACTTACAATCGCCTTAATTCCTCTAAAACATTGGTGTTCTTGCTTATGTTGTGGATTATTATGTTACAGATCCCACTCATCACCAAGGCTTCTGAGGCAAGGGCCTCATTTTCTGGATCAACTATTGAAAATAGTTCAACCTTTGGAGCCGTGCCATATAGCAAACGGTCCGCGTATTCCTCCAGGCCAAGAGCTTTGGCCCGCTCCGCCAATGTGCCTTTGCTGGCCGGCTTGTAGGGGGCGTAGAGAAACTCCAACTCCTCATTGGTCTTGGCACACATCAGCTCATCCCGAATGTCAGAATTTAAGACATTTTCGCGCTCCAACTGGCTGACAATGTTTTCGGCCTTTTTCCTCAGATCCACTATTTCCGTATAGGTGTTACGAATGTCTCGCAAACGATCTGGAGCGATGTGATCCACAAGATCACGTCGGTAACTAAATATAAAGAACACATCAGTATTTAAATCTATAAAAATGTTGACCCTTTTTACCGGCAAATGAATGGAATGGTGTTCTCATTCTCGAAAAGCTGCACAATATTCCGCGCTGCCTGGGGCTGAATGTTCTCGGTCTCTGCCAAGAGCTCGTGTATGTTCCACACCTTCCTCCGCTCCCAGAAGGAACTGCGTCCAGTAGTTGAACTGGCTGCTGCTCCATCAGTTTGAGTCACAGGTCGGGGTGGTGGCGTTGGGGCTGTCGGTGCCTCCTCCTGCTGCTTGGGATTGCTTTCATTCGGACATGAGTTCTCATCTTCCTTTGCCTTTTTAGCCCGTTTCCTCTTGGGCGCTGCAGTCTCGGCAGCTGCAGTTTTGGATGTGGGCCAACGTCTTCTGGTTGCGCCTGCCAGGCCATCTGCTGCCCGATCGATGCGGCGACTCTTGGTTTCTGGTGGCATGTACTCATCATTCTCCACGACCTCCTCGTCCTCCTCGGAATCGGATAACTCCACTACCAGCTTCGGTTTTGCAGCAGCTGCCCGTCGGGGTCTTGAGGACATTTTCAATTATTGGTTTTTCGCCTAAACAACATTAATTCATTGAAGATTAAAAATAAATCTCCTTAAAATTCGCCCGCAAAATGCGGCACTATTCGATTACAACAACAGCTGATTGAGAAACCTATCGAATGCAACCAGTTGGAATCAGCTGATGGTCTCCACCACGAGCCGGCAGTTGAATTTTTAGTTAAAATGCTGAAATATGAATTTCTGCACGGCTTACAGAAGCGCAGCCATTGGCTCCGGCAGCTCTCCGCCCAATCCTCCAAACGAACCTACAGCAGCAAAATCAGAAACATTGGCATTCTGGCACACATCGATGCGGGTATCTATTCCATATCCTATTTCTAATAAAGAGTCCTTCTATAATTTAAATCCTTTAAGGCAAAACAACGACGACAGAACGGATGCTCTTCTATGCCGGCAAGACCAGGACATTGGGTGAAGTGCATCGGGGGAACACAGTCACGGATTACCTAACCCAAGAGCGGGAAAGAGGCATAACAATTTGTAGTTCAGCGGTAACCTTTCCTTGGAACGGCCAACGGTAGATATATCAATTTTAAACCTTCATTCATATTTACAAATCTGTATCCTGGTTATAGCATCAATTTGTTGGACACCCCGGGTCACATTGACTTTACCATGGAGGTGGAACAGTCGCTTTACGCTGTCGACGGTGTGGTAGTAGTTCTAGATGGAACTGCAGGAGTAGAGGCACAGACCGTGACCGTGTGGACCCAGGCGGACAAGCACCAACTCCCAAGACTCATATTTGTCAACAAGATGGATCGCCCGGATGCAGATTTTGAAAAGTGCATTACTGATCTCAAAGAGAAGCTGGAAACACACCCGGTTTGCTTACAGTATCCAGTAAAAAACGCGGATGGAGTACTAGGTTTGTTGTCTTGATAACCAATTAGAGTAATGTGTTTATATTTTTATATTTTAGCTATAAATGACGTGATCACATTGGAGCGACTAACATGGCAGCAGAAGGATCTGGGCCAGAAGTACATCCGCATGAAATTGGAACCCTCCGATGAGCTACGTGCCTTGCAGGAAAGGCGAAATGAACTTATAGACCGGTTGTCGGGAGTGGACGATGAACTCGCCGATGTGGTCATTAGCACAGAAAGCTTTGATAAGGTTGACAATAGCCTTATAGAAAGAGCCCTCAGAAGGGCCACCGGCCAGCTAAAAGTGGTGCCTGTGCTCCTGGGATCCGCCTACAAAAATGTCGGAATTCAGCGCTTAATGGATGCTGTAAATGCTTATTTGCCGGCACCTGAAGAACGTAACCAAGTCTACGATTGCTTTGGGTAAGTCTTTTTCTATATTATTCCTGAATAGCTTCTATATAGTTCTCCTTTTAAAGCACTGAGGTAGCTGGAAAGGTCTTTAAGATTGTCCATGACAAGCAGAGAGGAGCTTTGACATTGGTTCGGATCCTACGGGGAGAGATAAAGAAGGGCATGCGTCTAATATCGGCACGTGGCCAGGCAGAAGTAGTCTCCAAGATGTACGAGCCATTGGCCGATGAGTACCGGGAGGTCAATGCAGTGCAGGCGGGTGATGTGGTGATCTGTGCGGGTCTCAAAGTAAGATGCAGTTTCTTATTTATCCAACCATAACAAAAATGTTTCGTTAACTAGTCTACAGTCACCGGCGATCTACTAACTTCCAGTCAGTCAACTCTTAAAAACGCCCAGAAACGTTTAAAACAAAACTTGGGAAAAACAGAATCAAGTATTCCAGAATTAGACGACGAATCGGAGGAGTCAGAGGAGATGTTCGGACTAGACCCACAGATTCCTGACGCTGTATACTTCTGCTCCATCGAACCCCCCAGTATATCGTCTCAAACGGCCATGGAACAAGCTCTCCGTCAGCTGCAACGAGAGGATCCCAGTCTACGTGTTAGCTACGACTCCGTAACTGGTCAGACGGTTCTCGGTGGCATGGGAGAGCTCCACATGGACATCATCAAATCGCGCATTCTAAGCGAATACAAAATTGATGTGGATCTGGGACCGCTCCAGATTGCCTACAAGGAAACCATCGAATCTCCGGCATTAACGACGCTGAGTGTAGAAAAGGAAATCGCAGGTGCCAAGCAGAATGTTAGCATTACCTTGGAACTGGTCAAGGACAAAAGTGAATTATTTAGGTAAGCTAAGGCTTAATTATTTTCTTTAAAACTAAAATTATTTTTCATAAAAGCTTAGATAAATCGCCGGAGAATATGCCCAATCTTAACACTTTGCGACCACGCATCCTCCAGGTTGTGAAGAAGGGCGCTATTGGAGCTCTTGAGCGAGGGCCTCGGGTGGGGGGCCAGGTGGTAGACACACAGATTCGACTTCACAATGCCACTATTGGACGGGGAACGGCCGATTCCTTCGTAATGGCTACAGCGGCACAATGCGTCCAAAAGGTAAGTTAATACTTTGGTTTTAATTAATGATTATTTTTTGTTAAAATTACCACTACTTTTAGTTACTTAGTACTAGTGGAACTCGACTGTTGGAGCCCATAATGGCCCTGCAAATTGTGGCGCCAAGTGAACGGATATCCGGCATTATGGCTGACTTATCCCGGCGAAGAGCCCAGATCAACGATGTGTTACCAAAGGGTGAACGAAACAAGGTGAGTTATTGGTGATATTCAAGAGCGGTTTAAAAACATTAAATAAAATACAATCTTATCCTAGATAATATTGGTGAATGCTCCATTGGCTGAACTCTCGGGATACTCGAGTGCCTTGAGGACCATCAGCTCGGGCACTGCCAGTATGACAATGCAGCCTTGTGGCTTCTCCGCCATGAACTCCGCCGACGAATCCCAGGCAGAGAGACGAGCACAAGGCCTTGAGTAGTAGAATGTTAACTAGTTTTATTATAATTGGAGTACAGTAGGCAGAGTAGCTTCCGTTTAGATCTTGTTTAGACTAAGCTTAGAATATTTGAATACTGTGCCCATGTCGGACGTGTTTTTTTTGTCTGCCAACTTTCAGACCTAGGCCGTGGACCTGTTGAAGAAGTTTTTATAAATTCGTGTGACAAATAAATTGCTTAAGAGTTGGTTTTTTTCGCAAATCTACCATGGCATTCTCCACGCAAAAAAACTTCTTTCATGTTCCGTTCGGGAACGAAAACGTCGATTTCGAGTGCATCGATGCGTGTGTGAAATTGAAGAGCTATCCGTCCACAATTGACGATCGGTCCTGGGCCGCGGACGACAGCGCCAAGTCTCAATTTGTTGCCGAACTGGTGGCCTGCAGCTTAATTCCGAAATCCAAAACAGGCGGCAGGGGAGATTCGGGAAAGGGTGGCAAAGATGGTGGTGGCTCTGCTGGAGGCGGAGCTGGTAGTCCAGAAGACGAGTACGGAAGTGATTTGGTTGTCGGCGACAGCCTCATCAATGCTGCCGACGACACCCTTGGCCGCATGCAGAGCCTGATGATCAGAAACAACATGCTCCAGAAGAAGCTGGACGACTCCAATGATAAGCTTGAGACGGCCAACGATGAGGCCGACGAGATAAAGCGGATTATGGAGCAGAGGTACGATCCGCAGAAGAGCAGGGCCCTCAAGGACAAAATAAAAGATCTGGCAGACGCTGGAAAAATCTCACCAAAGGACGAAAAAGATCTCAACGACTTGCAGGCATCCATTGATGACATGAACAAGGCCCATGACATCCTCGCGGCCGAGAACGCCAACCTGAAGCGCCTCATCGAAAAGCAATCCTTGCGCTGTAAGTTGGAAAGCACTCAGGTCGATCCCGAAAAGAGCAGCGATGTCCCCTATCTGCGGCAGAAGATCGATGACCTGGGGAAAGAGGTGGCTCTACTTCGTAAGATGGAGGATGATTACCTAAAAAAGTGTGCCACAAAGTGCGAAAGAGGAGGATCTCAAGGAGGTGGCGGTGGTGGACGCAGTAAAGGTGCCTTTTCCCCAGATAAGGATGCTGAGAATATAAAAAGAATTCTGGCGGAACGTGATGCTTTGAGAAGAAAGGTGAAGAGCCTGGAGGACATTGGCGACAAGGTCAGTCAGCTGGAGGAGAAGGCTTGTGAGGCGGAGCAAATTTCCGGGGACCTGCAGAACAGCCTGCACGCCCAGAACGAGTGCATGTGCAATATGCAACGTGATATGCAGGACATGCAGGGCTACTACGAAAGTGAAGTGGAAAAGGCAAAAGGGAACGAGGAGATTCTGAAGGTATGTGATTTGGAAAGGGAGTACTATTAAATAAGCTTGTTTCTTAATATTCTGAACTATATTCCTGCTAGTGTCATTGCACCCAGTTGAAGCAGGAACTGGCCTCCGCGAAGGCGGCGATAAAACGGGCCGAGTGCCAGCAGATGGAGATCAGTGTACTGCGGAACGAGTTGCGGAAACGTGACATTGCCCTTAACGCCTACGACTGCCAGTACCAGCAGCTAATGGTGAGTATTGCGGATAAGCTTCTGGCACGGTGTAACTAAGTTTTCTTATGGTCTTCAGATAAAAGCAAAGATGTTCAAGAATGCCGGGTATCGATTTCTCGACGATCTGCCTCCTGATTGTTGTACTGACAGTTGCGTGGACAATCCGGAAGAGGAGCAAACCGATGAAAATTGATCGCTAAAAACCCTAATAGTCTTTAACAGAAATCTGTAGTTTTCCTTATCTATTTTCACGGTAGTGTCTTCATCAATGTGTCACAAAAAATCACGGATCTAGGAAAGATGTGCCCAAAAGTTATGAAATATATCAAATGGTTAGGCTACAAATTCCTTTACGTAAATTGACGTATATAAATCCCAAAATGTTCTTAAAAAGCGAGAAAGATTTTTGAATGTGATTTTAAAATAAAATGAAAGTTTGGTAATTTTAAAATTGAAATCAAGAATAACTTATTTTAAAACCTCTTTTATCGAAAAGACCGTTACTACCTTATCGAATAATTTGATTGTAAATATCGATAAGTTTTCAAGTTGATTTATTTTTAAGAAAATCTATGCCAATTTTAATTTTCAGCCTTTTTAGATATTGTTTTTTAGTAGAGGGGGACAAATGACTACATTAAATAAACAGTCATTTAATTTATTTGAAATTTATTTGCCCATCGCCTGCTTTAGCTTTGGCCCGCTAGTGGCGCTGCATCTAGCTCATCTCCCAAAAACCTGGCAACTCTGTTTTATATAATAAATATAAGAAAAATGGATAAGTTTGCGCCGGCAAAGACATGTCTCAGGCTGCTCCAGGTGAGTTCTAAATGTACTGGATTAAGCTTAGAGTCCCCCCACTAACATTTTTTAATTGAAAACAGGTGATGCCCGGCGTGCCTCAAGCGGCGCAGTCTGGGGCTCTGGGCGTGCTCGTGAATCCCCTTCAGAACTTGGTTCAGATGCAGCAGGTGCGCCACCGGCAGACCAAGCACTGGAACCCCCAATTTAAGCGACTTCGTAAGCAGAAGTTCGTCAAGATTGACCTGCCCAATCTGCGCGAGAAACCAGAGGATATCACCAAAGAGGAGATGCGACGACGGATGAAGGAGCGTGGCGTCCTTCCACCCCGACCCTGGATGGAGCGTCCTTTTCACATCAGCTGTACGGGCGGTATCTTCGAGGCCTACGTTCCGCCAGAAGGCGATGGCAAGAAGTCTATCATCTCCACCAGCGGCGCAAAGCAAAAGCTGGAGTTTCTCGAGAAGAAATCCAAGAGTCTGATGGCAGTACGCAAGATACGTTCCTATGAAGAGAGCTTCAGCACAGACGAGTTCGGAGCCGAAGCCCAGGAGATCTACATTAAAGCCCATCAGAATATGGCCGCCAAGGACAAGTACCAGATCCGCGAGTACGTCAGCGAGCGTTGCTACCCGGAGATGATGCACAACGTTAAGGACAAGACTATTCGCTGGCGGTTTCTGCAGTCTCTGGAGCCACCACGTGTTGTTCATGCCCGCGTCACCGAGGTCATCACGAAGGAGAACCAGTTTGCCCAGGTCACAGTGCGTTTCCACAGCCAACAGATGCTCGCCATCTACGATCGTTTCGGCCGCCTCATGCACGGCAGCGAGATCCTCACCAAAGACGTGCTGGAGTACGTCGTATTCGAAAAGCACATTTCCAATGAATACGGAAAGTGGCGTCTCCACGACAAGATCATCCCAGACTGGCTGCCGGCGAAGCAGCCTGCTCCTATTACCTATCGCCTCATCGAAGAAGCCGAGGAGGAGGTGGCGCCCAAGGAATTGGCTGCTGGCGAGGAGTCCAAGCAGGTCGAGGCTGGCGGCGAGCAGCCCAAGGAGCAGGTCCAGCTGGCTGCCCCAGTGGAGAGCAGCGCGAAGCCTTCAGTGGCCCTTTGATTGTACTTTTTGTGGGCCGCTTGGCGGCTCAGAAGATTGCACGTTTCTGTTGTTCAATAGTTTTTGAGTCGCCACCATGGCAAATTATAATTTTTAAATATTATTTCAATCTTGTTTGTTTTTTAAATTCATTTTTTGACTTTTGTACGGTGATTTTCTAGAGATCTACAGAATTTATCTGTTGTTTTCTGGTTTTTTATTTTGTTTCCAATTCATTGCTTTTGATGAAAGGAATGCCTGTCTAGCGGCGATCTGTTACTCCAGAGTCAAGATTCTAGACCAGTGGATATACCTGTCTATATGATGTAGACAACCTTTAGTTTGTATAGTAAGCTTAATTACATCCTTAAAAGAGATCTGCTACTCTAGAGTCTAGACATATACTTGTCTATATTATAAAGGGGTATATTGTGTAAAGGACACTTTGTCAATAATGATATCCTCTGACTATTTGGGTTTTATAATCCTCGAAGGTATTGAAGCCTATAGCCATTGCCTTTTATGAAAGAAATAAGTTTAGTGTCGTCTTTAAAGAGGATCTGTTGTTATATACAACAGATATATACATATATTTAACTATTTATATGGAAAATCGTTGTGTAAAAGGATCTTTGTTTATAAAGATACCCTCGTCATCATCCTCGTACATGCATATATAGGTTATGTAATCCAGAAAGGTATAGTAGAAATTGTTACCCAAAGTTGTTATAAAAAAAGTTGTTCAAACCAAACACCACTTACCATACTTGGCCCGTTAATATATGCAATAATACACTAAACACAAGAAATTAATATATGCTTGTGGTATATTTTTACAACAAAGTAGAGTAAAACTTAAACTAAGCTTATGAATTATAGTTATAAATAGGCGCGTTCACTCAGTAGATTGCATACAAAAGTTCGTCATGGATTGGTTGGACATTCAATAGAGAGTACAGTATAAATAAATAGTGCACAGATAATATTTACAAGTTGCTTTAAAGACAAATCACTTTCATTTGGGAATGCTCCCCCTAAACGAAACTACTGCTGGGCTCGTCGAGGTAGGCACAGCGGGATCCGGCTTCCTCCAGAGCCTTGCGGTTTATGTCCAGAGGAATCTTGCTGGCAAACACCGTCGCCGTGGAGGCTTCTATTGGGGATGTGGGGGCCTTTTTTGTGGGGGAGAACTTGTTGCAATAGTTTCCTGTAGGTTGGGCAACCGTCACGCCCCAGTTGGAGGGCTTGATGGGCAGCACCTTCGGCTTTGGCGGCAGCGGAGGCGGGGCTTTGGCATACTCCGTGGGGTCCTGCGTCTCCGCAGGCAACTCAGTCTCTGGATCCAGGTCCACCTTCATGGGTGACACGGGTTGCTGGCTGCGCGTTATGGAGAGTCGCGGCGCCGGCTGGGGAATCTCGCTGGGAGAGGTCGGCACTTTGCTCACAGGACTCAGGTTGGCTCGCACCTTTCGCAGCTTGGAGACGGCCGCGCTGAGGTTCTCCTTGTTCTTGAGGAAGTCCGGCAGATCAAAGTTGATCTCAGTGCCGCGCTGATCCTCCAGACGCGCCTGCTGAGCACGCTTCAGGCCCTCGAGTAGTTCGTCTGTAATTATTAAAGGATTTAAGGTTAGTCTTGGATCTACAAGGTCCTCTGGCCGCCGACTTACCTTGGTGCTCTGCTACTCGCTCCGTCACCTGCAGCTTCACCCCCGCCTTCAGTTTGGCTATGATGGGCTTCTTGGGATCGGCTGGCGCTGCTCCTGCCGGTGGAGTGACCGCTTCCTCGGACTGTTGGCTGCTCGTGGACTTCTTCTTGAGCTTCGGCAGCTTGCTGCCCGGAATGTTGCTGATGCTGTTGTCGCGCTGCTGCCGCCGCATGCGCTCGAACAGCGAGGAGGAAGTCTCCGAGGGCGCCTCGTTGGACTTCATCGAACAGAGGTCGCTGGGGCGCGGCTTGTCCGCCGCAGCATCCGCCTTGCTGGCCAGCATTTCGTTGAACATTTTGTTGGTCAGTTCATCCAGCTGGTGGGGCAGCGGCTTCATGGGTTTGATTTGCTTCGGCGGCATGCTACTGCCACTACCGCCGCCGGCCTGAAAATCCGGCTGGAGCATCACGATGCGCAAGCGCTGGCCATCGGCCATTGTCACCGGCTGCATCAGGTCCATGGGTGCCTGGGTGTCGCGCATGATCACCTGCACCTGCTCCATCTTGTAGTTGTATTTGCTCAAAATGGGCCTAATCACCTCGTGCAGCTGCTTCTTGGGCTTGCTTTTTACAGAGATCGTTTTGGGATCGGGCAGGTCCAGCTTGAAAGCCACCCGCCGCTCAATTAGCACCTCCTTGCCAGCCAGCAGTTGCGATGGCTGCTGGAGATCAATGGACTTTGTGGTGCCCTGGAACACAACGTCGTAGTAGGGGTACACTAAGTTCCGCTTCTCCAGCAGTCGCTCCACCAGCTGGCCCACTGTCTCCCCAGGCCTGGTTTGCACAATAGTGGTGGCTCCGTCCGTTAGTATCACTCTGCACAGGGAGCACACGCTCTCCGCACTGGCTCCTCCATTGTTGGCTCCGGCATCGAACGACGACAATGAGCTGCGGGAGCTGTGGAGATCGCTGAGGGAGTTCTGCCCGGAGGCGAGCTTCAGTGAGGAGCTGGTCAGCAGTGCGGGCGGGAGTGGTGGGGCCGGCATCAGTGTGCTTTCCGGCATAATCTCCGAGCGGTCACGGGACTTGCTCCGCGTCTTCCGGTGCCAGGGCAGCAAGCTCTTGCGCCGCCGATCCTCAGCGTTGCTAACCGATTTTTTCAGCTGGAAGAGATTAGGATTATAGTCAGTCTGAGTGACTAGTAGATCTTATTTGAGTCTCACCTTTGACGAGGCCGCCAAGTGAAAATTTGTCTTCAACAAGTCGTCCAGGTCGGAGCCATTGTAGGGAAGCGACTGTCCCTTCTGCTCCGCCTCCACACAGCTCTTGTACAAGTCGGACCGAATGAACCTCTGGTAGCTGTCGAACTTCATCAGGTTGAAGATCTGTTTCTGGGCGGGCGCGAAGATGTCCGGAGCGGCGCTGGCCAGCTTCTCCTCTGTGAGGCTGCGGGCCTGCGAGTCGACGTTGACCGGGTCTATGCTGCTGTTGGCCAGATACTTCCCGAATATTTCCCTGGCCTGCACCACCCGTTCCGCCTGGGATTCCAAGACCCTGTACCGTTCGCAGGCCGTCCAGAAGTATATGTTCTCCGCCGAGAACTCCTTCTTGAGGAACTCGGAAAAGGTCTGCATGCCAGCTGTATCCTGGAGCATACGCTCAAAGGAGTTGCTCCAGTTGCTGGGACACCCATAGTCCTGGGAAGAGTCCTCTGGAGCTGCGGATACCGAGACGGCGGAGGGCGGGGCAGGTGTGGTCAGGATCTTGGGCACCTGCAGCAGACTCAGCTGCTGCTGACTGCGCGTGGGCTTCAGGTTGGGGTCCAGCATCAGGGTCTTGATGTAGACATCGTTGTCGGAGGCGTTCATGGAGGCAGTGCGTCTCACCAGCGGCGACGACTGACCCTGTTGGCCCGGCTGCTGTTTGGCCACCTTGTCGGTGCGGGGCGTGCGGAAGGAAGACTGTCCCCAGGCTCGGCGGAAGGGCGAGGCATTGGCGGGCAGAGCACGGTTCTGGAAAGAGGAGAATGTGGAGCTTGGTCAGTGGATTGTTTTCTTGGACGAGGCTTGTGTAAGAAGGTGCAATTACAAGTGCAATAACCCGATGTAAGAGAGTCGAAAAAGATGTCTATTCATGGGCCATTCACAACTACAAATTGTGGCCATTGCAGAGCCCATCATTATCATGGTCAGACAGACACGATAAACTTTTGAACTCCTCGAGTTAGCTCATAAATTTGTTCTCTGTGACGCATTCGGACTCCCCTCCCCACGCCAACCAAACTCCCAAAGACATTCTCAAGTGATTCGGAGTGGCTCGAAGCTGAATTCTCGGTCCCCCGTATGCTGATGATGAGGCGGCCGGCCGGCCCCCCTCCCGAAGCTGACAGCATTCTATTTACTGCACTTTGGAGGAGCTACGATAATCGCTGCTCAAACAGACAGAGAATGCTCTATTCCCACCGACTTTTCGCTTAACGACAGCTTTTGTGCGCCAGCCATCCATCCATCGCCTTGTTGGAGGAGATTAATGAATTCCATGCCCGAGCCCATCATTCTATTCAGATCCCAAGCTCGAGTTTCGCGGAAAATCATAACTCACAACCAGCTCGGCTCAGCTCTGAAATACATTTGTTTTTGGTTGCCCCAGCCCGGTGCTGTGATCTGGCGCTGCGATCGTTATAGATAAAAGAGAAATTTTAAACATTTCCGGTTGGTTTTAGTTTACTCCAAACACACATTGTACACACACACACCATGTGCTTGGAGCTTAAAAGGGGAAAAGCAATTTTCATTCATTTTTGTTCATTAATAGAAACCAATTGGCTCCCAGCCTGGGCCGGTTCGTTTATGAAAAATGCCTCGACACACGCTGGCAATTGAGAAAAATATCTTTTGTCATCCACCGAGATACACACTCATCTTTTTATATAAAAAGATACAAATACTCATACATTGAATTTCAATTTCATCATTTTAAGAAAACAAATAAAGATAAAACGGCAGAGCCCGGTTTTTATCACAGAATGTGGGTCAGAATGGACCAAACACTTTAAAACCACTTGGTCCTCTAGAGATATTAGTACTCTGAGACAAACCGAATGACAAACTTGCCACAAACACACTTGCCACATGCCACTTGCCAAGTGAGCTAAAGCCGAGTGGCGGACATAAATCAACGCTGATTGCCAAACAATAGGCGGGGCCTCCAGTTACCCGCTAAGTAGGAAATGAGCAATTTGCCAAAGAAAATAATTAAAATAAATAAACGTTGGCTAATTCGCAGCTCGGCGGCTTCCAAATCGAACAGACCGACTAAATTTAGGCACACTGAGACATGCAAGAATGAGCAATAATTAAGTCCAACCACTAAGAAATCACAAAGTAAAGAAACTGAAAACAGAAAACAGAAACCACCAACCACTCCGTTCCGTTCAGCTGGAGAGGAGTGGATGAGCTGGGAGCCGGCCGAGCGGTGTGGGGTGCATTTCCCTGCTTCAGTGGACACTGACTTGGACATTTTCCGGTGCCGCCATCGTGGGTACGTTCGCATTCACATTCATATTCCCATTTACATGGCCGCCCTCTCTTTCTGAGTCTCATCCGACGTACACTGAGAAAAATGTACACAAGTTGGATAAACTATTTGAAAGTCTAGCTAACCTGCTTAATGATTCAGAATTTAACAGGCCCTTTTAAGATTTTTATGGGTTGATACCTAGACACTCTTTAGATCTATGGATCTATGGATCTCTCTTCTTGGCGCCCCGATGGAGCCAACATCTGGTACTCTCCAGTGGCAAGTCATTGAGCTGAGTTTGCATTTCGAGGCGGGCGGCGGAAGAGACCAGCTTGCTCGCTAGTGAGGCAAATAAACAAAGTCCCACGAGTTACTTATCCGCAGTGGCTTTCGGCTCGAGTTACCACTCTCCATACACAATATAATTTCTCCACATATTCGTGTACACACAGAGACACTCTGTCCCAACCCGATCTGCAACCTGTCGCCTCCTGGATTGGAAGGTGGCACTTAATTAGCAGGGCTCCGGTAATTGGAGTCTGAAGTTTGAGGAGCCGCTGCAACCGCAGCAGGCAAATATTTGACGGTCTGTTGGACTCCCGGTTGGATGGAAAATTGAGCTGACGAATCGATGGAAGGGCTTCTCGGGGGTGTCCACTTATTCGGAATACTTATCAAGTATCGGCCGCGATCTGGTGGCCAGACACTTGAGAACATCACGTACACCCGTCGCTCGGAACCCACTCGATTCGGCGCCCTCCCCAGATGGATCGGGCAAATAACACGCATATCTGTTTCTTGTGAAATATATTTCACACGATAAACACTACAATATGTGCACATACGACTCAGATACTGGGCATGGCTCATGGTAGGCAAATATGATATCAGGAATGACGAAAACGACCTTTGGGGGTTCCAGTCGCATTCCCAAATGTTTGTCTTCGCAGAGAGGTTCCTCGAAGTGTGCCAGAAATTCAAAGAATTCTTGATAAATCATTCTACCCATAAATATATGTGTGTTTATCGCAAACATCTGCGGGCACATTCAGAAAGATATTGACAATCCATTGAATTCTTTCAGAGCTTATATCAGGCGACATACTTAATCGCTTACTAGGCTTATCTTAACTTTATTGTCAATGAAAAGCTCCTAGGTTCTTAGAATTCCCTTAGTTCCTCAGTTTAGTTCCATAATTTTGAATTGGAAGGCAGTATCCGTACGACCGCAAGTGTAGGTACGACTGTAGACCATATAGAGGGTAGACTATACAATGAAATGGAATCTTATCTAACCAAAAGACTCCAACAATGGATGATTTTAAAATGAAACGAAAACGAAAAGGGGGCGGCATGGGGGTGGCTCATGCACGAACGCCAGATAAGGGGCGTTCGGGAGGGATGGAGGTGGGGGGTACAGAGAGACAAAGAGAGACTCGTTAGAAATGCAAATGATAAACTAACCATAATAGCCCGTAGATCTGGCAGAACCTACCCGGCTTGGCTGGCTCGTATGAATTTCTTTTGTTTTTGTGGTATTCCAAGCGAATTCTGCCAAAGGTGTGCCACCCGTGTGTTGGTGTGTATCTGTGTGAGTGCGTGGGCAAAATGCAATGCAAAGCAGAAAGCGAAAACGTGCTGCTTTTGTCAACTCGAATCGCCGATTTACTTTACTTTTTTCTGCTTTTTTCACTGGCTACTAGCTTTCGTACGCGACTTCACTGCTCTTTGGCTTCTCCGGGGCTTTATGTAATGACTTTATTTTCACTTATTGTTAGTAATACTAGGTAGTACTTTTTCCCGTTTGCTCGCACAACGAAATCCGCACAGAGCGCCAGCGGTCCAGTCGCTTCAACGCGTTAAAATCATGTAGCCTCGGCGTTGAATCTTACAGTATCGTTAGCCATTAGCCCGCGAGATACAGATACAATCTGAGAGCCGTAGCCAGAGAGAGAGCGGAGCGAGTGCATTTGAGCGAGAGCGATCTTGACTCCACCGCCAGTGGGGTGCTCAACAGCTGGTTCAACAATTGGGGGCTCTTTCGGAGAGATATTCCAGAGAGCCTCTCGCAGTTTCGAAATTCGAACTCGAATCGCTTACTCATTTCGCTTGAAAACTCACAATGAGTTGTGTCTTTTGTTGTTGCTGCTGTAACAGGGCTTTGTTAGTAATTAAATACTCTTACAAAGAGTATTATAATGGGCCTAGATAAAGGATATTCATTTTTGGGATTACACCTGAAAGTGTATATTAGGTTCGGCTTGTCCAGCCACCGGCCACTGTTTGCCTGCCTTTATTATTGTTGTTGCTGCTGCTTTTTATTGTTGTTGTTTGCTTTGCTTCTTATGAATGAATTACCAACACACACATACACAGAGACAGACACACACTTAGGCACACCCAGCTGTGTTGTGGGTGCGTGCCCCCCAGTGCTGGTTTTAGCTTATGTGACGCATGCCTTTTGTTGCAGCTGCTTTAATTAAATACGCCTTTTGCTTTTGGCCAATTAATTAAGTGGTTTGGAGAATTTTTGCCCAATTGGGGCTTTCCTGCCGCCACTGCCCATTTAGGTAGGCAACGAAAACATTTTAATGAGTTCCACTTTTGCTGGTTAAATGCCGGCTAGTAAATAAATTAGTCTAAAAATAGGCAGAAAAGTTGGCAAATAAATTAAGCGATCCCCGTCCAAGCGATGAATGTAAACAAAGCCAGAAAGCCGTCCCAGACAATTGAAATAATTAAAATGCCAAGCGATGGCAACTGGAATGCGGGCGGATGGTTGTTTTTTTCGCTCTTCTTGTTGTTTTTGCCACTGCTGCGCATTTGGTTGATAAATTAAGCAATTTGCAGATATACAGAGCATCAGGGGAGAGGGGGAGAAGCATCAGAGACCCCCATCTGAGGCTAATTCCCAATTTCCAGATCATGTGCCCCAAAGTACTGGAAAAACTCGTGTTTTCCTCTCTGGTGCTGCCCCGCATGTGCGTTTGTCTATAATTTCACAGTTATTTATGATTTGTTTAGCTAATGGCAGTGAGCAAAAAAAAACAAAACAGAACACCAGAAGCGAACAAAAAAATGGGGACGATAATTTTCCACATTTTACGCACTTTTTTCTTGTTTTTTGCGTTTATGCGTGAGATAGTAGCCTCCAATCCGATCGGCTCCGTTCCCAAATCCCAAAAACAATGGAAAAACTGAGATAATTTTGCATTACGAGAGAAAAAGTACAGTAGTAACTGGTAGAGAAATAACTTTACTTATAGGATTTAAGAAAAAAAATTAATATTCAAGAAAGAATTAAAATTTCATGAATTTTAATTACTGAAAATTCATTTCCAATTTTTGCTAGATATTTTGTAGTTAAGTAATTTTAACTGTATCGTTATTTTAACCAATTGCAGACTGCTGTGAATTAAATTAAATATCCGGCAGGCGGCTTGTTGTTTTTTCGTTAATTTTATGGAAGCCAATGCGGGTCATATGCGTTCTG